GGTGGCTGAGGAGTGAGCTGCACGCGGAGTCGGACGGTTCCAACCACTTCTATTAGTTCTGCAAAAATTGGAAGAGGAACACCGAAAAGGCCCTTAACACCAAGATAAAAGACTAGCATCATATGCATATTTTCTGCCTTTGCGGAAGAAGTGTTACCCGTGGGTTTGGCGTGGTATGCAAACGAGCATTCAAGAGTATAAGTGTCTCCACCTTCCTCCTCTGCAGTTGTCTCTTCCACGGATTTTGTTTTCAGGTTGTGTTCCCGCATACCCTCCGCTAGGTCCGTGGCATGACTCTCTGGGAGCGACCTTAGGCTGAGGATACGAAATGGATTTGAGCCTTGGTCAATCTCGGCTACTCGAACATTCTCGATAATCCCTGGTACGGACGCCTGCATGACATCTTCAATGGTATCAGCAACACCTGCGAACATCTCCGGATCCATCAGGCCCCAAACAACTTCTAGAAAGCTATTTAACCATTCCACAGATTCTGGCAATAGGTTTGCCGTGGCCTAAAATCTAGAATCAGCCCTGAAATATTCATAGTTCCCGAGAATTCTACCCTACCGTTTGTCCTCGGAGCTGTTCGGCGCTCCACTCGTGCTTCCTCCCTTTGCGGATAACATCCTGAATCCAAAGCCATACACCAGAGGCAACACAAGCAGAGAGGGGGATGAGCCATTTCAATGCACCACCGGCAAGTTTGCCGATAATCAAGATTGCCCAAAAGATCGCTGCGCAGAGAAAACCACCACGTTTCTCCAATGACTTGAACATTGGTTCATAGCTAATGGACGGAGTGGGATGGAATAAAATGTTCGTCTTTTCACCATGAATTGGGACGTCGGAAGTTGTTCCTTCAGCAATTGGGTCTGGAGGCGCTGTAATATCCTGTTTATACTTATATTCGCGCAGCGGTTGATCCGGCCGGGTTTGAGCTGCCTACGTGACGGGTTAGTATACAATGTGGGAGCCAGCGTTTTGTGTGGCAGCTAACGGTTGGCAAGCCAAGATTCGCATTTGGAACGGTGATCTACAACATGGAGATTAGATCTAACGCTTCCCCGACAACTGAGATAAGAGCATGCGCAGCTTACTTTAGGAGCCTCCACCGCTTTCATGTGTTCAATCCCGACATCGTCTATCTCAATCTCCCGGCCTGTTGTTGGGTCCGTGACGGTTCGTCTTCTGTTCTTAGCTGCTGGCGCAGGTTTATGCGGGGCAGCCTCTATGTCCTGATAACGTCCTCTATGTTTCTGTTCCCGCGCTTGAGATCGACCAGATTCATCGATTTTCCTGTCTCGATCTTGTTTGTCTTTGTCCAAGCTCTCTAGGAACTGCTGGATCGTCGGGATTGGGTTCTCGGCACTCCAATAACCACCGGGTTTCCTTTGCGTCGCCATGTTGCAAAAATGTCAGTGGCGGGGGATTGCGTTGATGAGGCAACGTCACCCAAGTCAAACACCCAAGCGGAGTCGCGGGTGGCTATATCTGTGAAGGAATAGGGAAGAGATTACGTATGTAAAGGCGGGAAGAAGTGCCGGATTCTTTGCAAAAACAGGCAGTTATGAACAATCACTCAAAGAATACTGATGGTTAGCATCCATCATGCCTAGACTGGAATAATAGGATCCCTATTCTGTATACATCTACTGCTCTCAACCGCCCGGATCCACGGGGGTTTACCTGGACGGATCTCCCATTACTACGTCATTGCTATCAAACCATAAACCCTTGACGAATTATTTGCTTTGCCGCCAGGTTTTAGGCGTATAAATGCCCCAATAAGAATTGAATTTTTGATCTCCCGATTGAATATCTGAGCGGACGTTGGATGCTGCAGACTTGCCGCTTGGAGTGTGACGTCAAGGCTGCTCGTTCTTGGCGATCGAGCCACATCTGCTGAGTACTCCATCCCCGAACTTTTCTTGAATGTTGCGCCACAAATGTGGCTTACAATGCCTAAATGCAAACACGGACAACCAAAATTGTTAGTTCAGCTTCTCAAACAAACGAAGCAAACAAAGCTTTAATCACGTGGCGCTGTAGGAAAGGTGACATCAACAAAACACTGACATCGGTCCATATTAAATTGTGAAAGGACAACAGGAAAAAAAAAAAAAAGGAAAGAAAAGAAAAGAAAATCGAGGAATCAGTTTCGAAACAAAATGTCAGGTGCTGAGGAATCTCCAGCTCAGCTGGCCGCTCGTCTTCGACGAGAGCGCCGGGAAGCAAAGATTAGAGCTGGTGGCTCCGCGAGATTAGACAAAATCACAAGCTTAAGTGGAAGGACTCCTGCGAGCTGTATGACACCCTCCGACAAGATTATGCTGCTTTCGCGATTTTATATCCTCTGTGAAATCTAACCAATGAGAACATGACAGTGAGAGATGAGCCTCCTCGCTCCGTTAGCCCTTTCAGCAACTCAACTCCGGAATTACAACCAGAGGAAGCATCTCGATCCGTCTCCCCACTATCCAAATTCTCCAGCGCTACAGATCAATCACCTGAAAATTTCGAAGCGCAACAAGCATACCTACGAGCCCTGCTACGATCCAAAGAGCCTCTCGATCAGCCGCAAGAACCTGACCCAACCGCGAAGCTTCTGAGCACGCTCATGGGGCTTGATTCAGCTTCCCCAGATGCCGTTGCCGGCAACGGAGCTTCTGGCCTGGCCCCAGCCGATTTGCTGTCACAAAACCTTACTTCCTCGTTTGGCTTACCGCCCTCGATAGCCAATTTCTTTACACAGCAGCTCCAGCCCGAGTCCCCGGACAGCCAACAGAGAAACAGACTCTGGCGCATTCTTCACACAATCGTCGCTTTTACTTGCGGAATTTGGCTTATTCTTATGCTTCAGACGGCTTCGATGACATACGGGGAAAATCCACCGCCCCCGGCTACAGTTCAAAGTCCATTTGTGCACTTCGTCACGGCGGAGCTTGTCTTGGGCAGTGCGAGGTTATTGACGAGTATGAGAAACGGACAGTTGCGGACGGTGCGGCCGTGGATGCAGATTCTATCGGATATCGCCAGAGATGGGAAAATAATTTTGTTTCTGTTAGGCATTGCGGGGATGTGGATGAGAACTTCTGACATGCTAGAAGAAAAGTTGATGAAATTATGAATCATGTTGTTCTGCCTTTGGTAGCTACTAGCGTGAATTAATGCCTACATATCTTCCCTCGAAGATAAGGGAGCAAGTCCGTATCAAGGCGAGCTAAAACTCACCTCAAATTCATAGCGGCTGTTATGCATGTGGTTGGCTTATTCTCACCGCAGATCACTGCCGTTCGTACCCCAGATGATAGTTGCTGGTTGCTAGCCCCAAGAAGTACGGAGTACGCGCATGCAATTCAGCGTTTTACGTGTACATGCGCACCACAGGCTCGGGTTTTCAACAGGGTGAAGATCATCACCCTGGTCCTCGACGAGGCTGACCCAAGCGACATCGATGATCAGCTGCGGAGAAACAGTTCTGGGCAAGCTTATTGTCCGCTAAACTGTTTGTGACGAGTCGTTTTTACCGCCCCAATCCACTCCGTATCATAATAGGCCAAATGCATCGTGCTTCGTACTGGACATAGGATCCGCGCCATGTCGCACTGGCCTTAATTCAAGTTGATCCGATGTCACCTCTTCTTGGTGAATCGAGCATGAATTTTGGATGGAAAACCACAAGGCAACCCATCGGGTAGAGCGTAGACGCCATAGGATATTTGGACATGCATGGTAAATCCAACTACAATGTTACGTTGTGTCATAAGAGGAATACAAGAAGCCGTAGCGAGCTCCAATACTTTGAGGCCCGCTGTGGATGATTGCTGATTAGCTTGGCTTGAGAATAAACTGACAGAAGGGAGAAATTATTGCGTGCTTCAAGGAGATGCGGTGGGTGTTTTTGAATTTCACAGCACAGGAGCCTGCTGAGCCAACATGCTCATGTTGTACAGTACAACGCACATGGGTACTGTTTCAAGATGGGTGTATGTAGTGGAATGCAGATACATACGGAGTACATAACAACATTTAGACCGTGGGTGTGACCGGTATCGGGCAAATTTAAAGATATTTATTGCATCAAGCAATCTGCCAGCTGATGGTGATCAAACCACCACACAAAAAACGTCTCGGCTGAGAGGAGGATCCTTGAGATGGGCTGCTAACCAGGAGAGATGGAATAAGAAATCCCGTCAAGCTCGCTTCCAGGTGACTGTAAATCCGTATCACTTGCCATTGTGTTCGCGCTTGGAGAGGGGCTGCATTTCACTTCATCGAAGACACACATCATCTCAGCAGCTACCTCACAAATAACTGATAGCAATTAAATACTTTCTTAAGAGCTAGCTCGCCTACATCGCGTTTCTGAAAGACTTTGCCATCGGCCTTTTGCCGAACTTTACCAGCTACGTCAAAGCACAATCTCGGAACACTCCCAGGCCACCGGGGGTGGCCATAAATTCTTTGGAACCGAGTGGTCCCCAGCGAACCAAGGCTTTCTCCCGGACGGACTTTTGTGCCCTGACTCAGGAGTGTTAAGTTAGGACGTCATGTCATGGGAAGCAAGTATTTTCCGGCCCGAAAGAATCAATGAATGTTTGCCTGCGTAAAGGTAGTGGCCTTCAGTTATACATTCATTCCTTGTCCACGTCCCGAAAATGCCAGCGACTAATATCCTCTAGGAGATTTGTCGGCACTTTGTTCCGCTGGCTCAGTACATACTATTTGGGCGGGACACTTGTTTGCAGCGAAAGCTTGATAGCGATTAGATGCTTTGATACAGTTTGATGACAGGGGGGTGAAGTAAAACAAGCTTCCACTATGGCGTACAGCAAGAATGCTCTCTGGGCCCGCGATTTTCAAGGTTAAATGATGAAACCGGTAGTTAAGCTGTGAATCTGTCAAGATAAGGTATCCCGTCGACGTCCATTGCTTTCCAAAATGCTGTATGAAAATCTTGGAGGGCACCTGCAACTGAAAGCAGGGGGCTCGGTGCAATGATCTCCATCTACACGAGCCCAATGCGACACACGCTGGACAACCCAGGACGGGCATCAAAGGTCTCGGGACGTCACAGCCTGGGGGAAGGGGGGCCGGCTGTGGGCTCTCTGTTGTTACTACGCAGAGCAACGGTCTTGCACCGATCGGCCCACACTGGTCGAGACGGTAATAACCCTGCCTCATTTTACTAACGTACGTAGCCGGGTAACAAGCAGGCCTCATTCGCTCTTATAGTGCTTTTTTCTGCGATTTTCCGTTGAGAAGACGGGTCGACATTGAACCCAATGTTGACATCTGACCGCCATCATAGCTATAAAACGGCTAGGATCACTGCGCACAAACACATTCCGGCAGGGTACTCCAAGGCAGAAAAGGTGTCAAAGAGAAGCTGCTGCTAGATGTTTCGTAAAAGTATGTCGTACGGGAAGCATGGGTGTTACACATGTGTATACAAGGGAATAGCAGGCGGCTTGATCGTGACCTGTCTGAGAACGTTTTGCGTGGATAAACTCCCCGGGCCTAGGGTGCTTGCTCGGTGGCAAACCTCTCACTCGGCCCAGCGTGCGTGTGTCTGCGAGTGTCGAACCCGATTTGTCGCCGAAAGCACCACAGCACAGCAGGAAGAAATCTAAGTAGTGCGGAAAATGTGCCGGGAAACAAAGGGAGTGAAATGGGCTCCGTACAACCGGAGGAACGGAGCCCTGGCGCTATGAGAACGGCCAAACGCCGATAGGATGCCCCGCACCGTGGCATCTACTTAGAGTTGGGGGATGGCGGGGTGATGAAAAGCCAAACCAGCACACCATCCCGCCGAAATCCCCTTGCACATGGACCACACGCCGCAGTGCTTGGCTTGCTTCGGTGGGAGCCATGGGAAGTGTAGGTTTGTCAGAGCGTAATTACGCCATGGTGAAGATTCAATCCAAGAAGCGCAGTTCGTTACCAGGGTTTGGTCTGATCAACCCGTCGCCGCTGGTGGGTGACCCAAGACCCCCCGGGGTCAATAGTTAAGTCGGGGCTTCTCAAGAAAGTGGAAGAAATGCCGGGCTGCTGCTATTTATCTCTCGGATAATACACATATATGTGCCGGAGCCTCCTCCACCTTCCTGTTCCCTCTCAAGTCGTGCTTCTTTTTTCTTATTTTTTCATTTTTTTTTCATTTTTTTTTTTTTCCCCCTCTCCTCTCCTGCCTGTCCCTAACTACCCTCGCTATCATTGACAACCTAACACAAGAATCTTTCTTATTGCACTTGGTTGTCTCGCCTCCCATTCTGTTTCCTGGGCCGAATTCAACTAGTCACCAGAAATTGTGCAGATCCTCTCCCTCAGCGCATCACCTCGGTGTTGCTGGTCTGAAACTTTTAAGATGTCTGAGACGCCTGCTGAACCAAAGCTCCCAGTGGTATGAGAGCCTGTCGTCCTGTTCATAGCATCTTGGCGTTTTAATTCTTAGGCCCGGCTATGGCCTGCTTTATAGTTTCGCAGTTGCTACACTTGACTATGAGGGCTGACTTTTGTGTGGAACGCAGGTCGTGGAGGCCCACCAGGTCGATACCTTCGACGTTCCAGGAGTATTCTATGAGAACCACCCCCATGAACCACACCTGAGTGGCATGAATGAATATAACCAGCTCTACCAACAATCTATCAATGATCCTGACACCTTCTGGGCGCGCATGGCGCGCGATCTTATTACTTTCGAAAAGGATTTCGACAAGACTCACATTGGGACCCTCGAAGGCGGGGATAATGCCTGGTTTGTCGGTGGTCGATTAAATGCGTCCTTCAACTGCGTTGATCGCCATGCAATGCGTGACCCGAACAAGGTTGCAATCATCTATGAAGCCGATGAGCCTGGCCACGGCCGCAGTATTACCTATGCAGAATTGTTGAAGGAAGTCTCCAGACTGGCCTGGGTGATGAAGAGCCAAGGTGTTAGGAAAGGCGATACCGTCGCGATTTATCTTCCTATGATCCCTGAGGCCATCTTCGCGCTTCTTGCCTGTGCGCGTATTGGCGCCATTCATTCTGTGGTCTTTGCGGGCTTCTCTTCCGATTCCCTGCGTGATCGTACCCTGGATGCCCGGTCAAAATTCATTATCACAACCGATGAGGGAAAGCGTGGTGGAAAAGTCATTGGGACTAAGAAAATTGTTGATGAAGCTTTAAAACAATGCCCAGATGTTACCAATTGCCTTGTTTTCAAGAGAACTGGGGCCGACGTGCCTTGGACCAAAGGCCGTGACCTGTGGTGGCATGAAGAGGTTGATAAATATCCAAATTATCTGCCTGCTGAGTCAATGGACTCTGAAGACCCGCTTTTCCTTCTCTACACATCTGGCTCCACCGGGAAACCAAAGGGTGTTATGCACACAACTGCTGGCTACCTTGTTGGAGCAGCTGCAACTGGAAAATATGTCTTTGATATTCACCCAGCTGACCGTTTTTTTTGCGGTGGTGATGTTGGATGGATTACTGGACATACTTATGTTGTCTATGCTCCATTGCTTTTGGGGTGCACTACTGTGGTGTTTGAAAGCACACCAGCGTATCCCAATTTCTCGCGATACTGGGATGTTATTGAGAAGCACAAGGTCACCCAGTTTTATGTAGCACCTACGGCTTTGCGCCTGTTGAAACGTGCAGGTGACCACCACATAAATCATGAAATGAAGGATTTACGTATTCTGGGCTCTGTTGGTGAACCAATCGCTGCAGAGGTTTGGAAGTGGTACCATGAGGTTGTTGGGAAAAGACAAGCCCATATTGTTGATGTAAGCTGAGGATCTGTTTTGCCCCCTTGATTTATTGTCTTTGCAGACCTTCACATTGTATGGGCCTCAGAGATCATACTAAGTCTATTCAGACATACTGGCAAACCGAGACCGGCTCCCATGTTATCACCCCCTTGGGTGGTATTACTCCAACTAAACCAGGAAGTGCTTCGCTTCCATTCTTTGGTATTGACCCTGTCATTCTGGATCCAGTTACAGGTGCAGAGATTCCGGGAAATGATGTGGAGGGAATCCTTGCTTTCAGAAAGCCATGGCCAAGCATGGCTCGCACTGTATGGGGCGATCATAAACGATACATGGACACCTATCTCAATGTTTATAAAGGCTTTTATGTAAGGATTTTTTTTTCTTTTTTCTTTTTTTTTTTTGATTTGCTAACAAAATTATAGTTCACTGGTGATGGCGCTGGACGTGATCATGAAGGCTATTACTGGATTAGAGGTCGTGTGGATGATGTTGTGAACGTCTCTGGCCACCGCCTTTCAACTGCAGAGATCGAAGCAGCACTTATCGAACACCGTAAGTTATTTACAGCAATTATTAGAGGTTGGATGTGACTGATTTCATCTTGTAGACTGTGTTGCAGAAGCCGCGGTTGTTGGAGTTCCTGATCCGCTAACTGGACAAGCTGTGCATGCATTTGTGGCCCTGAAGAGTGGAAATGACAATAGAGAACAGCTCCAAAAGGAGTTGATTATGCAAGTCCGCAAATCGATTGGACCATTTGCTGCCCCGAAGGTTGTGTTTGTGATCGATGACCTTCCGAAAACACGTAGCGGGAAGATCATGAGACGCATCTTGCGAAAGATTCTGAGCGGTGAGGAGGACAGTCTTGGTGACATTTCAACGGTACGTATGAGTAGCAACCCCGTGTCACGCGTTTTTGCCGTTGTGTGGAATTTCCCATCTAATGACATCTGCAACAGCTCTCGGATCCTAGCGTCGTGAATAAAATCATCGACACTTTCCACGAATGGAAAAAAGCTATGGCAGCTGCCGCCGCCGCTGCTGCTGCTGTGTCAGCAACCGCGCCACCAAACAGCACAACCGGTTAAATTTCCAAAGAGGAATATAGGTAACGGGCGCAACGGCGGTTCTGGGAGGCTTTGTTACCTGGATTTTGGTCTCCCCTCGTGAAATAGAATCAGCTGTTTTATGTGGCGGTTTTAGCGGAGCTTTGCTCGAGGATTTGCGCTGATACCACTATGTATGTCTTGTTGTCACTTTACTTCCCGGAGTATAACGACTGCCGGTTCCAATGCGTTTTATATGTATGATTTACGGATGGGTTTATGTTATATCAGCCGATCGATGTTATGACCTGGGGTCGGTTATGAATGCTATCAACGACCAGTCTTTTCTGTTGTGCTTGAATTGTAAATTAACTAGATTTTTATCGCTCTCTCCGTTGGCTGCCAGAGGAGGAGCTTGAAGTTATCAAAATGCCAGTCTTTGCCCGGGGAAATACACGCCCCTTTGCTCACTAACTAGTGACGAGGGGAAAACTTGCTATTAGTAAGCAGGCCTGGTGACCAGGTATCACCTGACCGTGACGAGGTGACAGCACCCTACTAGGCAGCCGAACCGGTTACTTAAGCGAGGCGTCTGCCTTGCCACATCTGGCTAGCTGTCTTTCAACTTCGCGTTGCTCTGCTGGATGGCGGTTCATCTTTTTCGCTGATGAAAACATCCCAGCATTCATCTTTGAGCGCCTTTCAACAGTCTTTCAAGACGTCTTTCTAATTTGTTTTATAAATATTACTTTTAGCCTTCTTTTTAATTTCGCAATAGCGATTTCTAAGTGCGAGGACCCTTCTCGTTGCCCGATCGACAACGCAGCAGAGCGCGACTCCCTTTCCTTTTTTTCTCCCTTTTTATTTTTTTTTTTGAAGCCCCTGCATATAGCGACGTTTGCCATCGTTCATGGCTTAACAACATCAAAGTTGGAAGGGACTTTGGAATTGATCGTCTTTCGAGTCCTGATCGGCCATCATGTCAGGCTTCGGCGCTGGCTCTGGCTTTGGGGGCTTCGGCTCCGGTAACCAGCAACAACAAAGCGGTGGGTTCGGAACTGGATCAGCTTTTGGGGCATCAGGCTCAGGTAGGTTCTCTATTGTTGGTTTCCTTATTTTTCATTCATGTCATGCGATGTTTGGTCGTGTGGCGATATTCTGGGTCCTATTCTCCGACGGTTCGACTGGATCTCGTTGTCTTCAAGAAGGAGAAATAAAATCTCAGCAATAAGCGATAGAAACGAAGATCCTGGGACGGATGCCTGTCGGCAGAAGCAAGTATTCCAGGAAAGCAGCCGTCTAATGCGAATGTTCCATTCGTCTAGGCTTCGGGTCCGGATCCTCTTCGTCACCGTTTGGTTCCGCAGCAAATACATTTGGTGCTTCCAGCGGCTTTGGATCAGGAGGAGGTACGTGTTTACTGTCAAATCTCCTGCATTACTGCGACAGACGAAGATTTTCACCTCCAGTTCTGTTGTCTGAAGACTGTCCTATCGTTTTCTTTTGCCGTGAGAAAAAATGATTGTATGCGGCAAATATGGCTATCTTCAGTACTACCTTTTGCGACGTACCAAGGGACTTTCCTGGCTTCTGGCGCGAATGTAGCACCTGTCCCAGGAAGCTCCCAGCTTCCAGGGATACCAATGCGAATGCGCCATAGAACAACATATTTATTTATATTTGTGACTCTTCTAAGCTAACGGTGTTTCTTCTCGATTAGGTTTCGGCGCTCCTACTGCACAAACAAACCCCATTTTTGGAGGTCAGAATAAAGGATTTGGGTCCACCCCGACATCCACTGGAGGTATGTTTGGATCGGGAACAAGCACGTTCGGTAATACAGGCTTCGGATCAGGCAGTTCGTTCGGCAACACTCCAAGTACAGGGAGCAGTGGTATGTTTGGGAGCAATCAGACATCTGGCTTTGGAAGCGGCAGTCAGGGTAGCAGTCTCTTTGGTGGAGGAACTACAGGCGGAACCGGGTTTGGCGGTGGGAGTGCATTCGGTAGCGGAACAGCTTTGGCTGGCGCCATTCCCCCGGCAAGCGGAACCGCAAATCCACCGTTCAGCGCATATGAAGAAAAAGACTCTTCGGGGACATGCCATTACCAAAGCATTAGTTGCATGCAGCCGTACTTGAAATATTCCTTCGAGGTATATCACCATGGATTTAATTTCTTTTTCTGTTCGAACATTCTCACTAACTCCGAGATAGGAACTTCGCGTTGCGGATTATGACCAAGGACGCAGATACGGAAATGCTAGCGGTCAGGCCGGAGCATTTGGAGCAACTGCCTTCGGGGGTTTCCAACAGCCTGCTGGCGGGTTTGGCACTCAAGCTTCTAGTAATCCCTTTGGTGCAGCCTCAAGCGCGCCTTCAACTTTTGGACAGACAGCGACAAGCGGTTTTGGAAGTGGTACTTCAACAAACCCATTGTTTGGGGCTACGAAGCCAGCTGGCTCAGTGTTCGGTCAAACCCCTACCTCACAGCCAAGCGGTTTCGGCACAACCACAACTGGCACCGGGGGATTTGGGTCAACTACAGGTACGGCTTTTGGTTCAGGTAATCTCCTCGGCAATCAGCAAAAGACGGGATTCGGCACGGGCACCACTGGGACTGGATTTGGTGGATTCGGACAAACCGCACCTACCACTAGTGCTTCGCCGTTTGGAGGCACTACAGCCACGTCCTCCCCGTTTGGTCAGCAGCAAGCTGGAAGCGGTGGCTTTTCAGCCTTCGGTCAAACCCAACAGAGCCAGCAAAATAAGCCAGCATTTAGTGGGTTCGGAACCACCACGCAACAGCAACAGCCGGCCGGAGGAACCCTATTTGGGGGAACGCCTGCAGGTACCGGAACTACAGGGTTTGGAACAAGCCTCGGACAACAAGGTGGCACATCGCTGTTCGGGGGTACGACTGGACAGCAAGCCACATCAACTAATTTATTTGGCGGTCAGCAGCAACAACAGCAGGAACAGAAGCCGAATCTGTTTGGCAATCTTGGGACCGGAACTTCGACCACGGGCACCAGCGGCTTTAGTGGATTTGGAACCCAACCTCAACAGCAACCGGGATCCAGCTTGTTTGGAGGAACACAACAACAGCAAAAGCCAAGTCTTTTTACCCCCAGCACAGGCCAAACTGGTAGCTTGTTTGGTACTCAAGCAAGTGCAACTCCTGCCTCTACTGGTGGCTCTTTGTTCAATCTCGGTGGTGCGAATCAGAACGCACAACAGCAAAATACCGGTGGATTAGGCTTGGGCTCGTTGGGTAGCGGCAGCATGTTCGGAACTCCACAGCAACAAACACAACAGCAGCCTCAGGCTACTGGCCTTCAAGCGTCGCTCCTGGAAGGCAATCCTTACGGAAACCAGTCAATCTTCTCTGGCCTGCCTGCACCGAATGCTCCCTCTCCAGGACCCTTAGCCACACCACTGTCCGCGAGTATCAAACAAAAGCAAAGAACACCACTGCCTATGTATAAAGTTTCTCCTCATGCTGCAAACCGCCTCATCACCCCTCCCACTCGCCAAGGATACGGATTTTCGTATTCTACATATGGCACTCCTAGCAGCTCCATTGGTACACCGACTGGAACGAGCCTGTTAAGTAGAAGTTTTAATGGAGGAAGCTTGGGGCGGGGCTTCAGCAAGAGCCTTTCGGCAAGTAGCTTACGCAGATCCTTCGAGCCAGAAACGGATAGCATCCTGTCCCCGGGAGCATTTTCTCCGGGAAGCTCTCGATATTCAAGCTCGAACTTGAAGCGCTTGACAATCGACCGGAGTCTTAGAAATGACCTATTTGCACGGGCACCCCAGCCCCCGGCCACAATTACGAATGGCGATAGTACTCCACAGCAATCTAGCAAACTCAAGAAGAGAGTCAGCTTTGATTCTCCCATTGATAGCGAGGAATCATCTGCGAAAGCTGATGGAGCTCTTGTCCACGTGCAAAGCTCAACCCCGGAGCCAACACCGGAAGAATTGGGCTTCTTGCGGTCGGGTAAACAGAAGAGCACTGCTGCCGAATCGAATAAAGTGAGAGAGGTTGAGAATGTCAATGGCACCCCCGACGGTAAATCTTCCGCTAGCTCCAGCGACCAGCCTGAGATGGAACAGATCCGAGGAAATGAACTTGCCATCGTCCCTGAAGACCGTGAGCAAGAAGAAGTTGTTACACCAGAGAAGCCCGGACTGGTGAAAGTTCCAGAGAGAGACCCTCAGCCTGGAGAATATTGGATGAAACCATCCCGCCAAGAGATCAACAAAATGACGCGCGAGCAACAGAAACAGGTATCCAACTTTACCGTGGGTCGCAAAAATTGCGGCAGTGTTACGTTTAATAAGCCTGTTGACCTCACAACGGTTAATCTCGATGATGTGATGGACTCGATCGTCGTGATCGGATTACGTTCCATCACTGTATATCCTGAGGAAGGATCTAAGCCACCGCGAGGCAAAGGCTTAAACGTCCCGTCCACTTTGACAATTGAAAACTCTTGGCCACGAGGTCGCGACAAGAAGGCTCCTTCGCCACTGACGAGTGGACCACTCTTTGATAAACATATCGAGCGTTTGAAGCGCGTTACGAATACCGAATTTGTCGAATATCGGAAGGATAAGGGTATTTGGATTTTCAAAGTTCCACACTTTACCACTTACGGGCTTGATTATGATGATGACGATGAAGGTGAGAGTTTTGATCAAAGCACTATGAGTGCTCATCCTGACATGGTCACTCCAAAGGCTCAAATTCCCTCACATCATCTCGGGTCAGAATTTAATGATTCAACAATTAGCGTCGATGATTCGTTTGACGACTCAATGATCGGAGTCGAAGACGATACGTTCGAATTCAAAAAAAGAGGTTTAGTTCCTGGAGCCTTTACGAACCAGTCTGTTATTGGTAAATCTGTGTCCTTTGAGTCGGATGAAGAGCAAGAATCTTTTTTAGGGGAGGGCTCCGTGGGTTCGAATTCTGAAAATGGATATGTTGAAGAAAGTGACGGTCATGACACTGTCACATCAGAACTTGAATCAGACAGGGACGAGACGATGGATATGGCTGGTGCATTTCCTGTCCCTGACTATACCGCGGAGCAACCTACTCCAATCAGCCCCCAAAAATCAACTTTCGAACACTCGCGAATCGGGCATATGGATGACTTGAGTTTAAACTTGAGCGGAAATTGGGCAGAGCAGTTGCAGCGCACCATCAGTCCTCGGAAACAAGATCGACAAGCTCTGCGCGAAATCCAAAACAGTGTCTTTGCGGACAGAGACGGGAGTGATGACACCCCAAAGGCAAAATCCCAAGACAGCAAGGACAAAGGATTTGCTACAAGCATCGATCTTATGAACTCCCTTTTCCGACCGCGGCAGGCCAGTCCGCGAAAGTCTCAGGTGGCGAAAACTCGGGAAGGATTCGAGGTTTGACTCCTTTTTCTTTTCTTTTCCCTCTTTGTACTTAACTCCCTTAGTTGACACTATTTTGCGGCTGTACGTAATTGAGAAATTAAGGAACGCTGTACTAAGATATTCTCTCTTTTAGTGGCCATATGCCAAGAAGCCTAAAACTTTCGCCGGAAAACCCGGTGACATGCCGGAAGATGATGTTAGCTTCCATTCCTCGTTTAAACCCAGATGGGCAAATTTGAATACACTTATTCTTCGCGGGGTTGCTTCGCCATCAATGCTTGATGCTCACGAACCAGAGATTATACTTTACAAGCTTGGAGATATGAAGGAGGTTTGTGCTTATGAGCGTAGTCACACCAGCACAAGTTTTACTAACAGATTCGATTAGAACCAAGATGCCTTGCTCTTGCAAAAGGCTCGTTCAGTTATACAAATCATCGATGACGTCCCATCCGCTAGCTTGTCTGTCGCTGATTTCCTTGCTTTAATCGACGTTGTCCAGGAAGAATCACCGGAAGGCGAACTAGAACGACGGGTTTGGCAACTAGCATATATCCTTTTTAATGATGATATTGAGGATGATATATCGGCTGGAGTCCCGGAGCACTTCCGCAAGCAATATCTCCACCGCATCAAGAAAGATCGCCTCAGTCTACTGTGGGAGGATATCATCCGCCAAACTCATGGTGCCAATGTTGAGGCTAGTGCAACTGCAGAAGAACGAGCAATCAGATATCTCTGCCTCCATAGAGTTGAAGATGCGTGCAAGGCCCTCATCGAAGGTGGAAACCCCCACTTAGCAACGCTGATTTCTCAAGCTGGACGAGATGAAACTATTAGAAAGGACATGAAAGACCAAATTGAGTTCTGGCGGAACCAGAATGTACTCTCTGAAATGACTGAGCCTATTCGTGCGCTGTACGAACTCGTTGCCGGTAACTGTCTTCGTAGCGAGGGCAAACCAAATGCAGCCATCGAGGATCGAACATCGACTTTCAGTATCTCCGAACGGTTTGGTCTCGACTGGGTCCAAGCGTTTGGTCTCCGCTTGTGGTATGGTATCGGCGAAAGTGACTCTATTGAAGCCGCCGTGAGTCTGTTTCAACATGATATCTCCCATGGGAACGAGCCTGCGTATCCGACTTCGATCTTTGGGGACCGTCGGGAGCAGCCAGGGGCTGACTTACCTGAATCTCCTCTGTGGGTTATCTTGAAAATCTTTGCGGTTGCCAAATATAATGGAAAACATCCCGAAATTCAACCAATCTGCGTACCACGAGATATTATGCCTGAGGCCTTTTCTGCCCAGGGGTTACATAGCCGACTCTCATTCCAACTATTCCATCATATCTGCAAGGTCGCACGTCAATACAACGCACTTGAAATCGATGAGCATCGTGCAGATCAACTTGCTCTTAATTATGCCTGGGAACTTGCTGCTTCGGAGGAATATGGCCCGGCGTTATTCGTTCTTCTATATCTCAATCGTGCCGTGGATCGTGAACGTAGTATTAAAGAGATGTTATGCCAATTTGCTGAGTTGCTCCCTGCACCAGTCCTAGAAGATGAAACAACGAGTGTTATGTGGAAATATCTCACTCAGGAACTCCGTCTTCCGACCCCCTGGATCTGGGCCGCGAAAGCACTCTTTGCACGGTCCGCAGGTGTAACACCTACAGAGGTTGGGTGTCTTCTTAATGCTAGGCATTGGGACGAAGCCCATGATACGTTCTGCAGGGTTGTTGCTCCGCGGCTCGTCATTGAGCGCGATTACGATACACTTAAATTGTTGCTCGATGTATTTGGCAAAACCCCAGAAAGAAGGATTCGTGGGTGGCCACAAGAAGGTGGATTGTATCGAGATTTCCTGGCTTTAGTGGATGTTCCAGGGATTCGGAAAGACCAGGCTGTGTTGAAAAGACTGACCAGCACACTGATAAATGCGGGTGAAAAAATCGAGAAGAGCACAACAGTGCCTTTCGAGGAGAAAGTGGCGTTAAAGGAAATTGGTCGATTGGTCGCTGGGTGGTGCACGAATGACATTGGCAGTGTAAGTTTGATTTTGGCCTTCTAGTAGTCGCGTACGTCTCTTCTGGATTGTTTACTAACCAAACACGCCTTTTTAGACTCTGCAGCCGGCTGATATACTTCGCCTTCCAATGACACAAGACGCAAGACGTATTCATGCCGCGGAGGTTAGCAAGCGATATTATCGGGCAATTATGGCCAGTGGGGCTTGATTTATTGTGACTTGAAAAAATGAAGATGGAAAAATAGTTACACATGTATGATTTGATGGGAAGTTGATTGGGAGGATTGGTCGGCAGCTCTCGCCTGTGGATCACCACTGTGATAGCGGCCATATTTGTGGCAATTGCTCCAGCATTTAGTGATTTTTTTGATTGAATTGATTCAGCCCTCAGTTGCTGGAAGTAACTCAGCTCTGGACGTAGCGTCATCCAAGGTAGAAAATTAGTTAGCGAAACCCATAACACATACTCCCTATTTTGTGCTCGTTTCTTTCCAGTTGTCTACTTAACATCACACACAATAATTTCAGAATCTAACCTCATTTCATTGTACAATATAGAAATCCTAATGGCAAAAGGTAAGTACAAGCAGTATATGGGGAGCACAACAAACGAAAAATGTAGGTTGGATCAGTTCAGCTAGGATCCCATCATCCCAGTTTAGGAAGATTTATATTCTATACCTCGAATTTTGCCATGGAACCTCTCCAATCGAAACACTATCTACTGTCCTGGAGAGATAAGTTTGCCAGCATCCCGAGCTAAAGGATCCCAGCCACCAGCAAATGTAGGCTTTCCACCATTTTGTTGAGCGAATTTCTGTATTCTAGCCTCAAGCTCTGGTCTGAAATGACGAATGAGACCCTGGATAGGCCAGGCGAAAGCCTCACCAAGAGCGCAGATAGTGTGGCCTTCAACTTGCTTGGTGAGTTCCTGGAGCATATCAATCTCGCGCTCGCGGGCCTGGCCGCGTTCGAAGCGCTGCATGATCTGCATAGTCCATTTACTGCCCTCACGGCATGGTGTGCATTGGCCGCAGCTCTCGTGCTTGTAGAAATACGAGAGACGGGAAATGGCTCGGACAACGTCGGTAGATTTATCCATAACGATGACGGCAGCTGTTCCAAGACCAGATTGGGAGTCCTTCAGGGCGTCGAAATCCATGATTTGGTCATCACAGACGTGTTTAGGGAGGATTGGGGTAGATGATCCACCAGGAATGACGGCAAGAAGGTTGTCCCAACCGCCTCGGACACCGCCGCAATGACGGTCAATGAGTTCGCGGAGAGGAATGGACATTTCTTCTTCGACGGTGCAAGGGTTGTTGACATGACCAGAGATACAGTAAAGTTTTGTTCCCTGGTTGCGCTCACGGCCGAAAGAAGCGAACCATTTACCTCCACGACGACAAATTGTTGGTGCTACGGCAACAGTCTCGACGTTTGTGACGGTGCTGGGGCAGCCGAATAGACCAACCGCAGCAGGAAACGGAGGCTTTAGGCGTGGTTTTCCGGCCTTTCCTTCAATGGATTCGATCAATGACGTCTCTTCACCGCAAATGTAGGCTCCCATCCCCCGATGGATATAGATATCGAAATCATAGCCAGAGCCGCAAGCATTCTTTCCAATCAGACCAGCTTCATATGCCTCATTGATCGCACGCTGCAGGATCGTCGCCTCGTGGTAGAATTCTCCGCGAATATAGATGTAAGCGGCGGTAGCGTTCATCGCACGGCCGGCCACGAGGCATCCTTCGACTAGCTTGTGGGGGTCCTTTCGCATAATTTCACGATCTTTGCATGTTCCTGGCTCTCCCTCGTCGGCATTTACGACAAGATATCGAGGTCGTGGGTCCTTGTCCCAGTCTTTGAAATTCATGAAAGACTACCAACCCAGATGGTCAAGAGTTAGCAACTAATCCCGCAGGTAAATCATTGGCATAACTTGCACCAAGCCAAAATCCATACATACCCATTTCAACCCCGAAGGGAAACCAGCACCTCCTCTCCCTCTAAGTCCGGAAGCTTTAATTTCGGAGATGATCTAAAAACCAAACCATATGTCAGCAATCATCATCTACTTTCAAAGAAGCGGAAGATCAAGAAGAAAGCGTACCCAATCATGTCCCTTCAGCAAAATCTCTTTTGTCTTGTACCAATCGCCGCATTTCATCGCATTCTTCAGATCCGGGCCATGTCTACCATACAAGTTCTGAAATATGCGGTCCTGATCTTTTAATCCTCCGTGGACTCTGGGCGGAGGCACCGCTGCGGGGTCCTGAACGGTAGCATATTGGCGCTGCTGCTGCGTCTGGAGTTGCTGCGGTTGCTTCTGCTGCTGTGCAGACTGTTTCTGGGAGGATGGGAAGCGAGCGGTGCTGGTGGCGGCCGCGGCACTTGCGGACGAGAGGGCGCGCGACGAGAGGTGGGAGATGGAATGGGTCGTGGGAGCCACCACTGCCCTGGAGATCATGATGGGCTCTTTTTCTCGTTTCTGAGCTCCAATTGAGCGACGGGTGGAGGTGAAGTTCGGCGTGAAAGATGATGTTTCGTGGACGTTGTTGGTATTTCCGCCTCTTCTGATTGGCAAGAAACAAGTAGGTCACGTGATGCTGACCGTTCTGCCGAGCGACCGAAAAAACCAGCGACATAAAAAAATAAAATTAAACAATATCGTTGGGATCGCAGGCAAGACAAAGAAAAATAAAATGATGCATTACGGCTCATGTCTCAATGCAGTGAGTATAAATATATGCAGCTGCCATATCGACCTCTTTCCCCTCTATAAATGCGATATCCGCCTTTACTTGGCCTCGACGCTCCTCGGATCATGTGGAATGTAAAGGTAGCTATCGACGGGCGCCTGATCTAATGTTCTCGGCACGGATTCCACATCCATCAAAAAGGACAGTGGGCTTCTTGCTAGATCCACAGTCTCGTCCCTGGTAATGAGCCAAGCCCACCGCATCCAATTGCCTGATAACCAATACATCCGGTCAACAACCTTCCAGCTGTTGATCAGGTATTCCAAAGGAAACAGCCCATACTTCAGGCGTCGTGTCTTCTTGAATATCTTCTCTATAGAGTCTAACGATTTCTCTGCATCATCGTCCTCGAGAACCCAACGTACATCTTGCGGTGGTTCTGGATAATGCTCAATCAAGAACGCAACCCACTGTCGGAGACGAGCCGGAAGAATACCGCGGTTCTCATCGTCCGATGGATTTTCGTTTTGATCGATGTTTCGGTAAGCGGCAGCACAAAAACATATGAATATCGTATAAACAAGCTTCGTCTCGAATGGGGTCGGAATGTCTCCCTTCGGGTCACCCATAGCTTCGAGAATGCCTCTAACACAGGCTCTGAAGGGCTCTTTCGCAGTTCGGGTAAGGGTCTGGGAAACAGCATCTCCATAGAACAACTCCCCACCGTGTTTCAAGCTGGAGGGATGGTCCGTGATTAGCGACTGAATTTTGTTCAAGACCCTTTGGTTAAATCGCCGCTCGGGAAGAGCCTTCATGACGATATCGAACCAGCTAGAATAATCAGAGCATAATATCTCCACACTCTTTGCTCGTTGCAGCGTCCATTCGGCAATCGCGATGGCACACTCCGATATGTACATTTGACCTTCCCTATAGAAAGTCGCATTGCGCTGCTTTGAATTTTTCGGCTCCTTTTTGAAACACGCGCTGGTTTTTATTATCAAAACGGTTTGCATCAATATCTTAATCAATTGGCCAAGTCCGTAAAGAAGGCATCGGGAGCCGCCGTATTTCTCGAATGGAATATATATTCTGTTCTCTTCGATCTGCAGGTCAGCTAATTCTCGACGATTGGCTGACATCACCGCTACCGCATCTAATAAGCCCAAAGAAAAGACGGAGGTCTCCAACGTTCGACACTGAGAAGGCAAGGGGTAAAATATATTATAGACGTAATATTTATCCTCATTTGGAATGGATCCAGGCGTAGCAAAGCGTTTATACTGCTCTTTCTTGGCTACAAGTATTGGGCTGCCAGCTGGAGGCTTTAGGGAAAGTTCCCGGTAATCACATATATTACCAGGGATGCAAAATCCGTAGTTCAGCATCACTAATAATGTCAGTATCCATTTTGTAAAGAGCTTATATTGCATGAAAGTGCTGCACGTACAGCGTTCATTGTTCCGAGGTCCGTAGTTGTTAGGGACTTCTTGACCTGGGAGGAGAGTTTTGTGCACGATGAGGCCAACCACGCCCTGCGAAGTCCTCCATTCTACCTGTGCCAGGGGCTGGTGGTTGGTCATGTCGAGTAACGGTACCAAAACTGAAAATTCACCTCCAGTTACATTAATTGATTTGGAATTTTTGACATAATCTTTTAGGACCTCGGACGAGAACGCGCGAGATATAATTATCGAGGACGCCCAAAGAAATCGCTCCCTAAAAATCTTATTTGGTACACTTATCCCAGCAGATTCTTGAAATAAGAGAACTTACCAGGTGTAGTTTTTTGTGTTTTTATTCGGAGATTCCTTGAGCATCTGCAACCCAACCTCATACGTCGTCTTCAGCTTTATAAGCATGTTTTCGCGTAGCTTTAGCAAATTAGTTCCTTCTAGCCATTCTAGATCCTCGTCACTGTAATATTCAAGTCTCGTGAGTTGGCTATCTTCCGGAAGACTTCTGATATACGGAGCCCAAAACGATTCATCCCCCAAAAGATATTGATCCATTAGTAAAAAGGCCGATGCACCCTTCTCCTTCACCGCAGGAAGGAATTCCGGCGAGCATAGAAAGCCGTGTGACGGGACGCCTTTGATAATCTTCTCCAGGTTCGCAACAGACATCGTTGCCTGGATGGGACAAGAGGCAACACATGTCCCGCTGGCAAGATTTTCGGGCAAGAAATGCTGAACACGAAGGCATTGCCCCTTTACAGGATCAGTGCTTAATTGAATCCCGTCGGCGAGGCCTCCCCCGAGCTCTTTGACCCACTCTAGTAAAGACTTTGGCGAGGATCTCGGAGGCGAATCAGAATTGGCACTTGATTGGGTTGGGATCAGTGATCTGTTTCCATTGCTTCAGCATCTGAAATTCAAGCGTATGTACGGAGTATGTCAGGAAGAGATAAAGAATGAAAATCCCTGTAGTCTCCAGAGAGGTTGTTCCAATCACACAAGTTGATGTCGCAGGATCGACATCGCACTCCATGCCACTAAGGTGTTGACTAATAAATGTAACACCTTGAAAAGCTCATGAATGATGATAGACGGCAAGATCTAGCCATTTCAAAAGGATGAAGTAGCATATTCAGTTCTGGCATTCAACACGGATATCATTGCCTAGTGCTTCGTCGTCCCTCTTCAGATGAAAGGAGGGGCGAAGAAAAAACAAAAAGAAAAATGGCACACCAGACAAGATAAGATGAAAATCACTAAAATAAAACGACTTACCCATCAGATGCATCGACATCCATATCTCCCTCTACCTGGAGTGACATGGATCCTATTTCTGCACTCATAGTAGCCTGACACTCTGCTCTCGAAAGCCTCTGCGCCTCTGCTCCCTCCCAAAGTTCGGCGCTTAAAAATATGTGGTAGTTGGAAAACTTAAAAAGTCCCAATAGGCTTCGTCGTCAAGAAATGCGAACAAGACAGATTACTGTAGCCATCAACTTACTGCATGGGACGGTATTGGCAGATAAGAACGGACAGGTGGAATTTCCCACTTGCAATAAAATCACCATCTGCTCTGGTAGTATACAATGTATGTACAGGAAGGGAACAAGAAGGCGAAGAAGAAGCGGAGGAAGCAACAGTCCAAAAAAAGACCTTTCCCAAATGCCAGCAGTAAGAAAATCAAAGCGTCAGAATCATCCGTCATAAAGCAAGTAGAACCCAGGAAGCAGAAGCAGAAGAACCAACAACCTTATCCCCCTCCATTCCCTCCCTTTGGTCTATCCCCGTAGAGTATCCGATTGGTATCACAAAACGAATCTATCCTCCCCCCTCCCGGTCTGCATCAGATCTATCGAGACAGTGAGAAAACAACAGATGGCACCACTCTCTACAAGAAATCGTAAGGGGCCTATGCATATACCTGATGTCGGACACTCGTCCGGACAACGAATCGAAATCGAACCGACTTAAGAGATCCGTAACATCAAGCAGAGGGCGTGTTAATTGGAAGGAGTCCTCCTCCCTGGCACAAGAATCTCTATCAAACCCTCATCTTCGTCATCACTATTGTCGTGTTGCCCACTGTTATTCGAAGACAAGGTCGTGCTGTTTGCGTAGCGCTCTCGACCGAAAAAATCCGAGTACCCAATGGTCTCTCGGATAAGCGTTTCTTCATCGTCATCGTCCGAATACGAGCTGAATCCAGTAGATGGCTCGACTATATCCCCCACTTCGTCGTCGTCGTCGTCGTAGACCTCAAGTGGAAGGCGGTAGTTACGTTGGACTGCTTCGATGCTTTCGTCATCATCAGACGAACTTGACGAATACGCACTTGGCGGCTGGAAACTGGAAAAGAATGAGTGTCGCGGCGACGACGATCCTTCTCCAGGCATTGCGAACGGCGATACAAATTCCAGGTCAGCGTTGGGGTCTAGGTCTCGGTCGTCATCCGCACTGAGAAACGGATTGCTCGTCGGGGCGGTCCCGGAAAAGTCTTCCCTTTGGTTGGAGAAACCCGGTCTGCTATCTGGAACAATCTCATTCTGGTTTTTGGCATCCGAAGCATCCTTTCCAGATGCAGATGCAGCCTTTTCAGCAGCTTCCTTTTGAGCAGCTAGACGGGCGGCAAGCTGTCGTCGAGCACGCGACGGCCCACTGCTAAGAGACGTGGGAGGAGGGGGAGGAAGAATCGAAATCGGACGACTTGTCGGGCCATCGGCTCCCTAATAAGTGGGTTAGCTCCGGAGACAAAGGTGAAAAGGTGCAAAAGGAGACCTAGAGACAAAATAGGAATTAAACAATAGTGCTTGTACATATGACAAAGAGCGAGAAAAAGCCGTAGATGAGAACACATTTTCTCGCATCTATTCAGAAACCGAAACATGAGAGGAAAATAATAGTGTTATTTTGCAAAGAAGAAAGGCTAGAACCATGATGATCCGCCAGCTATGCTGTAGAATGCGGAAAAGCTTGATCCAAGCATGCATAAGCTCAAAAAGACAAGGAAAAAAAAAAAAAGAACGCCCAAACATAGGTATCTGAAGGGGGAAAAAAAAATTAAAGTGTTTTTGTGAAATATGAACATATGCACGCCAGTCGAAGGAGAATAATCGGATGCAAATCGCTGGCAAAAACACATGAAAGAGTTATGATGTCGTAAAGTGCAAGGTAATGTGACCATCAGAAAATGTTTATGAAAATCGTCAAAGGAATTCATGCTCTCCCAATCACTGATCCATCATGTCAATATCTTCGAAGGAACTTTCACCCACATTTGCAGAGTCTAACCCATCATTATTTGTGTTTTGGAAGCCACGATGTAAATCCTCGGGATCTTCCATCTCTTCGTCTTCGTCATCACTCGAGCTGCCGAATCCACTGAATAGCGAAGCGGTACCAGCTCCGTAGCCCAAGACTCCACCGGAAACCGTTCCTTGATTCGAGAAATTCAAACTGTCGAAACCAGAGCTTGGGATCGATCCGTTCAAGCCGGCATTAGTGAGTGCAGAAGATGTACCCAGCCCCTGACCTCCACTGATCGCGTTCAAAACAGCTTGCCGATGGCCCATTGACATATCCGGCTTGACGCCGCCAAGGATGGCATTATCACGTTCCCTTGTCTCGGCAAGGGTATTCTCGACAAAATTAACCCAATCAGGATGTAATACGGTTTTCATTATCTCTTTGGGCAATGCCTCTGGGCTGAGCCGTTCTGTGAACTTAACAACCTCTTCGGAGATGAGCGTTAAGTGTCCCATATATCCGAGCCGTGTTTTTTTCGCAGCCTCAGCTTCGTCGTTCGCGCGTTGACCCTTGACAATTTGCGCCGGGATCTCAGCCTCCTCGAATAGATTGACCACTAAAACCTGATTGAAGCCCTGTTCCATGGAGCCGTTCAATGCCTGCTGAATAACATCGTATACAACGTTGTGAAGAAAGTTGTTCCAAGGAAAACGAAAGAAAAATGACTAAAATGATCAGTTAGCCTAAGTCAGAAGTTAAAAAGGGATACTGGTGGCCCACTCACCAATATCGTGGGTAAAACATTATGCTTATAAAACATTATTTTTAAGTAATCCCCGACGACTGGACGACCGTTTGAATCTTCTTGAATATATTGAACAAACTTTTCTCTTTGGCTTGGACTGAGGAGCTGTTGACCACATGAAGCATAATCATTCGAACCGTCCTCTTGTTTTTGGTTCTTTGCTATCGGAGGAACCTTGGCTGCTGGAGATGGCGAAGGGGTAGGAAGATGGTTTGGCCGATTTTGGTCACAGGTAACTTCTTGAGCTGTATCATTTAAGGCTAGTGCGGAGGTAACTTGATCTGAACTCTGCGACTCAGTAGGACTTTGGTTAATGGACTCAATTTTAAAGCCTTGGACCTTCTCAGTTAACCCAGAAGATGTTGGTGATGTTGGCCCTTCTTGTTCAGAAACACCAGCTGAGGGTGGTGGTGGCCTTTCTGGGAGTTTCTCAGTCGACGAAGGGTCATTTCGAGGAGGAGTAAGAGGCTCGTCTACTAGATCGTCACGCACTCCCAACTTGCGCACATGAGTGAAGGTGCCAACGCATGACTTGGTATCCTCCTCATTTGTGTTTTCAGGAGTGCCTTTGGCTTCCAAAATGACACTAGCCGAGCCAACGTCTTCGAAACCATCTTCTTCTCCCGTATTGGAGCTATCAATTCTTCTGATCTCGTCGGGGGAGCCTGAACCAAGCGCCGAGGGCGATATTCCGTTGCCGAATTCATTAGTATTTTCGGTATACAGCAAACCGGAGTCTTCGTCTTGTCGACTAAAGGCTCCCAAGTTTCGTAGGCGCTCTCGTTCACTCTCTCGTATTTGCATATATTCATCACTACCAATCTCGTTGTGTAATCCCATATTACTGCAATGCAATAATTCTGCCATGAGTTCGCAAGTTTTGAACCTATCGAATCCTAGGGGCTCGACCTTTGATCCCCATGCTGTGCTTAACCGACCTCGCTCGATTACCTTGTATGTGCCACCCTCATTAACCGTTCGGTCTGAACTGAGGATTAACTTCATAAAGTCAGGAACATGGTCAGCGAATATGCGCAGAAGGGTTCCCAAGTAAATGGGGTCGTGGTTGGAAGGTGTCGCATCCCGGCCCTCAGGTGGCTCTGGGTCATAATCTGGATTGTTTTTGCGGATAACATCGATCACAATTCCAACTGCGACAACGAGAGGATTTCCGCCTTGTAGCATTATGGAGATCAGATTTCGCAAGCATGGTTCCGAGACTAACTGGCGAGTAAGACTATTTGGACCAATACAAGGTTGTTCATTTTGTGCCGCATTTGCAGATATTGTAATGAGTGCTTTGAGAAAATCACCAGCGGATGTTTGTGTCGAAGCAGAGTGTTCAGTCGAAATATAGGATAATAGGATTGGTATGAAGTTGTTCGAATAGAGCCACTGATTAATAAGTGTGATGTTAGCCTGACGATAAATCGTTTGGTACCAAGGGATGGGGAGGGTAGTAGGAAGGCCCTCACCTCTGTAACCACCAGACCAGCCTCGGGCTTGTCCAAGCTAATAATCTTCAAAAGTAAATCCATCACAGATGGGTTATCCACGTGCCTCAGCATCGTCTCGATAATGCCATCTAGGGACATGACAAACGAAATCATTTCCGGTGTCTTTTGATCAAGCAAGACTTCATTAACCTTATAGAAATAGCTAGACTGCAATGAATCAAGGGGTGTTTTCCCGTGCAAGAACTGCCAGAAGATTCGAAGCGATTCCTCATTTAGCATCATGGCCTCTATTATGGACCAAGCAGGTGCAGAGAGGACCTCCGAAGAGATGTATGCGTACTTAAGTCGAGCTTTTTCGGCATTTTCCAGTTCTTCCGGGTCGAGGTCTGCGCCTAATCCATCCGACTGTTGGGTTACTGTACTTTTCGGTTCGACGTCTCCTTCGCCCGAAACAGCTTTCTCCAAGTCGCGATCGCTCGACTTGCTTTCTCCGCAAGCCTTTATATCTTCGTTATCGTAATGGTCCTCATTGTTTAAAAGGCTAGGCGAAACAATGTATTCCAACATGCGTTTCAGGACATGATCTTCGCGGATGAATTCTATCAGCTTGGTGTTATGCTGCTTCATCTCATGCAATAGTTCCGACTCATCCAGGACCTCTTCAACGGTAACATCTGGCTTGTCCAGTAGTGTGTTAATCGGCGAAATATTCGCGTATCCGCCATACCGCCAGAACATGATGCCGATTCGATGTATCTAGAGAGGAAGGGGGAAAATTGTGAATGGAGGACAGCAGGCAACAATCATGGGTTACCGCCCCTTTGAGCACAACGCTTTTCTAGTCAGCAGACCAGAAAAACTGACGCACAACCTGCCGTCCAGGTTCCAGCAATTATGTTCGATATCGCTCAGGGATTTTATCAATTTGTATAGCCGCCAGGACTTCAAGGCGACACAGAGAGCGCGAGGCCAAACTAAATGTCATTAATCAGATCGCAGGATGGACAGGTGTGTGAAACGAAGATTAAAAGCGACGTTGCGCTGTTGGCGGGCTATTAGTATCATCATCACGAATTTACGGAGAAAGAGATATCTCGACGTTACAGAGGATAAGGCGCATCGCCAGGTGAGAGGGGCCATGACCACGGACAAGATGACGTACCTCTTTGCAATACCATTGAAAAGGGAGTGACAACAAAGCAAATATGGGTACAATAGGAGATGGATTAAGAGATGATTCAAGATGAATCATGCAAATGTACTGTCGTCAGCTGCTTGATGGTTGATATCTGATAGACGTATTTCGTAGTTGGCGAAATCGGTTGGTGTGGTTCTGGGGCTGGCTGTAGGTGCGGCTAGAAGTGAAATCACAGATCCACAGGAAACGCGAACCTAAAAAAACTGCAAAGATATCATAGAATGTTCAGTTGATGCAGGTGTGCCAACTGAAGCCAAACTGGTTTGTTGATTAACGTGAACCAGTGCTCTTGATAAGATCTCACTGTGGCGTCCGGCCTAGTCTGCTGCTGGGCGAGTGACCTTTTGCGCGAAAGTCAACCTTGACCCCCGGCATATCATGTGACTGGCCCGGTGATTCCCTGGATGCCACGGCTTGGCGTCTCAATTGCCTTAAATGCCACATTTCCAACGTCTTCAGCCCCGCCGTGGCTGGCCCTCATGACATAATCTGTCGTCGCTCGCTGCTCCTCGTCACCAAGCAATTATGGACAAACATGCCACCAACACTGTGAAGAAGAACACCGGAATGACTGTCTATGACAATCTATCTTAATCCACACTTGGTTCTCATAGCTACAAGTTCTGTTACTGTTAACGCCCCAGACAGATTTTTGTGATCCCAGCCCTGTGGCACTCCTGCGCGGAGCTCCTCCCAACTAATAGTCATCAATTCGTTGCAGCTTTAGTCTCGAATTCATAGTCATAACCACTCCTTAAAATGAACCGGCTATTCGGCGCAAAGAGCGCTGCTCCCAAGCCCAGCCTCGACGGCGCCATACAAAATGCAAGCACACCTTCGTACCCATCCCCCAACACTCCGCCACTTCATAGCCAGGCTAACACTTACCTTCCAGGTTGAAGCCCGCGTCTCCAACCTAGACGTCAAGCTCGCTGCACTCAACGCGGAATTATCCACCTACCAGTCCAAACTCTCCAAGATGCGCGACGGCCCGGGCAAATCTGCCCTCCGTCAGAAAGCCCTCAAGGTCCTCCAGCGACGCAAGCAATATGAAGCCCAGCGAGATCAATTAACCCAGCAATCCTGGAATATGGAGCAAGCGGGCATGATGCAGGATAATCTACGGAATGTGATGACCACAGTGGATGCGATGAAGACGACTACGAAGACGCTGAGACAACAGTATGGCAAGATCGATGTTGATAAGATCGAGCGTCTGCAGGATGAGATGCAGGATTTGATGGATATTGGGAATGAGATACAGGATAGTATCAGCCGTTCGTATGATATACCGGAAGATGTGGATGAGGCAGAGTTAGACGCCGAGCTGGAAATGTTAAATGAAGAAGTAATGCTTTCTCCCGAAGAAGGGTTGCCGTCATTCATGCAGGACGAAGTTGCCCCACCGTCATTCATCGACGAACCACCAGAACAGAACAAGGTTAAAGAGGCGGCAGGTGGAATTGAATGATATCCAATTTGCACTTATTTCATTTCTCCCCACTGAACCTTTTGGTGCTTTAGGGGCTTTCTATTTACCCCCCAGATCCAAGCCTATTTAAATTATGAAGAAAAGCATAAAGCCAGTCAATTTTAGCTAACTACCCGGTGTCTTTGAGAATGCCTTTCTTTGCCTAAACTGTCTCAACAGCACTAATATGGATAACCCGTCCATATTCTTAAGCTATTACTCTGTACTTGTTTACCTGGCGAAACAAATTGAAAGACAGCAAGCTGAAAGGGAAACATAACACTTTGTCGAATTGCATCTTATTAATGCAGGTAAAACATGTTTTGTCAAATTTAAGAGCTATCTATGACAGGTGAAAAGTATAACCCGCCACAAAAGCATGGTGAGAAAATGCTCACCATAAGCAGCAGATGCTCATGCTTTGCCCATACCCACAAGGACGAGCAGTGCAATGTTCAAAACAGTGATGGCAATCCAGATCAAGACACCTAGAATGGTCACCAACCAATTATTCTTCATAGACACACCCTTAACTTCCTGGCCCTCAGGATTAGAATTTCCAGTCATTAACCCCGCCTCCACTGTCATATACCGGGAGCGCGACGTAAAATAAATAAGTGGGGCAGAGACGAAAGGAAGCATCGCGCTCAAAACAACTTGTGATGCAGTTAGAGCAGCGTTTAAACCCTCTTTGCCCACAGCAGCCGCAATGATGACACTAGGAATGATGCTGATGGATCGAGTGATCAATCTCCGGAGCCAGGGCGCTACGCTCCAGTTAAGCATCCCCTCGCTAACCATTTGCCCGGCAATAGTGCAGACGATTCCTGCGGAAATTCCAGACAAAAGCAGGGCGATTGCGAAGACAGTACCGGCAGCAGGCGAGATGGTCTCGGAAAGAAGCCTGTGGATTCCAAACAGGTCTGCATCACTGGCCTCGGAACCAGAGAGCGATGCTCCGGCAACAATAAGGATGCTGCTGTTCACGAATAGGGCAAATGTGAAGAGTGAAAGGACCAGTTCGAGTACCGAGTACTTGAGGCATCCGCGTATCGCGTGAACTGTAGGCCGATATTTATCCTCATAGGTATTGCCATATTGCACTGATGGATCGATGTACCCGCGATTAATATCATACTCTCTGAGGCGGGATTGTACAACTCCACTTCCCAAAAAGATGGAGTGAGGCATAACAGTGGCACCGAGAATGCCACAGCTTAAGTATAGACTGACAGCTCTGTTAATAAACTGGTGACTGCAATATGCTTTGATAGAAAGAGGGGTTTAGACATACCCATTGTCCTTGACAATTGCTTCAGAGGGTAAATACCCTTTGAAAATTTCCCCTACACTGGACTCTTTGATAAGGGACAGCTGGACGCAGAAGCAACCCACGACACCAAATACGAGCGCCATGACAAAAAATTCGAAGGCTCGCAATGCCCTCATTGTTCCATGAGGTTTATAAAAGATCAATATTACCATGACATCAACAAGAGTGATGGCACAACCCGCAACGAGTGGTATGTTGAAGAGTAGATTAAGCGAAATCGCAGATCCGACCACCTGGACCTTAGGTTAGACATATCCCACAATCATCAAGGTTCACGAGGAAGTCTTACTTCAGCTATATCTGTAGCAATTATGGCAGCCTCTGACAAAACGTATAGCAAAATGTTGAGCCACTTGGGCAAATGGGCCTTACAATTTTCTGCCAGATTAAGCCCGGTAACGCTCCCAAGTTTGATGCATAGCGATTGAAGAAAGACGGCAATCACATTAGACATGAAGATGATGAACAGAAGGGAATATTTAGTGGACGCTCCGGCAGCAACGTCGGTGGCATAATTTCCCGGATCAATATAAGCGACGGCAATCAGAAAACCGGGCCCGATAAACTGGCCGAATTTTCGCAATGTTTTAACTAAGCGATGGATCAACTCTCTAGGGCCAAATTTACCCAGGTTCCCAGATCCGGCACCCCCAGAGTACCCGTGGAAATTCGGCCAGGATGAGCTCGAAATACGTCTGTTATCCACATCCTCCTCCAGGCCTACCTCCCGCTCTCCTACCGTAGACCCGTGCGCATCCTTCCCCGCGGAATGAGCGCCTGGTTCATCTTCGTCGGGGCTTTTGGACGGTATATCTTGCCCGGGGTTCAATTCGGTTCCATTTGGCCCGGTTCCTTTTCCTTTGCGCACTCTCATGTTAGCCATTCCGTTTAGGTCTTTGCGGGTGGTAAGGTCGGCGGTCAGAAGGGGAGGGCTCTGGTTCCAGCCTGGGTTGTCAGAAGGGTTATCGGTACGTGAAGGGCAATTCATCGTAGGTGACTCTCTGCACAGGACTAAGTTGCGAGACGTGCTTGAGGCGAGGTTTGTGTAGTCAAGAAGGTTGTTTTTAAAACAATTGACGTGCTGCAGACGTAGGGGCGCGGGGTTTTAACTGGGGTACGGCTATGGATGTACTCAACGGCGAGAATAATAGAGTTCGTTTCGTTCCTCTGAAAGATGTCGTCAAGTCCGCGGGTCGAAACTTGTTTCGACCCGAGAAAAGCCCTTTTTGATGCTGCTATTTCTAAACTTTTCCATCGTGCACATGAACGGCGCCAGAAGGGCCAGCGGATACCACGGGTCACGATGCCATTCTCCTGACTCCCACCACACATATTAGGTAACACATTGATCTATGTAATCTGTACGGGGTACTTAGTACTCGGGCAGAGGGTAGTGGGGCTCAAGTTTCAAATCTTAACTGGTCTTGGCTTTGCTTGGCAGAAATATAAGCTTCGAAGTAAACTCTTATGTAAGCACAAGCCGTGGTGGGCGCCGGATATTTGTCGGTCCGGGAGAGCTATGATTACCTAATAACGGAGATCTGCGCGTTGCCATGACAACCCGTCTTATCATCATCACGCTCGACGGCACCCAGCACCCCTGTCAACCTAAAACGAAACGCGACGGTAGCAAGACAGCCGTTGGTTTATTGTTGTCATTGCCGTGCCTTCGAGGCCTGAGGTAACCTCCATCTTTATAACACCCGTTCATCGACTAACGTCCGCCCTTTCAAAGCCTTTCTTGTTTACTTGTACCCTCTAAGACGCATGATGAACTGTCGACATCTCTGATCTAGACATCGAATGACGTGACGACATCTATCTTTTATTCCTACGGCGCATTCAACTAAAAGTGTCTCCTCAAGTCTTTGATTTGTTTACCTTAGCATTGGAGCTGCAGCATTATCAGAGGTATATATCAACCATAACCCACCCAGAACTCGTTTCGTCGGGAGGTGCGGCTGACACTGATGAGTATGAGCGAGTTTGCAGACAATGGCGTCCAGATTAGATTTTCCACTGCAATTTCGGGACGAGAACGCTGACAAGCCAAAAAAGTCGGTCCTAAAGTCTATCTTTCCGTCAAAATCACGTCGAAAATCGCAGCCTGCCTTCCTTTCACCTTCTTACTCCCTTCAAAACCAACCGCCCGTTCAAAACTGGATCCTTCCAACAGATCACCCTCACTTCCAGATCAACCATCCTCTTGGAGAGCTGTCAGAACGTACACTCAACCAAGGAACGGCAAATGGTTCATCCTCAAAGCAGAATCACCCAGACGAATCGAGCAAGAAAGGTCTTCATAAAAAGACGAAGAGCTCGGTATCTCTCAAATCACTTTTAAAAGATAAAGATAAAATGGAATCTGAAGCAAAGGACCCCAGTGCTGAGAATGGCTCAAAGCAGAAAAAGCCGAAAAAGACGAAGTCCACTACCAGTCTGTCGGGGATTTTCAAGAGGTCACAACGAGGAAAAAAAGGCAATTCATGCGAGAAAGAAGACAAAGAAAACGTTACCATGGCCAGAGGCTCTAACGATATGCCACCTCCACCAATTCCTCGTTCACGAGCCCAGTCTATCCAGAGTCAGATATCTAGCCGCTACGTTTCCTCCGGGAGAACTGTGGAGGAGGAAATGTCGCTCTACACACCAAGAGGCTATTCTCCTTCCAGTCAAAGAAACTTCTACGATTTCCAACAACCATCCCTTACAAAACGTCCTGATTCTAAATGGAGGCCGAAATCGGAGTACGGTTCCTCGAGTACCTCGTCTGTGAAGGACATTTTACAATCAATACACAGGCGAAGCCCGTCTGCGGGAAGCGTAAAGTCAAATGCGTCTCGGACGCATCCTTTAGCCGAACGCCCACCCTCTGAAAAACGAAAGTCATCAAATGGGAATCGAGGCTCCCGGGTCATGGCTGCAATTGCAGCTTTTAGTGCTAAAGACAAGAATTTTGACAAACCTAAACCAGTAGATCCAAAAGAAATTGACAGTGAATTCGAACGCCTTTTGGTAAGTCCCACGTCAACTAGTCCGATTTAGAGTGGGAACTAACCATTGGCCAAGGACGCACGAAACATACCTCATAATATGCGCGACAGGATGAGATCCTTGAACACCAATATCAAGGCCGACTTTATCAATAAAAATCAGATTGAGGGCGAATGCTCTTCTGCATCTGCTTCCGCCCAAAGACAATTTGTGACAACTTCGCACAAGCGAACCAAGAGCAAAGACAGCTCGTTTGGACGCTCAGAGAATAGGGGAACTAAAGTACGACCCCTTAGTGGTAGTTTTGTGTCTGCGAAAGTCGATTTGCCTTCTTTTAGAAGACAAAAGCCTGACCATTCGAGTTCCCAGAAGCGCCCAAAGTCTGCAGACCTGTCAATACCTTCGCGCTTACCATCTGGGGGTTTGAACCCGGCTCTTCCCTCTCCTGATCTCATCGCAGACCCGACCGATTTCGTTCATTATCTGAAAGAGGTGCAGAAACCGGAGATTGTTGAAGTTAGTAAGCTTCACAAGCTCCGTATACTTCTGCGAAATGAAACCATATCTTGGGTGGAGTCATTCATTTCTCATGGAGGAATGGAGCAGCTGGTCGACCTTTTGTATAGAATACTGAAGGTTGAATGGAGGTATGGTTACATCTTGGTGTCAATGGAACATTTTTTTAACTAATATTTCTTCCAGGGAGGAGCATGAAGATGTATTACTGCACGAAGTCCTTCTTTGTATCAAAGCGTTGTGCACGACATCTCCAGCCCTTCATCAACTTTGCAAGATAGGAGATGACCTATTCCCCACATTATTGCGGATGCTCTTTGGAGAGGAGAAAAAGGGTCCCAGTGAATTTGCAACCCGGAACATAATAATCAGCTTGTTATTCTCCCACCTGTCATCTGCAACATTTGAAGAAGTGGCTACTCGTGCTAGAACTATCCTGTCCTACATGCACGACCCAAAGCCACCCAAGGAGTCAGCGCCATTACCCTTCATCGCCGAGATGCACCAGGCGCGTCCGTACCAGCTGTGGTGCAAGGAAATGAGTAACGTGACAAAAGAGGTGTTTTGGATATTCCTTCACCATTTCAATGTGGTACCTGTGGCAAAAGCAGAAGATTCTTCGCTACCTTTTATCCAACGATATTTTCCTCCCCCTCATACACCCGTCCCCGCAGCTCCCTATATTGGTGGGGTTGAATGGGACGCTACAAACTATCTTGCCACCCACCTGGATCTTATTAACGGTCTTTTAGCATCGTTGCCAACAATTGAGGAACGGAACGAGCTGCGAACTCATCTTCGCGCGTCCGGCCTAGAGAAAGTTATGGGCCGAAGCCTTCGTACTTGTAAGGAAAAGCTGTATCCGGCCGTCCATGAAGCACTTAAAGTCTGGGTATCCGCCGCTGCCGACGATGAGTGGGACTATCAGTTTGTACGTGAGGGTCCTCCACGAGACGCACCGCCGTCCACTCCGCGAAGCCCTATCAAAGGTTGCGGCAGTCCCAAGAAGCTGGGCATTGTGGGTGACGCACCACCAAAGATTGACTTCCATGTTGGAATCTCCGGGAATAGCAATGCTAGAAACGAGCAAAACCGTTCTCAGGGGCTTGTTAATGATGGATGGATTTGAATAGAAGATGAGTTACGATCCTTTTATTTTTTATTTTTTTTTGTTTTATTTTTTTTTTTTTTTTTTGGCTTTAGTTCTTGACTTGTCGTTCTCTTTTCATTCTTTTTCTTTTCTTTCCTTTCTTTCTTAGTTACGATCAATAGCGAACGGCCTCAATTTATCCCTCTCGCACAAGAGATTAGGTCTACCATGCAAATTTCCGCTCTTCTCTCATCTATGGTGCTCAAGGTGTCGAGGCGCCAACATCTTCTTTTCTCTGTTTTATTTCTTAATTTTTTTTTGACAAACTTTCATGTACACACCTTATGATCCACCGACGTGAGACTTGGGCCTTGTGTGAGGGTGAGAGACCTGAAGCAGCAGAACGTTGGGCTTGCTTTCACGTGCAAATGACAGTGAATAAACTTAGGATATGTTGAATGCCCCAATTACATAGATGAATAATGAAATAAAATCCGTCATGATTGGTCCTTTGATGAAAGTTCAAGCTGCTAAGAATGGTGAGAAAGGGGGTCACTTTTACTCCGGGGATACCTTGAGCTTAGCAGCAACTGAAACGGTGGCGCTCGGTGGCATCGATGTCGCTGACCATACAGGACTCGTACGCGAACCAAATCAACTTGCGCTTTGAATTAGATTAAGGCGTCATCGATACCGGTACCTTTAGTGGAAAAGCTTTCTCAATCCGGGCAAAACGTCACACAAATTCGGTAGAAAACATCCCTATGACCCATTCTAGCCGCCAGTTAGCAACATGGCATTCTGATCGCGGCTTGATATCAGTGTAAAGATACCTACATTCATATTCGTCGGAATGAAGCCTGGTTTTTAAAAGATTTGTCCTCAGATCCCCGTATCCCACCGGTTGGTTCGCCAAATGCCTGTGGCTACCACGCGTATCCATCCATATGCTATCCTTATTGATACTACCTCTTGGGCGCTGGAGCTCGTAAGGGAACATTCCCATCAAGACTGGATATTGTGGACTTGCAGCGGAAAAATATCAGGGATAATGACGGGGCAGCACATAACAATGGCTGAAAGAAATTTGGCCTATTTTGCTTTTCGAGACACTAGAATGAGGTATCAATTTCAACGCAGCGGGCGTTTTATCGGGCGCGTGTTCCTCCATTGTTATGGGAGTTATGTTACATGGATCCCTCTAGTAACTGAACCGCTTCTTCAACAGCTCATCAGCTCAGCCAATTGAGCCATAGCCACCGTTGAAAAGTGTCGAGTATAAGCATTTGCCCTCAAACGCCCTCTGCAATTCCGATTTATGTACTTCATTAAGAAATCAAGTAATTGAACACTATGTGTATCATAAGGTTCAAAAAAGTTCTGATTCGCTCTCCTGTCCTTCGCTTCTCTCTGTGTATCCCCTGTACCCTTTTCTTGAACTGTGATGTCCACAGAAAGCGATTGATCTGTTTAATATAAAGAAAATATTTACCTAGTGTCTCAAGGAGTGGATGGACAGTTGCCCCCGACATCAAAAAGAAGGAAAGGAGTTATCCGCTCGGCAGGAGACATCAACCATCAAAAACTGTTGATGCTCTAATTGTGGTGCGGGATAGCTGTGATAATTGCCAACATTTCCCAAGAAATCTGGCAAACTAGATCCGGCCCAAATGTAACATATCACGCAATCTTCTCTGTCCGTTTTGCTGCGAAATCTACTCCGTAACGGTTGAACAATCTCGAAAGTTCTCTTTGATGACTCGTTTCGCGTCGCCGGGCAGCGTATTTGGCTGTCACGATTTAGAGGAAGGAATCTTTTAAAGAAAGCTGAAGATTCGCCGAAGAGTATGGAGTTCCAGCGTCATATAAAAGAGCAGTGGGCTGGATCATACATATCTGATCCATAAGGTAGAAGCCCACTATGCGGAGTACATCATAATAATGTGATTGCGTGGAGTGATACTTCAGTCAACGTCAATATTGAAAACCGATAACCCATCGCTCAACCAAGCATCGAGTAGTCTTGTCTGGAGCAATATGGATGAAAGGCTTGGTGCCGGCCTTGAGTGTAGTATTGATCCAAGGTTACAAGGTCCCAGAGCGGTCAAGAATAGAACAAAGCTCCAGCCCGCAGCGTGGTTCAATCTCCTGACCATCACGACCAACGAAAACCAGCATATTATCATTGTATGCGTTTGTCAAATGGGCGACTTGTTTGAAGGAGGTCACTGCCGTATTGACCCACCTGACCCTGAATGGAGGACTGGGTTCCCAGTTATATGAGTCCGCCCACCTTGGAATGGGAACATCTGGATCTCCAGGTAAAGACTCCATACATGCCTAAAAGAAGAGCCTAACGTTAATCACTAACGTCCATCTGCCACTTGGGCGGCAGGTAAAGGATGCTTACAAAGCCTTGAAATGCCTTGCTATGGTTAACAGAAAAGAACAAGACGACATGGCGGGCTGAATTGTAAGCATCCACCAACTTATCAATATTCTTCACTTGTGTTGACCAAGTGCCCTGTCCAATGTCAGTAATACGAAACAAGCATGAAGACGGAATTTTACCTCGTGCTGTGATGCTATCACATTTTCGAGTGACAAGCTCTTTAGAATGAAGAATTTCGTTTCTATTAACACCGATTAGCAACCTCGACGTGAGTAAGTTAGGTGAATGGAGGACAACCGTATCTACCTCCTGCTCCTAGGATCATCCGAGGATTCTCTAACACGTACTGGGAACGGGTACTCTGCGAAGGCCCGCCGCCACGGGGTCGCATTGGAGGGAGGCCACGTCCACGTCCACGGCTGGGCACGCCCCATCCATAGCCCCTAGATTCTGGAATATCCCCCCATCCACCGGGCTGGTTTGTGTTACTGACTGGATCCTTTCTGTCAGCTTACATGTCCTGGATCTGACTAATTCTCCTTACTTACAATCATGTTGCTGGGTATCCTGCTGCGGTTTCTCAAAAAAAGCCGTTCTGGACTGTTCGGTGGGCCGCACGGCGTCTGGATCATCTATTTCCAGCCAGTCGGATCAAGTCAGTAATTAAAATTTCCTATTACCCAAGAGACAAACCTTGGTCTTCAGTATGCATGTTCCATCTTTCCATGCGTAGCTTCTTCATTGATTGTTGCGGAGGAGAAGCCATGATGGAGCCTGATCGCTTCAATTTTAACTCTCTTGACGGGTGGATAAACGGACCAGGGGTGGCGTCACGGCCAGGATCTCCCATACTCCCATCGTTGAGGTTTATGGAAGGAGTGCGATCAATCATCTCAGCTCCCTTGGGCGTCTGGGGCATAGAATTAGCTGATGCCAAGTGAGGAGAGCCATGTCCACCGGGAAATGTGTCATTCATGTCTAGTTTGAAATGAGATGTAGGAAAAGACGCATCGTTGCGTCTCTCCAATGCTTCACGTGCGTCTTGCTCCTCTTTTATCAATTGGGCCCTTTCTAACTCCAAGGCCGCCAGACGTTTGCGCCGTCGCAGAGATTTTGAACGGTACTCCTCATCATAATAGCCAGTGAGTTGGAGCCATTCACGAAGCTCTTGTACCTCACTTCGCTCCAACTGCAGAAATTCGTGCTCAAATTCAGAAACACCTGGGCTTTGGACGGCTGGCTGCGGGGGTTGCATTCCCTCCATAATGCTCTGCCTCAAAGCCTTATGCGTCGGGGAAAAGTTCTTAGAGCCCACTGGTATACTTTTTGCTGGTTCGCAGAGCCGTATTTCTCGGTGATGAGGACCATGATGTGTGCTTCTACGACTTGGTTGGCCTTCAGTCACCGAAAATGAGAAATCTTCACCATTTGGAGCCTCAGAATCGTGGTGGGAGGCGATTGACATATTTTTCACATGGGTTGCAGAAGATATATAGGGAGAACCAAGCTCTTTCACACTAGCGTGTTTGTGTAGGTTGATAGATGTGGCCGACGGTTTGGTTTTATCATACCCTCTGGCCGGGTGAATGGAGGGATCAGGTGACGATGTCTCGTCACTGGTGCGATTCAACCTTTCACTTGCGGACAAAATATCGGCAGCTGCCTTCCCCTCTGCAAGCAGCCCGTCAAGTTCCGCTGTGAAAGAGGGCTTCCCATGTAAATGCTTTCCATTGGTGCCGATTACGCCTGCCACTCTGCCTCCATCATTCGAGAGACAGCCGGACTTCAGTTTTAGCCCTGAAAGCCCAGAGGATGTCGCACCCAAATTTTCAACCGCATTCTCGGCCAAGCTATGAGACTTATCTGCAGCAAAGTTTGCGGTGGACCCTTCAGGATGTACTTTCGACGCACCAAGAGCGCCTTGCCGGCGCTTGTGGGACATCGATGCAAGAGTAGCAGTTCGTTTTGATAGTAAAAGCTTCTCACTATTAGGATTGTTCGCCGTAATTGATCTAACTTTCTGACTTTTCTTCCTTCTTGGTCTTCTTGCGGAACAATTGTGTGGTTGGTTGCCGATTCTGCTGCGAAGCAGGAGTACCAACTCCTTTCAAATATGGCCTGCAGTTATCTGAATACACACAGATTATTTATACTGCATCATAGCAGACTATTATGACATGTATCGAAACAGTCTGAAAGGTCAGCAGCAAGTATAATTAACCAAAAACATCAGACCAAAGCACAAATACTGCCAACCTTGTGTTCCTCAGAGCATGGCAAAGGAGCAGATATGAGGCGAAAACCAGGGATTGGACTCACAGTTGGGGTCAAGCAGCTCCTCACAACAATCAGTATGAAGGCTGCTTCTTAAACATCAAGAATTGAATGTTGATACATAAAAAGAAGGGTGAAGATATTTACTCTCCAATAGCTGCAACCTTGTGGGACTATTAACAAATGTGCGGATAAGTACGGGGGGAACTTGATAAAAGCAGCTTCTGAAAATGCAATCAGCTGATATATACAGAGTACTCTGTACTCTTATTAGAAACAATCAAACATAGCTACAAAGTACAGAGTGCAAGCAACAAAATTGAACAGGTCTGCGCAATCAGAAGAGAATGTGGACATTTAGTTGGCAGAAGTTTAAAATCTGACAAACTCTGACAAACAAATATTATTAACTTAGTTACGGAGTACTATTAACTAGTTAACTAACTAAACTATTGCGCTACACCTGAAGTAGCTGCAGGCCAGGTAATTCTGTTATGTAAGCTAGCCTAACAGCAAATTAGTGCTGTCATATGACCCATTAGTTACACATATCTAACCAATAAGATGAGGAGAATAATAGCACAGGCACCTGCGCAAGGCAACTTGTGTACGGAGTACTCCGTATGTATTAACAGTATTATTTCAAGGTTGAACTGTTTGGAGTTCATTCAGTCCTGCAGAAACTGTCTTCATTTCAGCTGTGCAAGCTCCTCTGGATACTCTGTAGCAAGCTTAATAAAGCAGATTTTCCAACAACCAGGTACCAGGTAACTGTGGCCATTGTTTCACAGACATAACACACACCAACCAGTATGTCAGACACAGGTTTGCCAGCATAATAGTTAATTATTTGCACTACTCGCACCGAAGTGAGTTAGTGCCCCAAAGGGCCTCTCCAACCAAGAAGCCGATCGATTCGGTCCCGAAGAGAACTATCATGCGACACTCCCTCAACACTTTTCGTGTTCAGCTGCTGCCCCGCGACCGTTGCATTCGGAGCACTGGTCGAGATAATCGTGGTAAGTTTCTCGGCTACTCTCAGATCTTGACGAGTGGGCATTTCTGTCATGTCGTTGCCGAGATCTCTTTGCTTTCTGTGAAGATCCTCTGATACCGTTGCCGCCCCCGATCCCAATGCATCGGTGCTTGCCTTTTCTTGCGCTTGACCGGGGTTATCTCTCCGTTCCGACCCGCTGTATATGTCTTGCGCTTCCTTGGGAGTAATTCCGCTCGTGATCAACCCTTTCCCGGCCCCAATTAATTTAGCCCGGCGCCGAAAGATTTGACACTCGAGACTGGCTGGCAAACAACCCAGAATTTCTTTGCTTCCGCCAATATATCCTCCTACGCTGTAGCGACTGCCAGCGTTCATAAAGAGGACGGAAAATACCCCAATTATAAAGATTGCTAGAGCTGGGAGTGTAACCCGGAGAACTCTCTTCGGCCGCCCGGTTACTTTATGGAAACGAGACGCCACCGCTGACTGGCACATGCTCTCTACTCGCAGATCAAGGGACCTCCGTACAAGGGAGAAGAAACTCAATATAGAGCGATATGATACGAGCTGATTTAGCAAAACTTTTAGGTCTTCTTCCCCGTCAACCATTTCGCCCTGGTCTCCGCAGCTTCTGCATACGTTGATGCATTCTCGGTGGTTTCGATCGGGAGCTATTTCCAGTCTGACACGTCCTATGTTGAGTGAGCGACAGAGATCGGATATCTTACATTCATAAGAGCCTGATGCTGCCGAGAGCTTTGGCACCCATTCTGGTTTGTATTCGATTTGCCATTTCACTGCTGCAAGGTGTTGTCCGTTTTCGCTCCCCGGAGAAACGCTCTGTGCAACCTGGCTGTTTGCACAAGTGGAATCATTGAACTGAATCTCAATATCGGCCTCATAGATTATAATGGTCTCGCACATAGCATTGTGGGGGAACTTTATGGACAAAGTCCCATTCATATTCGCAATGGCTGGCTTGGACACCTCGGTCGGGATGTGTTCAATATTCTCGAGACCCATCAGCGAAGGAGAATCTGCACTTCTTCCCGCTAGCTCTTCAGCCGAATTCCATGGCATGCTTAACTTTGAAGATGGCGTCGGACTTGGGAGAGATATACGGTCTACCAATAGAGGGCTTCTATGGCCGCTTTGATCCTCGGTTTTCTCTAAATCCCAAGCGGAGATTCTATCAAATCGATTATCGATCGCCAAAGGTGCCTCGCTACCACTTCCTGAGCGATCGATGCGATCCTTCTTCGCCACTCCATTGTCGTTTCTGCATGATCTGCCTTGGAGCCACGAGGCTACAAAATCCGACCGCCCTCCACGGTGGAAGAAAATATCTGACTCCGGCTCTTCGCCAATATGAATTAGAAGATCAGTTTCTCTCTTTTGCCAAGATGCTTTGCCTTGAAATTGGTTCCCGTTAGCATTCCCATTCATATCTCGAAGTCATTAAACTTGGCCTACCTGTCGACACCGCTGTTCTATTCTTGAGGCCGACTTGGCGGGTAGGTGTACTTTGCAGTTGCTGAGTTCTGTCTTCATGCGACTTTCCCGGAGCTGAATTTGATATTCGCTCTCTATGGGCGACTCCTGGCGTTTGAATTGCCTTTGGCGAAGAAAAGCTCGATCCGTCTGCGAAGGTTGGCGATCTTGGACCGGCAAGTTGAAGCGCCTGGATATCCTTGGCGTTGCATAATACTTCGCCGTCGGTCAGATTCGTTGCATCTGACGTGAGAGCTTCCAATTCGCTCATAAATCTGGGTTGAGTATGCGCTTCTCTGAGAGACTTACTCGCTTGGAAATCGGTTTCGACCTTTATCGGAATTCTGCTCTTTATTCCCCGTTTCGGGATATTAAGATCTGCCTTTCGTGGTGATAACGCCACTGTGAGTGATCTGTTAGAATCGACGATATCCCGATCGTTTGATCTACTTTGGGTCTTTGGCGCGCAGTGGATTATGGTAGCAGTGGATTCTTCCCGCTGATGGGAAGGATATCGCCGTCTCACCATACTCCCCGGTGTGAGATAGTTGGATTCCATATTCCAAAGATTGCCATGGTCGGGGTTACTCGTGCCGAATTGTCCAGAGTCAGTACGTCTCGATGCAGTGTCGGATTCGATGTAATATTCTAGAACTATAGGGACTTCCCCTTCTTCCAGAGCTTTACTCCGTTGACTCCCATCTGATATCCGCCTTGTCGCATCATGGCCGGGTTCAAAAATTGAGTCATCACTCCCACTAGTAGTGGATGGACTCGGGGGGAACAACCTTTCCTTTCTCGGGGAGGGAGACAGCTTCATTCCACTTGTATATAGCCGCCTGGGGGGTTTTTCCTGATACCTAGGATAGGAACCTTGGATCTCGTTGACATCCTGTCCGCCAAGGGATAAGTGATTTCCGAAACTGCTGGCGGGCTCGAAATCCTTATATGCTGCGCTATAAACATACTCATTCGTTATCCGTATTTCAAGGCCATCGTTTAGCTGGAAAATTGGAATGATGGCACTAGGCCGAGCCTTCAACTATTGATAGAAGTTAGTCCCAACGAACGCATGAAGCAACAGGGCTGCGATAGCCAGGTCGTCAAACTAACCGTCATCACCAACCGCAATGACACCTTATCATCCACATTTCTATTCCAAACACCACTCAAGTTGACAGACTCGATCAATGATATATCAGGTTTCTCTTCTGCCATGGTTCAATGAAACTCATTTACATATAACAGGAACGAGTACCCAAAGACAAGTCGGGATCACAGGCACACACAGCTCCACGAGATGGTGTGAATGGTCACCTTGCTCCCATGTGGCCGGTGAGTTGCAAAAACGTGGTGAATGTCGTGAACGCGATGTTGTGTCGACGTGACGGGTCAGCGCGCCCCCTTCTTGTTTACACGATGACCTAATACGGCAAGTACCGTGTGTTCAGACTTTTTTTGACACTCTCCGGGGACAACACCGTGCACAGCTCCGAGAACAGGCCCATGCTCTCGCCGATAGACGCCATCATCCCGTTTTATTGTCCTCGCGTTCATACCTGAAGGACTCGATCACCTTTAACTTCCTAAGTCCTCCTCGGTGCTTCAAGAGAGCAAGATTGATCTGGGCCGGATATCGGAACCGATGTCACTCTATCAATGACGAAATATAGGCCGTGATACATATTTGAATTGTATAGGTTGTGGGAAGCCGTGTCTCATCACTAGCAATCGATCAGAGATTCGTGCTTCTCATACTCGTGACAGCTGCAGATGGAGATATCACCTAAGCAAGAAGTAGGCTTTTTCTTAACGGCTTGTTATCATCACTAGGCTGTGATCGTATCTTAAGCATTGGACGCTCCTCGGGAGTGGATGCTCCTTGTCTTAATTCACCTGGCCTCTGAAGCCAACCCGCTTCCTCCGCTTCAATACTTATGACAGCCGCAAGCAAGAGTTGGGGTTTCCACCAGAAGCTACTCGCCCGGGCAAGACATTTCTAATTCCATTTTGTAATGATCATGCTTATTCAAGGTCGAAAAATCTAGAAAGGTCGCGTTTTGATTAAAGATGGTCCTCGGGATACATCTACGTAGAGTAGCCAAGATCGCAGCCATTCGCAGCCGGCACCTCTACGGAGTAGACATGGACTATATACATATTTTCTGAAAAGCTTCGGGGCACGCATTGCTAGGAGAGCTCAAAGTGGAGGGTGTTAATCATAGTGAAAAATTGGAAAAATGTTGGAGAATGGACGGGGCAGTGAAGGCACGCTGCTTGAATTGAAAGTTGCTTTTGAGGTGGAGGGAATCGGCACAAGTAACTAGTTATGAGCTGGCTGATGGCTAGTTAATTAAACTACTCACTTCTCTGTACGGAGCACTCCGTAGGTAATGCCGGAATTGCAGACGCCATTCCGGCATTATTACGACGCAAAGATTTCATCTTCAGACCTTCAGTCTCATCCCCAACCTACACATGAAGTAAACTCCTGCCTACATACAATTGTAATGTACCTAACATTTCAGGTCTCGTCCTCCGTAGTGCCAATTGGGGCTGGCTTTGTGGCATTCGTAAACTTTTGCCGCCAGGCGTGCGGCGGCCGAGAACTTTGGTTGGGGATAGGCCGCGCCCGCCTGGGGAAGGACTGGCTCAAGCGCCTCGGATCCAAGAGACTACAGTAGGGGTACACTAATAGGGAATATTTCGTTCGAAGTACGGAGTAGGAGTGCAGCTTATTGCTTCGGGCTAGGGTTAAACCTAGGATGGGACAAGTTCCGCAGAAAGCGGAACCACAGCGTCTTTACTCCCGATATTTGAAATCAATATCTAAGCAGCCAAAGACCAGGCCAATTTCCAAATTCACCCTCTGAGGGTCAGCCTGAGCTAGCGAAACATTTAAACACCTTCTTTCCTAGGAATTCCCCAGAATCGTCGCATCTTGAAATATTTGGATCCCTGAGCAACGTCGCGCAAGTCCTATAACTACCAGCCATTTACGCAATGATTCTCCCGGCCTCCCATCGTCCAACCCTCTCACGGGACCAGTTGCTCAAATACGTATCTTTTATTTACCAATGCGACTCTTGCAGCGCAGAGTCGCAGCTCAGCGCCCTTGAAGGTCTGATTCGAACCGATCCTCTCCGTGGCCTGACACAATTGCAACAGCACCACCAAGCTTCGATACCGTTCAGCAATTTAATCCTTCACTACTCGCAGCACCATTCCATCTCCCTAGATCCAGACGTATTATTCCATAAACTCGTGGAGAGGGGATTGGGAGGGTATTGTGTAGAGAGCACGGGTTTCTTCTCAATAGTGATGAGAACATTGGGGTTCAAGCTCTATACCAGTGCGGGAAGGGTGAGCAAAGGCTTTGAGCAAGGGGTGGAGACGGGGGAGTATAATGGCTGGTAAGTTCTGTTCAGGTTTATTTTGCAATACCAAGGTGCAGTACGGGTTAACAGTCAGTAGGGGCCATATGGTTATAATTGTAACAATTGGAGTAAACAAATACGCTGTGGATGTCGCGTTCGGCCCGAACGGGCAGACTCGGCCTCTTTTACTCAGCCACGGCGCAACAAGCGTCCGAATAGCCCCGGCAGAAGCGAGACTGGTGAAGGAAAGCATATCCGCCAATACCGATAGCGAACAAAAGCCTTGGATATTTCAGATACGATCCAATGCCGAGGAGGCATGGCGGGCGGCATATTGCTTTTATGAAATAGAATTCCTGCCCAGTGATTACGAAGTGATGAATTTCTCAACAAGTCAAAGCCCAAGAAGTATATTTACAAAGACGGTGATTTGTGCGAAATTCCTCCTCAATGAGGCCAAGGACGATATTGTGGGAAACCTTTCCCTTGTAAAGGGAACTGTGAAGCGAAATCTGAACGGGGATGTGGAAATTCTTCAAACGCTGAAGAATGAGGCTGAAAGAGTTGATGCATTGAAAAGTTTCTTTAATGTACACCTCCAACCCCTAGAAGTCCGCGGCATTCATGGAAAGATCACGGAATTGAAAGACTTGACCGCGACGGCATTTTAAAAGGGATTTTGGAATTCGGGTCGGCAGCGGAGTTTCATATTGAAATGCGGTTTATCATAAGCAGCGTAATTGGATAACAGATCTAGCATATCCGTTTTTCCAGCTAATTTGTAAAAAATTCATTAGCTCGAGTGCTGATTGAATAGACCCGGTAGATATGCCAGTTACCTTCCATGGGTTATTCAATTCAAATCCACGAGGGGCTATGGGGTTATCCGTCTGCCCTCGGAGGGAACCCGTAAGCCGTAGGTCCCGTTCCATCACTGCGAATTGTCAGCCCGAGTTGTTTCGGAAAAGGCTCACGATGTCTACATACTTTGCTGTACGAATGTTAGCTAAGCTGATTCAGAGCGCTTCAAAGGTGTTTCCCCCGACTTACTCTGTCCCAAGCATCAATGCCGCGTCTGGGCCGCTTTCCATCATTTGCCCATCGTTTCACGAAAGATAAGCCCACGCCGGTCACGCCGAAGAACTAAATGGTGAGACTCCATTCAAAATTCACGTTGCAGTGTTTGGTACGTACGCCGACGATGATTCCGTAGGGAAGCAAAGCCTCAAAAGGCACACCCATTTTCGATTATCAGGTTAAACTGGTCTCGAGATTGTCGATGGACGTCGCAATTCGGCCGGCCGGCGTTCGATTGGACCTGCAGCGAGGGCAAGCGCCATACCTGTTAGGGACTAGTGGGGAAAGTAAATCTTGGCATTTGATCAGTCAGCCAAATTCAGATATGGCGGTTGACCTCACCCAAGTGACGGGGGGTACGTGCAAGGGCCCTTTTGACGTGAAATGAGCGCTTTAACGGGTTCATTTGAAGCTATTTACGCGTAACGACGAATGCAGGTGTGAGTGTGATGATCTCTCTTCCCATGTTGTAGTTTGCATTGTCGCGTTGCCGCGGCGCGACCCCCTTCTCTCCAACAAGGTGACAATATTGACTGACCCATGTCTATCCGGCAGTGTGCTTCTATCGAGCGGAAGGAAATAGCTCTGGCTTCTAAAAATTCTACGAATTTACCCGTATATCCTCTATTCCGATACGGCCTCGCATTGATTCCCCACTTCTTGGTTGAGCCTGTGACCACGCCCGGGCCACCTGGAACCGACTCGCAAGAACCTGGGGGGGAGTGGCTGTATCCCGATCTTTCACTTGGTATCGGTCTTCCGCCAGATGCTGGCGTTTTCTCAACCTGGCGACTGTGGTAGCTTCCGCCATGGCGGCAACCATGCCGGCCGAGTACGAAAATGCCACCGTGGAAGAGGATGAGAACATGGCAGACAGCGAGCAAGATGCTGAAGGAGAAGATGATGTGGATATGTACCATCCATTAACGGCGCCAGGTAATTTTGGTGGCAGTGAATATGTCGGTACACAACATGGACTTGCCGCACTCAGCGCTGAACCGAACCATGTTAATACCGTGGAAGAGACCGCCCAGAAGGTCGAAAGGACTGGTGCATTGGACAGTGCAGATATAAATGAAAATAACGGCGATAACGAGCGTGTGCGACCGGTAAAGTATCTTCCTGTGGACTATAAATCTGAAAGCGATGCGGACGATGCGGGCGATGTGGACCCAAGCTTCACAAACGAAGAAAGTGAAAGCGCGAGAGATGTCGTTAGTAATCAATCTTCCGACGACGATTCAGAAGTCGATGAGGACTGGGAGGCCGAGAGTGATGACAGGGATTCTGCAGACGCTGAAGATTTGACGCTGAATAACTGCATGTGAGAATCCTAGATTTTCGTGCCAAGCGAACCCTCGATTGCTGATTTGATTTTCCAGCGTTTGTGGTCAGGATGAAGAACATGACCCGAGCGAAGAGTTCGAGGAACCTTTGGTTTGTGCTGTCTGTGGAGATCACTGTAAGTTCTACAAGGGTGGCTTGGCAGGGGAACGCCAATGAGCTTAACTAAACACTCTAGGCCACCGGCAATGCGCACGCGAACAGGAGTGTCTCAACGACGCCGACGGTAAGTTCCGACTTTGGTCCATTTAACTTTATCACAGGCAGAGTATTAACCCATTTCGCAGATACCGACAAATGGAGATGTCCTTCATGCGTCCAAAACAAATTGGAAGCCGACCCCGGCGACCGTGTTGAAGCTCACAGGAGGTCAATTGTATCAAACATTGCGAAAGAATTACTTCCGGCGCACAGCGATGCACTTGGCCCAGATTCTCATTCCATATTCGACAACCCTATCCTTGATGATGATCCCCTCGATGGCTCTCGCTCTTTGAGGAAAAGGAAGGCTTCGATTGATGAAGTCGATAACAGCCGGCCACTCACCCGAAAACGATTGCGAAGGACCATTGATGATCAAACGGATGTTGCCCAGTCGAACGAGGATGCGGGTGATCGGGCTGCAGATAATTCAAATCCATCGAGCCGTCCATCTAGGCCTCGAAGGGCTAGGAGATCTCAAAATGGCCTCTGTAGCGTGGTCTTGAGGCAGCATGGCAGATTAGTTCTTTCGTTTCACTTGGATCGCGAGAAGTTAAGCAACGTTTTAAAATCCAGGCCCCGCTCGAGAACGCAGAGACGGAGACCACCAAAGCCACCGGTTATCCCGGAAGAACCTCCGCCTCCACAATTTCCACCGATTATTTCAACGCCATATACAGCTCCTTTCTATTCGTTTCATGAAAAGGAAGATCATGAGCTCAATTCGAAACCCTACGGTGGTATATTGGCTGATGCCGATGCGGACACCTCCAAAACAGTGCCGCAGCAGAGCGACAGGGATAAATTCGAGGTCGCACGGCAAAAGGCCGAGGAAGAATGGAGGCAAAAAATATTGGCTGCCGAGCAAAGCGGTGAAGGTTCGCCTCAGGCTTCGCAAAAGCTGTCTGGGCCTCCAAGTAAAATGAAATGCATTAATTTTGGTGGCTTCGAGATCGAGACATGGTACGCGGCGCCGTATCCCGAAGAGTATAGCCGCAATAGGGTCCTCTATATATGCGAATTTTGTCTCAAGTACATGAACTCCGACTTTGTGGCCTGGAGGCACAAGCTCAAATGCCCAGTAAAACATCCACCTGGAGACGAAATATATCGCGATGGGACCATCTCAGTCTTCGAAGTCGATGGCCGGAAAAACCCTGTTTATTGTCAGAACCTTTGTTTGCTCGCCAAGCTGTTCCTTGGATCCAAAACGCTATATTATGATGTCGAACCTTTCCTATTTTACGTGATGACCGAGTATGATGAACTTGGGTTCCATTTTGTCGGCTATTTCAGCAAAGAAAAGCGGCCAAGCTCATCAAACAATGTCTCCTGTATACTGACGCTTCCAATTCACCAGAGGAAGGGTTATGGTAACCTCTTAATCGACTTTTCATACCTCCTTACCCGAATAGAGCGCAAGGTTGGATCTCCTGAAAAGCCACTCTCTGATATGGGGTTGGTTTCATATCGAAATTACTGGCACCTCGTGTTGTCATATCAGCTTCGCGATCAGAGAACTCCGACAAGTATCGGCGAACTTTCCGAGCGCACCGGAATGACTCCCGATGATGTTGTGTCCGGTCTAGAAGGATTGCGTGCACTCGTACGTGACCCTGTCACGAAGACCTACGCCCTACGTTTAAATTACACTTATTTTGAAGAAGTCATTCAGAATTGGGAGAAGAAAGGCTACGTTCAGTTAAACCCGGATGCTCTTGTATGGACGCCGTATGTTATGGGTCGTAGCAATCAGTCGCACTATGATCGTGCGCCTCTCCATGCTGTGGCGCCACGGGATGATCACGAAGAGGCCATTGATGATGGAGACATCAACCCATTCGAAAACGGCAATGGTCTATCGGGCCTCAACGAGCAATCAACCAACCACGATTGTGGTGCCACTAGCGGTCAAAACCATGTCGATTCTGTGCCTCAATTCGAAGCCCCAGGGCCGCCATCAATGGAAGTTATGTCATACGGTGGACAATCGATGAAGCATAGTAATGGCTACAGCACCCCATCTGTAACCTCTACAATTCCATCCGCCAACATTCCACCAACGAGGTTCGAGATTTTCCCACCAATACAATCGGCTGCGGTCAAACGCCGTCCCGGTCGACCTTTTGGAAGCACCAAGAAGACGCGTCCTAATGCTACCAATGCATCCCCAGTTCGGACTAGTGGTCGCAATACTCCTAGAAAGAACTACAATCTCACTCTAGCTACCCCCACTCCGGCTGTACGCGCATCCCCTGGTCTCCGTAGAGGACGCAGCAAGTTGCTTGACAATACCCTTCAGACCGATGGACCAGCTGATGAACCAGGATACGAATGTGTGGAGCATGGTAACGAAGATCAAGATGGGAGTAGATCAGGAGCGGCTGGTGTTGGCGATGAAGACATCCAGCTAAAGGTCAATGGTGAGATTCACTTTGATGGGGACAATGTCCAGAATGGTGCTCGAGACACAAATGAGTCGAAGAGTACAAATGGTAGTGTGGAAGCCTGCCAGGGTCCCGAAACAAACCTTGTAACCAGAGTCAAAGACCAGAGGGATAACGTTTCTGAACTCGAGTCAGGCGGTGCAGCTCAACAACTGACTGCTGACATTTTGGCCGCCAGCAAGATACCTACTGGAAAGGACGGACATACCCAAAACCATCCTAGCCACGATGAGCGTGATACCTCTCAGAATAGTATCGGTGGAGAAAGGAATTTCGAAGCCGCACCCGTATCTGCATCCGCGGAAAGCTAGATACCCATGGTTTTAGATCAGAGTACGATTTCTTCGATATGATGATGTGAGATCATATTTTATATTACCTTGGACGTTCGCTGGCAATGTCTATTGTTTGGCCAGATATGACTTGTCATCTCGCGTTCATTGGTGTTTTGATAACACATCCCCGCATCAGGCGCACTGAGGTGTTTGAACTTGGGTGGCATCATGAAATTTCTTTCTTGAAAGTTCCATTTTTCATTATACCTTATTCACCCCGCTTCACAGGATACCAGGCTTAAACATGGAGTGCACTCAACGCGTCCCATTTTCTAAGTTGTTCCCCACCTTTTTCTCCCTTTTCATATTCTCCTCGATCAACTATACTTGAGCCAAGCACTTTTCATTGTCTACCAGAGATGTTTAGCCCTGACTCTTTTTCAACATGTACCAACATGCACCCTGATTCCCTTTACTCTCTATCTTAAGTATTAATTTCTAGTAGCCTCTCGTCCCCACCCCTTCCTCTCTACCTGCTTTCTTGACCCGCTTTTAGGCACGATACACGGCTCAGGAAGCTGTACCTTTCAAGTCACATACAGAGTATCTGCCAAGAGACGAGAAAATCAAGCCATAGAATGAGAACCATCAAGAAGAACCTTTCCATCACTTGTAATAACCGCCAAAATGGCGAAATACGCGAAAAAAAAAAAAAAAGAAAATCGTTGTTGAGCACATCTGTATTTGTGAAAACTTGCGCAGGACATATTATTTCCATTAATACTACAGCGTACATATGGTCTGTACGGAATAGCCTAATTGTTATGTCGCGTCAATTGTTTAAGCTTTGTTCCTGCAGGAGACAATGTCATTGTGGCAAATCCACCTTGTCGCGAGTGGGAATATGATAGACCAATGTCGTCATCCCATCCTCTACGAGTTGCATGTTTTTCAGGCCCATCATGAATTCAAAGGCGTCATTTAAAGTGCCTAACTGCTTGACAAGGTACTCAAAAGTGCCCAAGATGGTACATCATGAGAAAAACCTCCCTGATATTCTGCTAAAGCCAAAGTCTCAGAAAAACGTCTAAAGAGGGGGGGAAAGAAGAGGAGAAGAAAGGATTAAAACCCATAGCTATAGCTAGACAAAGGGGGGGAAAAACAAAAAAAAGGAAAATCCAAAGAAAAATTCAACATGATTCCCCATGAAATCCCAACAGCGTCTGTCTCTCCGATGATACCAAGGCTTATATTTCCGTATAATACGCGTTCGATGTTTTTCTTCTTAACTTTGTATTGCGAGCTCGGTCCTCTCCCTATATTAGTCCGCTCTCACTTCCTTCGCGCGGCTCTACCACTAGGGAATATTGCTTATTATTACCATTATTATTATTAATTTTTCTGGGATTTAGCGATGATCCCAAAGTGCAATATGGCCCCGACTGAGCAGACTCATGTGTCATTGTTCAAGAATGATATAGTGGGGAGAAAGTCTATAGATATGAACTAAAAGAAAACTTTATCAATGAGGGCATCTCCTTGGTATCTCGGCGATTTTTGAGGGTAGATATCCGCGCGCTGCTGTTCGGGAGGCTCTGGAGGACGTCGCAAGCAGCCATCCCATGAAGCGAACGAGCGAACGAGTAGAGCCCCGAAACCGATGCAGGCAGGTCATCTAGGGCCTATACCCTCGAGACCCATGCTGCTGGATATTTTGGCGACTTGGTATGGGGCCAAAGAGTAACGTTCGTTCTCGCATTCGTTGTTTTAATAGTTGGTTTTTGAGGACACGAGACGGCTTGTATCTCATGGGAGCGGCCGTTTTAAGAATCGATGAGCAACCCACCCATACATATGTTGGAAGTCGGAAGGAAAAGAGAAGCGGAAAACGCGAGCAAGATCGCGTGCACCACGCCTGATCATGGCCGGTTAAAGCCCGGTCATCTGGCTTTGAGACACAATTTGCATATCCACAGCGACTGCATCAAGCGCCAACCTCGTCGCCTCGACTTCGATATGACGGATTTTGTACCAGTCGGGATCCAACCAGATAAACCCGCCGTTGGCCAGTTCGTAAATGGCGCCCAGGACCCAGGAGCGACAGCCGAAGTCCCCAAGGGACTTGACATCGACTCGGGCTGAGCGGACGCAATACTCGACGGCTTTGATCCACTCATCGTTGGTGTCTTCAAGTTCGCCTACTTTCAGGGCCGCGAGGAGGCCTTCAGACGTGACAACGTCCTCTTTCGCCTTTACCAGCAGCCAGCGAGAGTCATCGAGGACCTGATGGAAGTGGACGCCGGAGCTTTCGCTGCGAGCGATAAATAAACCCCAGTGGAATTTACCTTTGGCGCCCGTATCCCACAGGAAGACGTAGAGCCCCTTCGTTTCGACCCTGGGCGCGGGACCAAGCCATGGTTTCGATCGCGTGTCTGAGGTTGCGCTTGGCTTGGAGGCGGCGCTCGATGGCTGTGGAGAAACAATAATGGCAGACCTAAGGGTCATTGCGGCCGGAGGTGCTTAGCTGAGTTAAATATTGAGTTGCGATTAAGTTGTGATCGGTAACGGGGGAAGGCTGTTAGAGTTTCGGTGGACGGATAACCGCGACAGCGTTAAGCGTCAGCAGATGGCCTTTTTATTTTTAAGAACGTGAAGTCAAAAGTGTGCGTGTCTTGTTGATTGCGCCCTTGGACGACTCGCTAGTTCGTGTTGAGAGGTTGGCAATTGGTTCGAATCTGTCGACATGAGAACAGGGGGTTGGTTGGGAATCATCAAAAAATCAGGGTGATAGGCAAGTCAGGCATGTAACTCTCTGCTCCGCCAGTTGCAAGATGGACCTCGAAGTGCTGAGGAGGAAGACAGAAGGTCTCCAAGCTACCTGGCGTTGTCGGTGTTGTTGGCGGTAACTATTGTAGGACGAGCTGGAGGGAAATGGTCCGCCTCAAGCGTCCGCACCCGAGAACATCACCTGGTCGTCGTCGCCTCGTAGATTCACCTAGGTTGCACAAAAAGGATGTGTTACGCCGGCAAATGGTTCTGTTGTCTCTACTCATCAAGCCAGTCGCTTGCAAGTTCCTACTGCCGGGAGACCCGTTTAAATCAACCAGTTAACTATTCCTTGCAGGATGCGGCGTGGATGCTAGCGGCATCTCCCGATGAAGCTCCCGTCCGAGCGAAATTCCCGCCTCGCCAAAGCCTTTCTTTTATCAGCGTCGCAAAGACTTATTACTCCGGTGTGGGTCTTTTAAATCTAGTTAATGATACACTTGCAGGTAGGCAACCCCTCCGGCTTTGATGAATATCGGCAAGGCTGTCGTCGACGCCCGGTCACCTCCCTGCAAGGTTAGGCTGCCGCCTTATATGTATTATCTCGCAACAACTTAGGAATGTCCTCTCGCTGAAACCCTCAAAGATCTTTAAGTGCTAGGAACCTTCTATAGGATCTTGGGATATGCACTAAGGAGGATCTAGACTTGTCTTGAAACGGCGCTGAGCCAAGCTGGAAAACGATACCACCAGCAGCACTTCTGTACCGCCCTGATTTGTCAAAAGGATGTTGCAAAGAAGCAGCCAGGGAGTAGGACACATGGCTGCAAAAGCGATATACTTCAGCCATGTTAGTTCCTTGCTGGCAGCCTTGACCGGGCGATGTCGTGATGGGCCATGTGCCTATTCAATGTGCCTCCGCCTAACGATTGAAAACAATGCCATTTCCAATTGCCCTGACGATCCCGGCGGCAGCATAAGCTTACTTCCCGCGTCAACGATGGCCTGTAAGGCGTGGAACGGATCCTTAAAGCTCATGCCTACGCGTGAATTATCTGGAATATAAAAATACTTCGTTTAACTTGGCTGTTAACTTCGAGAAAACCCCGGACCGTCGGGGTGGAAAGAGAGCAGATACCATCGGACATCTGACAAAGGTGCAAAATAAGGCTTGGGACGGCAATGCTTAACAACAATTAGGCTGAGACCTTGTCGACAAATCCCTAGAAATGTGTCACGTACCCGCAGTCAAGACCAAGGAGCAGCATGATTTGTGCTACCAATCACAACCAGGAAACCCGGCCCGGTTCGCAGCTTCGAGGCTTTCCCAGGGCTGGGGTCTGTATTGCTTCGAGCTAGGGAACAAACCACAGGAAAACGAATAATAGCGTTTGGTGGTAGGTGTGCATGTGCAGAAAAATTATAGCAGCCATCGGTTGATAAGTGCCTTTAAGGTCAGCTCCGGCTTCGGCGACGGCGGCTGAGGAAGCATACGTCCAACTCGGAACAGCTGTCGCCAATTGTGATTTCACTATCTATTATTAGAAAGGTGTGTAATACGGCAACTCCCCATATTCCTGCTGAGTTTTAGTTCCGTAAAACTCCACCAAACACGGGTCCCACTCCGCTGGCCAAGGCCCACACCACGGAGAAAAGGCCGATATATATGCTATGATCTCTGTAAAAGAAGAGTTTCCTCGCGGTGTAGATGTTCACGGGGGCGACGAGGCTGAGAATACCCAAGCCCTGTACTGCCCAATCAAAAAAAAAGAAAAAAAAGAAAAGGGATTTGGTAGAACAGTGTTTCTTACAGCACAAGGTAGAATGTTTGCGAAGAGATAACAATGGCAGACAGAAACGGGATCCTGCTTCGGGTGTCCAAACCTTGCCTCCAAAGGAAAGGATGGAGGCTGTGATGGGGTCGACAACCAAGATGCATGGTATTCTTCCCTAGCATTCCCCTGGAAAATGGCGAAAAAAAGGAATTGCTTGGGTGGGAGCGAAGATATCCTCCTGCAAACCCGGCCATGGCCGAGGGGTGAACCTGGATATGTTTGGACAAGCCTAGCCCTGGCCCTCAAATCCCTAAATTTATGGCGAACCTGAACCCAGTTCCCACGTTGTGCTGTGGTCCATGGCAGAACTCGGTTCCAACTCGACGTTTCCATGTTGTACCGGAAGCAGTCATGGAACGGTTTACCAAGCCTTGGTAAAAGTATCAAGGTCACCAAAACTGACCACCTTAACATCCATAAATAACGCCACAAGCCGATGCTTGTTCAGAGTGGACATGGTAGCCGTATGTGAAGGGAGGGCAATGGACTTCTTTTTCGAGGCTCATGACGAGTGATCGCTGAGAAATGGCTGGTGAATTGGGAGACAGACGTTGCGGGACGGTATCCTCAGACCTCATGGAATGCAGGGTTAGCAATCCCTCCCGTCCCTTCTGGAAATAGGGATGGTAAAAACAGGAGGAATACGTTATCCACCCCTGGCATTTACAATCCTTCATCCCAAATCCATTCTCCAAGCAGTGACAACCGTGGGCACGATGCTGCCATCAGGCTGATCGTTTGAGAATGTACTCCGTACGAGCACGTGCATTCCAGACTTTGACAGTCTCGTCTAGCAAAGGGGCCTTGGAGATGCTTCCATTGGCAAACACCCTGGGGGATGTGGGCATCCGCATGAATGAGAAGATCGCTGAGAATAATAACTCGAGAGCCGTAATGTCCGCGCTAGTCCGTTTATGGCTAGTCCTGGTCGTCCTCGGCCCGGATCATACATGTTCCGATACAGACTTTTTCACCGCGCGGGTTTTGAAGTTCAGGGGGCTTCTCAAGTGGCTTCTCGAGGGTGCTTTCAAGGGGGTTCTCGCAGGGATCGTCGGCCTCGATATTCAGCATCCTTGTTCTTGCGGATGCTGCCGACCCTAGATATTGAGAAGGGCCAGGGTCGATCCTCCCTCCTTGTCCCAGGGTTGAACGCATCGCCCGGAAAAGGCCCGGCAGTTGTCCACGGACACGGAAGTACTGACCGAACGAAGAGCATGATGAGCTGTCTAATCGCTATCATAACCCGGTGCAACTTGATCCACCCCCTCTCGATATGTTGGAGCAGCTACAAGCCGATACTGCCTGCCTAGCTACCATTGCCCACAGCAGGTGCAGACGAGTTGAAATGAGTGATCGGGTTTTCGAACCGCAGTCGCCCCTGAACGCCTCAAACTGACCTAAGAATTTGCGTAAAGCCCTTCTTTCGCCCCATAGCCTATTCTCTACCAAGCTCTGTCTATGTGGAGGAGGAGATAATAGAACCGGCACCTGAGATGATTTCCCACTCGACCGGTACCTTGATGTAATCGACACCCGGTGCGGTGAAGGTATCGCATCCTGCCTTCATCACATAATCTTTGCCATCGTTAGCAACGATGAAACAAAAAAAGGGAAGAGGCTGGCTGTTCGCCGTTAGGCCACACTTTATTTCAATTTGAGCCTGTCATAATCTTTGCAGAATGCACCTAATATCCATCTGGCTTTTCCGGGTCGTGTCATTCATCATTCATCAACGGAAGCGAAACCGTCTATGAAATCATCGAGTTACATCTGCAGTTTCAAAGAATCGATGAGCTCACCACCCGCAGTTCGGTAGGGAGTTCAAAAGGGAAACTCTTTTCTCAACGAGCAAGATCCTCGAGTATTTTATTTTTATTTTTATTTTACTTTTTGCAACAAGAAAAGAAAAATTCCGCGAAACAACGCATACACCCATAAGATACATCGTATCGTAGAGAGTACACAGCTTGACTCCGGGTCCATCATTAAATAGATCTCGAAGTAATAAATACTCCGTACGAATAGATAAATAAATTTAAACAGAAGGACTTAAAACGCCATCGTCCCCAAACCCCAATCACTGTCGTTCGTATAATAATAGTTTTGGGGAAAAAAAAAAAAAACGTTTCCATCCCCGCGCCATCGACACTTATGATTTCCCTGGGTTCGGCTGGAGAAATAAGAAAAATACAAAAAAAAAAGAAAAACGGACCAAGCCAATCCGCAGATCATCCGCTCGCCAACCCATGTTTCGATAGCAACGGTTCAATTCCACAATCCAGAAGTTCCAGTTGCAGGGGTGTTGTTCTGGGTGAGCGAACTCTGGTAACTTCCCTGCAAATCTATCGCTCTTGGGGTGCCCCATAGCCGCCCATGGAATGCTCCCGTACTTTAAACGCCGTTTCTTACTTCTCTCCTACGACATGCATACTTACGAAGCCTGGAGCTGGCGCCGGGTTGTTGTTCTTCATCTGCTGGAGAAAACGGCTTGAAGAAACAATGTCGGAAAAGAGTTCTTTTGGGGGAGGTTTTGACCGTCTGCTCACGTCGAGTGACTGATCAACACGGGTCAAGGGAAGGCCAAGAACTTCTAGCTAGAGAACGGCGCTGGTTAAGTGATGAGTCTACTCCGTACTCCATACTCCGTATACTCTGTCCTAGCCTAGATTGATTGTGCGTACTCGAGGGAAAAGGGCCTTGATTATATACTTCGTATGTCCACCAGAAAAACGCCGAGAACGGGTATGACGGATGGCAAAAAGGCCATGCCGACCAACGAGAGCTTAGATCACTTAAAAAAAAAAAGAAAAGAAAAGAAAAGAAAAGAAGAGGAAAGAAAAAGTCACAGCTTTCATCGAAACGTTACTCGGTGGCAATGGCTTTTTTTCACCTTTTTTTTTTTTTTTTCAGCCGACGCCCTTGACATATCCACATTCCTTTCTGAGCTGAGCACCACGCCAGCCTTGGTGGAATGAGCCGTATACCGCAGGCAGCGAGTCATTCCTGTTTCATGCTTACGAGGCGGTTTTTTCCTGTGCAACCCTGATGAGAAAACCAACAGGCTGTTTGAGGATTTGCACTCCCTCCGGAGCAGGATGCCCGTATATTACTGGCGCTGCCGGTGAAGGGGAAAACGCTACCTGTTTTCTTTAAAGAAAGAGAAAGTAAAAAAATGGAAATCGAAATCGAGTGGGGAAGAGGACGAGAGAAAAAAGAGGGTAGTTTTGGCCATTCCGCACCGAGAACCAATCAAATTATTCGGAATAAGAACACTTTGCGTTTCTCATATTCTCTTTGTGAGAGGTGTGTTTGAGAGAAGGCTCGTCATGCGGACGGTTTTGAGCAAACGAGGTAGCGGGAATGCAGAAAACGACGAATTCCTTTTTTTCGCCTCTCTTTGGCCGCCAGAGGACTTCAGTTGATAGTTCGCACGCAGGCGAAAGGACGTTGGCGAAAATCGGAGAAGAGGCCCTAGCGCACATCAGAGGCCACCGATTGGAGGGACTGTCTTGATTCCTCTGTACGACACTCAGCGCTGGCCAGGGCGGGTAGAGAGGACGGAGCAGTTTGTGCCAGAAAAATGAGTCTGCCAAAGAAACTCGTCTGCTGCCTCTTGGCACATCTAATTATTGCTCAGTGGTCCGATTCCCCGCCCTGCAGAATGGGCATATTTCTTTTTTCTTATTTTTTTTTCTTATTCTTTTTCAACCCTCCACGGAGTACCATTTCCTTGCGAGAAAGGGTAAAGAGAACACGGCCGGTGGGGGAAGCGAAAATGTGTTTTGGAACGCTTTCTTTTTTTCTCCTCTTTTTTTTTTTTTTTTTTTTTTTTTCCCTGGTGAGAATGCGATCTCAAGCTCGGAGTAACATTGAGCAGTGATTGATGTCATTCTTTCGACTTTCTGGCCCCCCCGGTCAGATCGAGGTCTCGGAAACTGGGTACAGGATTATTCCGGACTGTGCTAAACTTCTGCGTTTTCGTAATTGACTTAACTTTATATCCTGCCAAACCAATTCCTCGAATGTTCTGTAGATATTCTCGGCCTGTCATCGGAAGCGGTTCCATGGGATGACGAAGAGCGTGTCGACGAGAACCATGGATGGAGACAGAGGCCGAGCGTTGTGGTTGCAATTACGATATACATCGGCAGGGAGCCCGCAGACGTCCGACAGATTTTTGCTTTTTGAATCTGCTGTCAAAACCCGTGCACACAAAGACAAAAGGCCTCAATAATACAAAGTCGTTTCCCTCGGGCTAAACTAACTTGCCCCTATGGCCAATGATGATGATGATGTAAAATGGAGTCTGTTTCAAGGCGCAAACGCAAGAGAATCCGAAAATCGCATCATCTAGCTTTCACCGATCAGAAATGTTTCGAAGATGAAAGCCCACACACACACCGTGGGGGCCATCATACAAGGTCGCATCCGCCAGTCGTTCGTAAATACAAAAAAAAAAAAAAAGAGGATTCTTTTATGTACTCCGTCCGGCTTATCTTTACATTCGAATCTGGGACGCATGTACGGAGAATGCCGATCTCTCTTCCCCAGTTAATCGACGGGCTGATGGTCGGTTCCTGATGCACGAAGATGGAGGAGGATTGTTTGACAGGATCTGCATTCCATTGATCATGCAGTTTGCCAATACATACCTTGTGGCCCCGCACTTCACGCTCTGCTCATCGTGAAATTATCGCCCCGGGGAATTCGGTGTTTGCTATGAAGATCACAGCGGAACTGAGAGCCTGGGCAGAGAGGTCGACGCTGTATTTAAAAAAAAAAAAAGAAAAAAGAAAGAAAAATCCCCAAAATAGACACCCAGGGAATATTTTCCTTTGGGTCTTCCTGTAGGTACCCGGTTTTAAAATCGCCGGCTCATCCACCCAGAAGGGTGGGTGGGCTGCCACTCGTGATGTTGGCAAAGGATTTGAAGTTGCACCGCATTTGGCGTGTTCTATTCCTTGAGAATGGTCAACTACCTCCACTCGTTAGAGTTGGGCCTGAAATAGAGCGGCGATGTCCTGATTCCTTCGCCCCGGACATGCGGAGTACGCTACCCGCGTGTGATGTGTTCAAGAAATGCTGCTTGATCGATGACTGTTAGCCAAAGACGGAAATGCAATTATCGAAAGGGTCAACTGGGCACCCTCCACCATTGCGTTTGTTCGTATTATATCGTATGAGATCTGGAAAAAGAAAACCGTGCCGGACACACGGCACGTCTTCTCTTTCGAACGGGCATTTCGCCGCATAAAACAAAGTCGCAGATGACTCGCTGGTTTAACTCCTAGTTGTTCCTCCAGTGGCGCGTTTTTCTGCGCTCCCCTTCCCTGGAGATTGTTCGCCGGCCAAAATACGGCTGCGACCGCACTTACTCCGTACTTTCGCGGCCATCCTATGAGGCGACTTACATGTTTTCTTTCCGACCCTCCCCCAAAATGCGCGGACGGATTAACAGTGCCGCCCTAAAATACCCTCTTTTTTCGCTGGGCAAGCTAGTCGATATAGATCCTGCATGGTCGATGTCAGTGTGGAGAAAAGAGTTGAGGTTCGTAGATCCGGCTAAGACTCTTTTGGACGCAGCACTAAAAGGCCCTTGACCCCTGTCGAAGAGGCGCTTAAGAATTGGACGATCTGGACGCGCCGCACAAAGCGGAAGTTTAATGCAAGGGCTTTGTTGCTGAAATGTCGACAGTCCGGATGATCCGCCGTGGCCTAACAAGATAGTGACGATGCAGCGCACTCTCGCCGCCAAAGCTGAAGATGGCTTCGCTCGTGTCACAGGGGATGCAAGAGGTCTGGGATACGGCTTTTTCCCGCCGTTGTCCTGGGGCCTAGCAGCATCTTCGTTCGGTGGCGGCGGGAGTTGGGGGTTGTTTTCGCCTTCGACAACCAGATGTAATGTCTCCCCCCACGAAGTCAATTCTTTCCCAGGTCTCTTAACTGTTTTGGTTTGTTTCCAAGAGACCTGGCAGTATTCCATAGCCTGGGGCTTCGGCCCATCAACTATTTTTTATTTTTTTATTTTTTTTTTGCTTCCCTTTTTCGGCTGTGCCCTCTTTTATTTCTTATTTTTTTTTTTTCCCGGACTAGAGAAAGTACACCGTACTTCCTTTGATATCACTGGCCCACTGCCAACATTCTCAGTTCACCTGTGATGTGATCCGTCCAATAAGCTGTGATTTCCTGCATCCGGCCGATCTTTGCTTAAATCTTCTCCGGGATGCCCTTCAGTCGCGGCCTCTATTAATATCGGGGGCCTGGGGCAGTATTCAGACCGCGTATCGGCCTAGGTAACTGAATATGTAGGTACAGTACATGCTTGGGCGTTTGCGTTTGCTTGCTCTGGGCATCCTAGTCTGCATAGTTCCTCCGCGAGGATCCTCATCTCTTGCTGTTCGTCTCCTCCACTTTCTTTTCTACTCGAGATCAAGTCATCTTCCTGGTTCCCGCCTCTGCACTCCTCCCCGTGGCCGGCCACGACTGCTGGCCGCGTCTTATCCCAGCCTGGGTCTTCTCACAGCGCGAAAGTCGCAGTTAAGTGGGCGCGTTTCGGTTCAATTCTCGAAGATCTCCTTCAACGGCAGCGGCTTTTCTTCCTCTTGCTTTCTTGTCAATCTTTCATGGAGCTTTCTTGCGCCCGCCTCTGGACTTGAGAGAACAGAAGAAGAAAAAAAGAGAATAAAAAAAAATAAAAAAATAACAAAGCACCCCGGTGGGCAGGTAAACCCTGGGAAATCGGATCTCGAAGGGTCATTGGGCCGCACGCACACGTTCGCTGCCGTCTTTTGGGGATATTGCTTTTGGCCCTGGTCATCCACTCCTCTGTCTGTCGTAACCCGCGCCAGCAAGACGGGCACTGCGAGAGCGAGGGTTATTTTATTTTATTTTATTTCATTTTATAGTTCTGCCTTGGTGGTGGACGGCAGCAGCAAACGGGAGAGGAAGAAGACGTTGATTGACGGCTTGAAGTGTCGTTAATATAATTTAAAAAAAAAAAAAAAAAAAGGAATTAAAAAAAAAGGGAAAAGAAGAAGAAAAAGAGAACAAGGGAATAGAGCATTCATCTCACCTGGTCTTCTCCATCTCAGACAAGTCTTCTTTTGCCTCGCATTCCCCCGCTCGTCCTCATCCGTCTCCGTCCCCTTCTTGCTCGACCGATGCGAGGCGTAGGATCTGGGTAGGGCCCTTGGAACGACCGCGCGCCTCTTTTTTTTGCCTGGGCTGTCAAGGAGTCATAGGCGGGATAGACAGGCTACGATTCCACAGGCTCAGGGTGGTGCATCCGTGGTTCTCCAACACCTTATCCGCGCCTTGAGCACGAGAACCGGAGGGCAGGGAAGAGTTTACATCATTTCAAGGTTCCTCCCCCATCCATTTTACCTTTCTGGTGATTCGCGGGCGCGCGCTTATCCCTCGGATTTCGTGCATACCCGGGCCCCATCGATACGCTGTAGGGCTACAGATCTGACACGGTTCCCAGGGAAAAAAAAGCCGCCGCCCCCCCCATCCATCGTCCATTCCACCCCCCGAGGACCCAAAGGCCGCTCCGAATCTGCGTCTGGCAGGCCGTTCTCTGGCACCCTAAACCTTCTAGACCACCCACGCCGTGTCCATTTGAGTTTGGAGACTCGTCAACCGCCGAACTCAAATACAGCCCATTTCTTGGGTCGTGCACATCCTTTGAGGAAAATTTCCGCAAGGCCTGGGCCCTAGGGCATTTCCTGCCGGGGTTGGAACCAAGCGTTTGCCGTTGACGCGCCCAACCCTTGGGTTCGCCATCATCCTCTGTTCGCCGTCCTCCTCTGCCCGTTCCTCTGCCCGTTCCTCTTCCTCCTCCTCATCCTCCTTCCCCGGCTCCCGTGGTTGAAACCAGGCGGAAGGAAGCACAGTGCTGTCAGCAGCCGCAACGCCGAGTTTACTCCACTTCGCCCCATTCTGTGCAGAAGGAAGAAAAAAGACAATCCTGGAGAACCTTTAGGCGCTCTGTGGTTCGTGCTTGAGCTTGTCAGCTAGCTGCTCTTCGGTGGCATTCTATTTAAGCGCAGAGCACCGTTTTTATCAGACGACACTCTTGCGTTTTTCTCGAATCGCCTCCCCGTTTTTCTCCTCCTGAGCTTCGAGCCTCTTTTTGCTGTCTCGCTAGGTTTCGTGGTATTATATTATGCTCACTATCCCGCTGCTGCCGTGCGCTTTATAAAAAAGAAGAGCTGCTCCACTCTACCTTCTTTCACTCTCCCCGATTGTTCACCGCACGGTCCAACTCGACCTACAAACCAGATCTGAAATTCCCTGAGTTACGCATATTCCCTGGGTGTCCTGCCGCCCTCCATTCCAAGGAAGAGCTTTCCGCCTGCGACCGGTACTTCTCTTCCCTTCTACCACACTGTAGACTTCATGAATACTCCAGGATATCCAGAACACCATCCGCCTCACACAGGCCTGCAAAGGTTCGTGGCTGCCCCTTTTTAAAATAAAATAAAAAGAAAATGAATATGAGAAAAAAAGGAAGAAATGAAAAGAAAATAAAGAAATAATAAAAAGAAATATCTACTCCTCTATGCCGTCCCCCTGTGCTGGTGTTGTGTGTGGACGCACTCGCTGACAGTTTCCCCGTGGATTTCAGTTCTGATTACGACCTCACAGTCCGTCAGAACCCCGAGCGGGCCCGTGTTGCGGGAGGAAAAGAAAAAGGTTTGTGATTGCGAATCTCTCTTCTCCCCTCTCTCTATTTCTCTATCCTACTTTTCTGGTGCGGAAGCTCATCTTTTGTGGCAGAGCGCAAGCCGGTAGATCCGCCTCCAATCATCCAGCTTCGAGTGCGAGATGAGAGCGACCCATCACAGTAAATGACTCCCTTAACCCCTATGATCCTTTGCACAGTTTCAGACTGACCTAGGCCTCTAGTAACTACTTACAGAGCCCGTACTACTTTATGTGCTGCGGGCTGCACCACCCCACAGAGGACCGACCTGCTCCGGTACCCGCGTCGACAGCCCTTGCGGGCACTCTTGTATCATCATTACATCGGTTAAAGGACATAGATAACTCGGGTTCGTAACTTCTTTCTGAGCCACAGTTGGCCTTCGACTACAGGTACTGATCCAGTGTTTTTTTGCAGATGGCGGCTTTTTCGTATTTGGCGACCTTTCTGTTAGAGTCGAGGGGGAGTTTAGGTTAAAATTCAATCTTTTTGAGATGCGCAAGTATGACCTTCGAGAACCCGTTGGCGCTGTTGAAACTGATGAGAATTTTCACAGAGACGAAGTTGTTCACATCAAATCCATCCTTTCAAAGCCCTTTCAAGGTCTGGCTTACCCTCTTTCGGTTCCAGACGCCAGGACGAATTTGCTGACAACGGTCACAGTTTTGCCGCCCAAGAATTTTCCTGGAATGACTGAATCAACATTTCTTTCGAGATCATTTGCAGACCAAGGTATTAAGTTACGGATTCGCAAGGAACCTCGGGCACTGCTGTGAGTGCAGTCACCAAAAAAAAAAAGAAAAAAAAAAAAAAAAAAAAAAAAAAAAAAAGAAAAGAAAAGAAAATTCTGATGCGGATAAGATAGCTAACTTCCGTAGGAAACGGCCAATGCCGCGGCCTGAAGAGTACCCTACTCCTCTTCCTCCGCGTTACCCTGAAAGACCAAGTTCAGGCTACCCTGAATGGCCGACATCAAGCGTTCAAAGTGCACCGCCTATGAACGCTTATGCGCAACCGGATCGTGATTACGCCTCGTACTATGCTCCAGCCCCCAAACGGCAAAGAAATTCCGTGGACTTGGGAGCCCGAACTTTTTATGGGCCAGATATGACTAGGGGAGTTGGGCGGGGTGTTGTTTACGACACATGACAAGGAGAGAGTATTTTGGAATTTGATTGCATACACACACAGAGAGAGGGAGAGAGATAAAACTCGCCGTGTATATATTGCTATTATTTTTACTCGCTCGAACCAAATTAACCACGCCTAATGCAACTTTCAGATCTCCCTTCTCCATTCCTCTTACCTTCTAACCTCCCTAGAAACTACATACATTGGGCCTAAGCGCCTATGGGTGCTCTACACGTCGTCCTCGGTCCTCCCGCCGCCTCGACCGCCTTCGACACGCACGACACGCGACCGACGTCCTTGATGTTGAAACGCGCCGTGTCATCTTTAAACCCCCAATGCTTTATCTCTCCACACTTGTCCTCAAGCTTGCTCCGGAACTCATCGCCACCTTTCCAGCCTTTAATGCTGGAGACAGTAATGAGGGTTTCTCCCCGCCCACGGAAGAAGAATGCATTGCAGACCGCGTTGAGCTCTTCCTTCTTGTCTTCCTTCTTGTCTTCTTTCTTCTTCTCCTCCTCCTTCTTCTTCTCCTCCTCCTTCTTCTTCTCCTCCTCCTTCTTCTTCTCCTCCTCCTCCTTCTTCTTCTCCTCCTCCTCCTTCTTCTTCTCCTCCTCCTTCTTCTTCTTCTCCTCCTCCTTCTTCTTCTCCTCCTCCTCCTTCTTCTTCTCCTCCTCCTCCTTCTTCTTCTCCTCCTTCTGCTCCCTAGACTCTTCCTCTTTTGGTGGTGGTTCGCGGGAAGTTGTGGTTGCAGGTTTGGGCTCGGACTTGGAGGTAGAAGTTGGCGCTTTCGTTGTTTTCGGGTGAGTTGTTTTAGGCTTTTGCGTTGTCGTGCTTGGCTGCTTGGTCGACTCCGGTTTGCCGGTTGTCTTGACACTCTTGATCAGGGTGCTAGCAACCTTTGTCGACTTGGGTTTACTGGTCGTTTTCGTTGGAGACTTGCTCGTCTTCGATTTTACAGGCAATGAGCATGACGCAGGGAGCCCGGCCAGGTCTGGAGCGGCACGCTTCTGGGCTGCAGGGGTCATCAACTGGTTGGGCCGAGCTGGCCACAGGGAGCGGTGGTAAGGCGTAGGATTTTCCTCAGCGTAGACTTTGGCGCCGGCCCACCAACGACAGTCTCTTTCCTCCTCTCTGGGGTCATATTGCAAAAGAGCTTTTCCATAAGGTAGGTAAGCACCCGTAGGGAGTTGGAAGCTCGGTGAATCTCCGAGACGGTCCACAGTCTTGTGCGTGATTGTAGTAATCGGGGTGCCTGGGCCCAATATCTCGTGAAGTTTATCCCTTATTCGCTGAACCTCCGGGGCATAGAGGGGCTGGCCTGCTTTCTCGTAGTCTTCCGGAGTGAAGATAAAAGCCACAGGGGCGTACACTGGGTCAAACCTCTTCGGGTTTTCTCGTGTTCCACCTACAAAGCACCGAACACTCGCAGTTGTACGGGTGGTGACAACTCTGTCATTATTAACCGTACGGTAAGAGCAGCCTGCATCCAAGACATCAAGCACATTCTTTTTGAAGATCTCCTCATTGAACCGGTAGCCTGCCATCAGTGATTGATATCTGAAGCCGGGAGCTTCCCAGAAATGCGCCCACCACATGCCTGCCGAGGAAATAACCAAAACAGACGTACATCCTCGAAGATTAATGATGCCCGCGTTGAATTTCTGCTTTCCTAACTCAGCCACTAAGACTGAAGGTTGATTTCTCGGCATAGCAGCGCCGGGGTCAATCCAAAACCCTTTTGGAACCAGTGCAGCAACTTTCAGTTCGTTGAAAAAGAAGTTTTTCAGGTCATTATTATAGTCCGCAGGTGTTCCCATCCGTCGTTTGGCAAGGTGTCCGGGATAGCCAGAATCACTTTCAGATATGGAAGATTTCTCAAGTCGTTCGATATCGCGCTTCGTGAGACCGGGTGGGCGCGGAACCTCCTCTGACCGGCATGCAGCACACTCCTGACTACACAATTTCCTACGAGCAGGACAATCCTTGTTTTTGCCGTTCCCATTTTTCGGATCGCCTGAGGGAACGGCAGATGGGCAAGACATTGTGGACGCCTGTGATGTGGTGGACGCCTGTGATGTGGTGGACGCCTGTGATGTGGTGGACGCCTGTGATGTGGCGGTCGTCGTCTTCGTTAAAGTGGACTTTGCTGTCTTCGACGGTTCCTGAGAGGGAGTAGGTTTCTTATCCTCTGGAGGATCAACAACAGGAGGACCGACCTTTGGCGGAGGATTGACCTTTGGCGGTGGATTGTCCTTTGGCGGTGGATTGTCCTTTGGCGGTGGATTGACCTTTGGCGGTGGATTGTCCTTTGGCGGTGGATTGACCTTTGGCGGCGGATTGACCTTTGGCGGATCGATCTTTGGCGGACCGATCTTTGGTGGACCGATCTTTGGCGGATCGATCTTTGGCGGACCGATCTTTGGCGGATCGATCTTTGGCGGACCGATCTTTGGCGGATCGATCTTTGGCGGACCGATCTTTGGCGGACCGATCTTTGGTGGACCGATCTTTGGCGGGGGATTGACCTTTGGTGGGCTCACTATTACCGGAGGAGGATTGATATGAGGTGGCTTGTTGTCATCCCCATCATCGCCCTTTTTGTTCCCATCATCCTTCTCATCATCATCTTTATCATCGTCTTTCTTGCCATCGTCCTTCTTGTGATCATCTTCCTGTTTGGGTGGAGCTGGTGGCTGCGGAGGAACTGATGGCTTCGGTTTGGGGATTGGTATAGGCGCAACCACAGGCACGACAGTAGGCGTGCCATTGACAGTAGGTGCGATGGTGTTGGTGACCTGATTAACAGTTTGTTGTGGCACGTCTGTTGTTTCTAGTTTAGGGCCAATGCTCCCACTTTGTTTCCGCGACACTGTCTCTTGAGACCCTGGTTTCGTTGAAAGAGTGCTTGGAACAACAGGTGGCTGATCTTTTGTGATATTGGGGCTAGGAGAACTTGGGCGTGGTGCGTCTGTGGGAACATCGGGCTTTTGCTTTGTCCCTGATTGTACAGGGTTTGGCCTCACAGAAGAGCTGACCTTGGCTGTAGATAATTTGGCAGTGGTTTGTGCGGTCCCTGGGGGAACAGGGGGTGTTGAAGGGGTTTGTGTGGTTCCAGGTGGTGGAGAAATTGGTTTCGCAGAAGGGATATTGCTGATGACAGATGCTTGACCTGTAGGCTTTGGGGCAGCAGGAACAACTGGTGGCACAGAGGGTGTCTCTTTAGTTCCAGGGGGTGGAGAAACTGGTTTCTCGGGTGGGCTTTTGCTGATAACAGATGCTTGATCTGTAGACTTTGGGGCACCAGGAATAACTGGGGGCACAGGGGGTGTCTGTTTCATCCCTGATGGTAGAGAAACTGGTTTCTCAGATGGGCTTTTGCTGATGACAGATGCTTGATCTGTAGGCTTTGGGGCAGCAGGAACAACTGGGGGCACAAAGATTGTCTGTTTAGTTCCAGGGGGGGGAGAAACTGGTTTCTCAGGTGGGCTTTTGCTGATGACAGATGCTTGATCTGTAGGCTTTGGGGCACCAGAAATAACCGGGGGCACAAGGGGTGTCTGAATCCCAGATCTCTGTTTGGTTTCCGGGAATGGATGGGCCGGATTCACAGAAGGGTTATTCTTGACAGCAGATGTTTTACCTGTTTTGGGGACACCAGGAACAACTAAAGGTGGTGCATTGGTGGGAGTTGAAGGAACCCCTTTTGTCCCAGGAACAGCAGGAGAATTATCTGGGTGAGCAACTGGGGGCTTAGCAGGGGGAGAATTAGCTGGGTGAGCAGCTGGGGGGTTAGCAGGGGGAGCAGCGGGGGGTTTAGCAGGGGGAGCAGCGGGGGGTTTAGCAGGGTGAGCAGCTGGGGGTTTAGAAGGGTGAGCAGCTGGGGGATTAGCTGGGGGAGCAGCGGGGGGATTAGCTGGGTGAGCAGCAGGAGGATTAGCAGGGGGAAAATTAGCCGGGGGGCCAGCGGGAGGGGCAGCGGGAGAATTAGCTGGGTGAGCAGCTGGGGGGTTAGCAGGGGGAGCAGGGGGGGGATTAGCTGGGTGAGCAGCAGGAGGATTAGCAGGGGGAGAATTAGCCGGGGGGCCAGCGGGAGGGGCAGCGGGAGAATTAGCTGGGTGAGCAGCTGGGGGGTTAGCAGGGGGAGCAGGGGGGGGATTAGCTGGGTGAGCAGCAGGAGGATTAGCAGGGGGAGAATTAGCCGGGGGGCCAGCGGGAGGGGCAGCGGGAGAATTAGCTGGGTGAGCAGCTGGGGGCTTAGCAGGGGGAGGATTAGCTGGGGGAGCAGCGGAGGGAGCGGGAGCGATTGGATGATCCAAATCTGGGTTCACGTAAGAATTCTTTCCATGCTGACTTCCCGTACCCTTAGAGTCTTTGGGAGCGGCGGGGGGTGGAGGAGGGAACACATCAGGACCGACGCCGGGTACATGGGCAGCGCCAAAAAGATGTGGCGGTTGTGGATTTCCACCTAGAGGCATGTTAGTAACCAGGAATGTCGAGTATCTCAAGAAATATCGAATACCTCCTGGGAGTCCTACGACTTCAGCGGAAAGAAGGGTAAATATCAAAGATAGCCAAATCCATTGCTTTGGCTGCAGATGGCATTGCATATTGCATAGCAGAGGTTGTTGATGCCACACCGATCGTGAAGCAATCAAAACGAGAGCTTTTGACGACCAAACGAATGGAACTTCGTATACAGGCAACCAGCGAGAGCAACGGGAGTTGAGGAGAGAGGGCTTGGAAAGCGAGTAAATATCCTAGAATATATATTCTCAGGGAATACGCATGACCCGTGAAACAGGTAAGATTGTCGAGAAAGGATTTGCAAAGAAAGCACCCAAGCCGTCTCCAATGTGCCCTTCCACTACCTTGGCAGTCATCAAGCCTCCGAGTGTGAACATGGTAGTAGGTTGATACGGGTCCACATTCGTGCTGCGGTATTTTCATCGAGCCCTATGAGGTGCGTTCCTATTCAGTTAGAGGATTACCCCCAAGACTTGAAAAAGGTTGGCAAACGCGAGTATATTGTCTAATGAGAACACAGATTGATGCCACCTGGAAACGAAGTCCCATTGACACCGGACAACCTGCAGGATAGCTCCCAATAGCATTGGCACCGTACATACGCGATGCACCTCAGGTTGACCATCCTTAAGCAAATTATCATGCTCTCTCTCTGCTAGCCGCCCATGGATCTATTCGACAAAGCCGCATCATGAAGCAGAGCTAAGGGAGCTGCAAAACTAAGCTCTCATCTGGCTCCATGGATAACCACTTTCACCAACATTTAAAAGCTGTTAACAGGGGAGGAAACACCGCAGAAAGCGATGATAACATTGGCGTTCTTCATGCTCCTTGCGTCAATGTAAAACATGTTTGATATCCACAACTGGTGAGGAGAAAAGGAAATATTTCTTCTTCGGGGGAGCCGAATCCGGGGTCACGGCGTATTATAGCTCAACAAACGCACAGTACAAAGAGCTGCTGTTGGGTCTTTCTTTTGTCTTCGATGAAGCGCATTTTGCGGGACCCACTTGGGACGAGATATTTTGGGGTTCATGAACTGTTTGGATTGCATATATGAGTTCCATGACACGCCCAGGCGAAAAGATAACAAATGGCTTTTGATGCAGGGACTGATATGGAACATGGGGCAAAGCTTGTTCTGGATGGCCTGAGCTTTTATGAGAGGTAAAAGCCGCAGGCTCAGATCAGAATGCTCTTTCGCGTCCGAGCTCTGCCGCTGAAACAATGATCTGATCTGACCCCCAGTTGGTTTTCAACAGCGGAAGTTCATTGTCTGTCTGTTGTGCCCAAGCTGTGTCGTCGTCGAGGCTTTTGATCGGCGGTGTTTGCTGAGTCACCCACGCCTGAAAGAGATGCGCACCTTGAGCAGCAACAGCGCGCTGCCCAGCGAGAACAACCCATGGTTATTGGGCGTCCTTGAGCGGCGAGATTGATGTCTTTCTGACATGAAGGAGAGTCCCTTTTTCTTCTCCTTACATATCTTGAAAGCGCCCCAATGGGATTCATCGCTGCGGCGGTTGAGTGACGTCGGTGGGGCTCCGGCATAGGCAACATTCCACTCTTCATGCGTCGGATCATGAAGAACACAACTCAGCCCTGACTAGAAGATCAATCCTTAGGCAGTTGTATTCTAAAAAAGGATCGCGGAGGCCCTATCTTTATTCGTTCCCTGCACAATGTCCACACTCACGGAGGAAAAGCTTGCAATCCTGCAGCAATTCTCCGCGTGCGATGTGCGCAGTAGCCGTCCTCTCCTAACCCCAAAAACCCATCCATTGATACCCATGCTAATACGTATCTCACAGGTATCTGACGCCCTTATGAAAGCAGAGAAAGTGCCCAAGGGTGCACCCGCACACGGAGGCTTCCTAGCCGACCTTGGTGAGCTCAGTTATACCCGCCATGTGTGGCGAGTTCAACCCAACCCTCTTGTCCAAAACAACTGCCCCATTCCTCCAGGCCCACACGAACCAAGTAACTAATCGAATTCATCCAATTCTCCTCTTTAAACACGAAAGGTCCTCTCATCCTCTCCCCATCTTCAACGTCCTCTAAGACGATCGCTCCCATCTCCACTGTTCAGTTCATCCCCAAAGCCCAACCCTTCCTCCACATTGCACAACAAGACCCGGAGCGTCACGGCTTTCCCGAAGCCACACACTGGGTAGATCACACCCAGCGTGACACCATCGTCCTGCTTGATCAGCCCGAAGGCCAAAAATGTGCTGTCCTCGGCGGAATCATGGCCGCGAGGATGAGCGTTATCGGTGCCAAAGGAGTAATCGTTAACGGAAGGGTGAGGGATATGGCTGAACTGAAAGCAAGTGGGCTACCGGTATGTATCGGCGTCTCTCTGACAAGGTTTTCGGTGCCACGATTGCATTCTATGAAATTCTTATACCCGAATACATATATAGATATGGGCGCGCGGTCAGTCCACCGTTGGCACGGGTGCTGAAGCCAAACCTGGTGCACGAAACGTACCGATTTCTGTTAGTGGTGTCGCAGTTTCGCCGGTAGGGCTTTCCCCAAATCCTTTTCCCTTGTGAACTCTTGACGTTGGTGATTGATACCCTATGTTTAGGGTGACATCGCATTTTGTGATCCACTTGAAGGAGTCGTGGTAATTCCGCAGGACTTGCTCGACGACGTTCTGGCGTTAATGCCGAAACTTGTCGAAGCTGATGACCGGGTCAAGGAAGATGTATTGAATGGCTGTACCGTATTTGACGCCTTCAAAAAGCATCGAGGAGCGTAAACATAGGACTGTATGTAAATATGTAAATATCCTGGTTATTTATCCCTTATACCAATAAACAAGAAGTAATATACAATAAAAACGCCCTAGATGTAGGGATACAAGGTTGCATGCTCATAATGTGCAAAGGAGACGAAATGCAAAGAAATCTTAGAAGAGCCGAACAAGAGTCATCATCTCATCAACGGAGCTTTTTACTCGGCGACCCAGACAGCCGCCATACCCATACCAGTTCCAACACACATGCTAGTAACTCCGACTTTCTTGCCCGTTCTTCTCAATTCAGTCAACAATGTGCTGACCTGTCTAGATCCAGTGCATCCCAGCGGGTGACCAAAGGCGATAGCACCACCCTTGGGGTTAACCTTCTCCATGGGCAAACCGAGCTCCTTGGCACACCACAAGCACTGGGAAGCAAAGGCCTCGTTGATCTCGTAGATATCAACATCGTTCTTGGTGATACCGGCCTTCTCCAAGGCAACGGGGATGGCCTTCCATGGACCCATACCCATGAGGAGCGGCTTCACGCCGACAACGCTGGCGGTAACGTACTTGCCGATGATCTTCTGGCCGAGTCTCTCAGCAGTGGAGCGTTTCATGAGGAGAACGGCGGCAGCACCGTCGGAGATCTGGGAAGAGTTTCCGGCGTGGATGGAGCCATCCTTTGCGAAAGCGGGTCTGATCTTAGCAAGGGATTCGGGAGTCATGCCGGCTCTGACGCCATCGTCGCGGTTGACAACGACGGTCTTTTCCTCGTTGGTTTTGGGGTCGGTAACCTTGACGGTCAGAGGGACGATTTCTTCATTGAACAGACCCTCCTTTTGAGCCTTTTCGGCCTTTTGGTAAGAAGAGGCGGCGAAGACATCCTGCTCAGCACGGCTGATCTTGAGGTCCTTGGCCATTTGCTCTGATAAGATACCCATGGGGACTTTGCAGTTGGCAGATTCAGTGTGGCTTTCTAGGAGGTCGGAGAACTCAGAGACAGCTCCGGGTCTTTTGAATTATATCAGTACCATTCTCTCTTTCTTTTTTTCTTTTCTTTTCTTTTCTTTTTTTTTTTTTTTTTTTTTACGAAGCTCGAACAAATACTTACCCATACTGCGAAGACATGCTCTCAACACCAGCACCAATACCGACTTCAATAACACCAGCCTTCACGGCATTTGCGATATCAACGATCGCCTGCAATCCACTGGAGCACTGTCTGTTCAGAGCCTTGACGGCGGTTCCTTCTGGGAATCCAGCAACAAGAGCGGCAGCACGGAACTCAGTAGCACCACCGCCAGGCGCAAGAACGGATCCGACCGCAATATCTTCCACGAGCGCGGGGTCAATGTTGGACTTCTCAATCACGGCTTTGAAAACACCGGCCAAGAGGTCGGCGGCGGCAGTATCCTTGAAACCGCCACGGCCACCTTTGGTGATGGCCGTTCGGAGGGCGCATGTCACGACGATATCATCGGGGTGTTTGGCGGTCAGCGCAGAAACGCCTCCTTTGGTGGAGGTCATATGCGAAGCGACCTGTGAGAGACGTTGTGCAGCTGCGAAAACCGATCACATGTCAGCGCACCTTGTCAGGAAAAAAGCATGGGGAGATGACGTGGGGGAGAGCTTACCTTGAGACATGGCGATCTAAATGTTTGAGGTCTATTTCAAAATATGCCTCAAAAAAGAGCAAATGCTAATATGTCTCAGTAACAAGGACAATAACGCGGGTGACGGTGGGCAGGGGGAGTGGGAGTGGGAACAATGATGCTCGGGTTCCCGGTTCTTCTTTATATGGATGTTTCTCGACGGGGAGGTGGTGCTTGGTCAGCCACCCCAGTCCTGCCGAGGCTTACGGACAATCATTGATCCGTGCCTAGCGCATCACGTGCAAACTCAAATTCAACAGCGAAATGCATGTGAAAGCCTCCCGCGCGTGCTTGTGCTTCACGCCGCGCAGGCTTGCTGGCCCGACGCTGCCGACGCGGCGCCTTTGTTGGTTTTCGGCATGGGAGCTGTGTCTTTGTTAACATGCGTCCTCCGAAGCAAATGTATTCCGCCCAGTTGTCAATGGGCTCTCGATGCAAGGTACTCGATCTCAGTCCATCCCAACTTTGCTCCGTGTCCCTTGAGGTGCACAAGTAGCTCCGGCTACTGGTTATAACGGAGTATTTAGACTTGCGGCAGATCTCCGTTAAATCTCTAGATTTCTCCCGGAAATTAAGCCCATTTCATGTGATTTCTACTTTATACTCCGTTGGCTGGAACAAATTCCTTTCGGGTGATGTCAAGAATCAGGGACGAATCCACGTAACCAGACGTAAAACAATCACGAGTCGTTTATCATTTTCTCCGGTAGTTATCTGTTGTGGGCTTGTGTTCTCCAGTCTCTGTAAATTTGGGAGCAAGGTGTGGCGTATTGAGTGTCGATACGTTGATTGCGCTATTTCCAGGATCTTAGATACCTTCCGAGGTGGTCTGGATCCATCCACGCCTGCGAATAACCATATTATCCTCAGAGCGCCAACTCTCTGAACGTGGACTACTTTCGCCCGAAGTGTAGCGGAGAGGAGAGAGGAGACGAGACGAGAGCGAGGGGAGGAGCGGAGAGTATGGCGCGGACCAATGAGCGCAGTCTTGGCATCCGGACCAATCGGAGCTCTTTGCGCCCAAAATTCGTCCGCCGTTGACGCTTTTTGCTCTGCTCTGATCTGGAGGGAGGAATATCGCCATTCATACGCCAACTTTTCCCTTCTTCTTCTTCTTCTTCTTCCATTGAGCAATTACAGCAGGGGTGTACATTTCGATTTAAGATAGCAATATGTCCCTCGCAGCGTCTTCTGCAACGGCAGTTTGCAGGAGCGCGTGCCGGTCACAGTTTCGGCTACCAGTATGGACACGAACTGACGCGAGTTCGGTATGCGATCTTAATCCCATTATGCAACTGGCCCTCGAAGTTTTCTTTTCATTTCAAAGCTGCAAACACTAATAATGAGGACATCCAGTGGACAAAACCGCTCTCTTTCACCCTCCGCCGCCACCACTCCTCCGCCATTGTCTCCCCTCTCCTTCACCTCCGCACATTTCCCTGCCGCCCTCAACATTCCAATAACAATTCACAACCACTCCCCCTCACCCAATCCCACTTCAGCACCTCCCCTTACTCCTCGGGGAACCCCAATGACGCATACACAAGCCCCTACAAAGCCAAACGCACCTGGCCCCCAGACGTATCCAAACTATCTCCGAAGCAGCAGTTCCGCTTAGAGCGCAAATACCGACGGCGCGCGAAACTAAAATGGGCCAGACCGACATGGAAGAAATGGACAAAATTGGTACAATGGACTCTAATCGGGTGTATGTGTCGTCCCCATTTAAAAATGCCCTGTTGGTAACCGGAAGGCTAACACACGTTATTTCCTTGTTCTGCAGTTGTATTGATATATTCGCTGTTTTTCATGGAATTGAAAGATGGAGGAAATAATCCTTTCGCTTCGGTATTTATTATCTTTTTTTTTTTTTTTTTTTTTTTTTTTTTCTCTCCCTTTCGAACTTTATCCCGATTAACTCTTGTCAGGGTTTTTGGAGTAGGAATGCTGATATATTGTTTTTACTAGTTGCGAGAATATACGCGGGAATTTTTCACCGAGTTGTTATGGTCGAATCCACGGGGCGCCTTGCGAAAGCCCTCCGGTGCCGATACCACAGGGCACTCCAATGAAAATAAACAAGGATGAAGGGCTAGAGTTGGACACTTATCTCTCTGGTGTCGTGCAATAGTGAATTATGTGAACTATTACTGGCTGTAGGTGGAATGGGATTAAATACGATATGCTAAGTCCTTGCAGACGATAGTGTATAACTGGCGAAGAGGCGGAAGGGCCTTACTGGACCAAAAGGAGGTGGTCAGCATTCGCTTAAATGAGCGTCACGATCGACATCGCATAATCATAGGTGTTGACCAAACCAATATACACTTGCACCATTTCCCCCTTGGCAGCTGAGCATTAGGAATCTTTGGAGAGTGCAGCTACTGGTAAGACAGGGAGCATGCAGCGCAAATGTTTCGTGGTTTTCAGTCTTAATAGCCTTATCATTCGAATTATCTACTTCAATCACTTCACATGACTGGAAAGCTATATACAGAAGTCAGGGTTACCCACATGGGCTTTTTTTGGAAGTCCTTGCAGATCAAAAAGAATGACTCTGACATAACGTCTAAAATTCGGACCTGTCGCATCTCAAACAGAGTTTTGGTCAAGGAGTGGAAAGGATGAACCACCATAAGGACCAGTATGCAAACCCAAAAATATGCACTATAATGATAATCCAAACTCAACGGGGGCCGGTGGATCGCTGCAATCATAGCCCAAGGATTCTCTTCAATTCGCTATGAGGCTCGGATCCATTAGGAACCCAGACTATGGCACATCGGCGGAGGAAGGCTCTGCAATGGGTCTTGTTCAGCAGCATCTGTATCTGCTGCACACTCTCGCCGAATTTCACGATGAGGAAGCGAAGATCTTGAAAATCTTTCTCATCCCCGTTGGCAAAGAAGGCTGCCAGCTTGCTCGCCATTATATTTGCCAGATCCAAGATCGGAAAATTCCTTTGCCCTGGGAAACGGACGACCGCGAAACGTCCAGATGATAACTCCAATTCATCGGGCGCGCCAAGTGAGCCTTTTCGAGGAGCTTCGTGAGTAAACCCAACAAAATGTGGAAGGATGAGCCTGTTTTCGAGACTTACCACGAAAGATGAAGTTGACCATGACTTTCAAACTGGGTAGGTTTTCTTCGTGGGGTGCACCAGTCTCCACGAAAACTGTCATCACGCCCATTTTCGGGAACGTAGGGCACCATATGCTTGGTTCTCAGCTTGAATTAGTAGCGTGGCCACATCGACAAGCTGGTGGGCTGTCAAGCGCTCACCGTGGCTGAATTGCCAGGATGGGGAGAAGGTCCTTCATGTTGGAATCGATCGCGATGTCGACATTGCATGTGCCTCGGTGACCTCCCATAAGCAGAAAGGCGAGTCCACCCATCAAAGCGAATGCAATGCAATTCGTTTCCAAGACATCGGCGACGTATCCGGTAGCTGCGAAAAGGTGTTCGAGAGTTGCCATTCGGGATTCTCTGGTAAACAACATGCTCTGGTGGACGAGATACAGTCTCTGACGGAATAGTTCTGGGTCGTCGAAAATCGGAGCGTCCATTTTTCCAATCCGTCGGCTGGGGGATCGTAGACTTGAGACAAAAGTTTTCAACGATGCTGGGTTCAGGAGTGATGAGATAACGGGTATCTTGTCCGCAATACGGCAAATCGTCGACTCCTGTGCCATCGGAGTGAGCCTCAAGCATTCAATCGCAGGAAAGGACCGTGGGCCGGCAAGGACAGCGAGCGCGCCCCTAGTCGTTTCCTCTGCTCACATATCGATCTTGCATTCCAAACCGCACCATCGAGCTCTGTCACGGGTACATGTGGCAATACACGCGCCCCTGGAAGGAGAATAAACAGTGCCCTCTGGACAAAAGGCTTTGGCTATTTCGCGGATTGCCACTAAATTTGCATTTGGAAGAAAGGAGGAATTAGTTAGCACCTAGCTAACTACTACCTAATGTATGTAGGCTTGCAGTCACAGGCTATCCGAAAACTGAGACTGAGGCGCATGTTTGCGGTATTAGAGGAGCCACCAGAGCTCCGTCGCTGCCGGGAGAATGACCATAGCTGGCCAGCAGGGCATCAAGCTAACTAGCGTGGTCAAGATTGCTTGAAATTGAAGCCAACAACAGCCAGCGAGGGCTCCAGTGCCTTTCGGGGAATAAATTATCCGTGAAGGGCTCCTTGGAGGCTGAAAAGTCGAAAAGGTACTCTGGAGATTCATGCTGGATATTTCACAAGGGATACAACTCCTGCAGCGATCCTAGGGGAAGAGTCCATTTGCACAAGCGCTATTGCATTTCAAAATACTTTTAGAATTCATGACAGTGTCATCGCACACCATCCCCAAACAGGACATCATCTAGGTGCCTCCTTCAAACTCCTGTTTGAGCTATTTTTTTCATCTGATCCTGCGCTTGAACAGCAGCTTTAAGGACCATTCCGAACATCTCAATCTCCCTTCTCGCATCCAAAGCGCTCGTTTTGACTTCCTTCTCATAAACAACGCACTCATACAGCTCCTTCATCTCCAACACGTACGGATCTTCGTAGGTTTTGCGGACCGTGGATTCGCGGTACGAACCGTCCGGTAGCGCTTCCTTGATCTGCATGGTCACGGGGAGACCCTTGATGTATGGGGCGTCGTAGCAGACCTTGATGGTTTTGCATTTCCCGAATATCTCTATGCTGGCGTCGAAGCGTGGGACGTGATCGATGCCGGATTCGTAAGAAACGGTGAAATTTGGATATTGAAATATTGCACTGTTTGGGGGTTAAGTGTTTTCGTTAGTTCTCCACAAAACCTATACAGCCCGGAGAATAGAACAAGGTAAACGTACTTCCAGAAAGGCGGGCCCGCCGCTGGACATAATGAAGCCCCTAGAACCGTCAAGGGCATCCCCCCGAATGTTTCTCTCATGGCACTTAGATCATGCGATCCCAAACTTCCCAGGTGTCTCCACATTGTCATCAGCTGCGGCGTGACGGGCAGCTCCAGCTCATTCCTCAGCGCCTGCTCGAATATATCTTCCATGATATCCTTCATGGCTCTCACGTTCCTCGGATCCCAATCGCCGAATCGTTTCGGAAACGTCCCAGACTGCGCGACAAACGTCGAATTCTGACCCACGATATCCCGCACCCGACCGTAGCAAACCTCGCCCAGGGACCCGATCTCCCTCACCGCATCCATGAACACACTCGCATATCGACGCATGTATCCCACCATCACCCTCCCCCCCGGCGACATATCCTCCGCCTCAAGGATCAAATCCACGTCCCGCAGACACAGCGCCATGGGCTTCTCAACAAACACAAACTTGCCATGCCGAAGGCCCGCGACGACGTGCGGCACATGGTACTCGTCGCTGCTGCATATGAACACGACGTCAACGTTCTTCGACGAGCACACTTCCTCCGCGTTGGTGGTGATGCGGAAGTCGTGGCTAGCGAATTTGGTCTTGCAGTGTGTGATTGTCGAGAAGGAGATGTCGCAGACGTAGGTGATTCGGAAGTAGTCGGAGAGGAGGATCAGGTTGGGGATATGTACGACCTGGGAGACTTCTCCGCATCTGGAGGTGATGGTTTGGTAAGCGGTGTCATTGTCATAATCGTCACGGTCATCTTCAAAAAAGGGGTAGTTTTGTTGTCACGACGACGGAATGGGTTGGGATGCAGGGTGTATATATATATACATATATTTGGTATGTATGATATGCGTAGTGACTTACCCAATGACTCCAACCCGAAGGATTCTGCCAGGTTGGCCGAAAGTGGTCGTCGTCATGGCTTTAGGCGAAGCCTGAGTGAAATTGACTATGCTATCCGCTCTGGCATTTGGATGTCCAAAACAAAGCCGACATGGCAGCTTTTTATCAGATCTGGCCTCAGCACCGACGCCGGGGTGCTGTGTAGAAGATTGGCTCCATCGCTCGTGGGGGATGGGTAGTTTAATCTGCAGATGCAAAACACACTATCGCCCACCTGAGACAGACAGGCGAACGGTCCCTCGCAGAAGAACGAACGACGAGGCATCTGTCAACGCCTTGATTTGGGCATTCTTCGGTTTCAGCTTGCCCTGACGTCTAGCGTGACACTTGAGAGAGCATCAAAATATGTACGTCCCATCCCACTCGAGAAGTGGGAAAAGATGTGGACAATCAAAATCATTAAATATCTGAGACACCCCAGACTGCGAACGCTGAACTGCAGACTTCTATTCTTTGACTGCAAAACTGTCCAAATCCCTAGTTAAAACTGGGAAGATAAGTTCATGCCTTATCTGCGTCGCAATTTAAAAAGGTAAACACCCCCCAACCCCCCAAAAAAAAAGACATTCTCTAAAAATCTCTTCGGCCCGAAATCCCACGGAGCCGAGCGATGGCCTGGATCCTCTAGATCTAGCGAGAGCAGATAAAAACATTTCATCCCAAAAAAGAAAAAAAGAAAAAAAAGAAGAAAAAAAGTTGACTAGACCCGGAAACACCCCGTCCCAATAAGATTTCTATGATGTACGTCCCACTTCATTTCATCTCACCAGCGACAGTTCTAAATGCCGTTAACCGTCTGGCGATCACCTCCATCGGCTCCTCGGTGTCAAGCTCGCGCAACTTTCCGCTTCCGACATCATATATGAGACCATGAAGCTTCAGCCCGCGCTCCTGAATAGCGTCCAGCACAGCGCTGTTCTCTTTCAGGACACGCAGCCCATTGTGCACATTGATCTCCGCCAGTTTCACGGCGGCCTCTTTGGCATCTAGGTTCTTGAAGAGGTCCAGGTTCTGCTCACGCAGTCTGCGCAGAGGCATGAGCCAGGTGTCCAGCAGACCGAGTTTCTTGTTCGAGAGCGCGGCAGCGACACCACCGCAGGAGGTGTGGCCGCAGAGGATGATGTGCTTAACCTTCAGGTAGATGACGGCGAACTCGAGAACGCTGGCACAGCTGAGGTCGTTGTACTGGATGACGTTGGCGATGTTGCGGTGGACGAACACATCACCAGGCTGGAGACCGAGGACGGTCGTCTCGGGACAACGGGAGTCGGCACATCCAATCCACAGGATCTCTGGATGTTGGCCGGACGCGAGTTTAGGGAAGAGAAGAGGTTGCTCCTCGACAGTTTTAGAGGCCCATTCGCTGTTTCTGACGAGAGCTTGCTGGTATGCGTCTTGGATACAGGTTAGCCCAACAATGGTCCTTTAAGAAAGGGAAGGGAGCATGTAAACAAAAAGACAATGGGAAGGGAGCATGTAAACAAAAAAGACAACTGCGTCATGACGAGACAAATGACGAGATGAGATGAGACGAGACGAGACGTGGGGATAGCAACAACCCAACGTACCTGGAACGGTCGTCTGGACTTTAGGCGTAGCCATTCTTTGTATGTTTCTGAAGTAGTCCTTTTCTTTGTTGTTCAGCGGGCCTGAGGTCGACATAGGGATGGATCGCTGGCGGGGACAGGTCACTCTATATAGTGTTTTCGCAAGAGTAGCGTTCCGGCGAAGCCTATATCAGGGGGGTTAACGGGGTTTGAGCCGTGTTCTTCGGGGCCCCCCAGTCGGAAACAAATCGTGCTTATCTCTCGATTGGCTTGGGTTTCAAGAAGAATGGCGGGATCATGCACACTTAAGCACAAGCGTCGTAGAAGCCACGTTTAACGCGAAATACGGTTTTCTTGGGGTGTGTGTGTGTGGGTGGAGGGACAGACGATCAAAGAAGAGGGTCGCCGAGAATGACAACTTTACAAGGGGATAGGTGACGAAACACTAAAAAAGCTGGGGCAAGGCAGGGGTATCGAGGTGTAACCCCGACCTCTTGACCTCTTGGGAGTCTTGGTGGCCACGGGGGGACAGAAAAAGGGCGGGAGGGTACAGAAGCGTGCAAGATATACTACACGATAAGGGACGAAGTTATGGATGGGGATTGGCACAGGGGGGAAGAGGAAAACAAAGCCGCCGGACTCCGGGGAACCGGAAAGAAAAAAGCCACAACTCACAGGAACGTCATCTAAGTGCGTCGTTGGACGAAAAAAAGAGTTGGCTTGCTGAAAAAAAAAAGGCAGAAGGTTTGCAGAGTGGTTCAGGAGGGAGAAGCAAAGTAAAAAAAAAAAGGTGCTCCGTAAAAGGAGGGGAGCTCAAAGCATGGAACAGCGTGGGGTCGAGCAGGTTGGTAGTGGACAGGTCGGGGCCTTCATTCAGGGGGGTTTTTTGCCTTTTTTTTCTGTCTTTTCTTTCTTTTTTTTCTTTTTCTAAACAACTCACAAATAGAAGAATGTGGGAGAGAAAAAAGAAGAAAAAGCAAGAAAAGAAAAAAAGGGCAATCTTCAGAGCAGAAGAAGATGATTTTACCTTGGCCGAGAAAAAGCGCACAGGGACACCGAAGGGCCCTATTTTTTTTTTTTCGTTCGCAGCCCGCCAGCCGACCAGCCCCACGCGCGCTCCCCACAAAATCGGCGCTTGGCGATGTCTTTTCTTTTAGTTCTTCTTTTTTTTCTGTTGAGACGCAGCAAGCAGCACGTTGAGGCAGGGAAATTTCACCCACCGAACCTCTCTCTCTCTCTCTCATCTTCAACTACGCAGCAGCAGCAATTGCGCGATCCCCGATAAAATTAAGTAATCTCAGCCATAGTTAACTATTCGTTCGTTCTCCCCTCGCCATCCCGTTTCAGCCAAGTCATACAACGCCAATCTTCTCACTCTTCGGCTTTGTCTCCAGCCCAGGGGGTTTTTGTGAGGGAGTGGTCAAGTCAACCAAGACCTCACTCAGGGTTACCTCTACATACAGCGCACCCTCCAACCCAACCTCCCCCCAAGTTTCTCGAGAAGCCCGCTCCCACTCCCTCACTCAACAATCAATCTCTCTCTCTCTCTCCCCCCTTTTTTTTTTTTTTCCAGTCTCTTTTTTTTTTTGTTTCCAATTTAAAGTTTTTTAAGGTTTCGCTATGAGGCAGACTGGGCGACTCTAAACCCGCGCTAAGACCAGACTCTTGGCCTGTTGATCGTCTTCAAACCCCTCCTTGTGTCCGTGCTTTTTCGGTCCCTTTTTGCGGTCGTTCTTTTGCTTTTCTGTCGCCAGCCAGAACCGAGTCTTACAGAAGGTATTAATTAGCTGTTAAATTAAAATAAAAATTAAAAAAATTAAAAAATGAATGAAAATAAAAAAGTAAAAAAATACAAAAAGGAGAGACGGCATGGAGGATATTTGGCTGGGAGTAATATTCTTCAAAGCAACCGGTTGGAGGCTTTCTCTCAACACACCCAAAAACCCCCCCAAGGAGTCTAGTATGTAGTCCACAACTACGGAGGACAATGCCGATGTCCTAGTCTTCCTCAATAGTCGAGGCTGACTAGCCCTCGGAGCTCGCATCCGGTTCCAGCCGTCTCGGCGAAAGCACGTCACACGGACATTGTCCATCGTCATTACATATTGCGTTCCCGATGGAGACGTGCGAACTTGGCGGTGAATCAGACACCTATAAAATGCACTTGTGCTGTGGATGAGGCTTGCCGATTCACTCAATAATTGGAGGGGAGAGACTCGTCCCCGGTCAACTTCCTCCCTTTTAAACACAACAAGCCCAAAAGACTGGGAGATGAGAATGTTATTTTACTTCGTGGTTACTCCCTACTTCCTGTGACTTTTCTTTTCTTTTTTTTTTTTTTTTTCCCTTTCAGGTTCAACTGGTAATAGGTTGTGTATATCTATACGGAGTATGTACGTATGTATGTATGTACATACATGCACTAGGGTGCGGGTGTAGTCAAAAAGAGAGCTTCGAGCTACATAAAAGGAATTGCCCAAATAACTCGGAGTGGGAGGTTGAGAGGGGAGAAAACGGACGCTATAACGCAGACATTCAGAGTGCGGAGGTTTCTATCGTGCTTTCTTTCTCGTCTTCGTGCCAACGGAATCAATCCAGAAGGCTAGACCGCACCATTTACGCCTCTTCGCCGAGTCTGATTTCCGGGGCGAATGGCTAACGTGTGATGGATGGCCGGCATCTTGGTCGTCATATTCGGTTAGTCCCGCATCTAGCAAGCCTTGATGCCTGCCCCGTGGCCGTCCTGGGGTCCCTCTACTAGGTATGCCAGGAGGATGAGGGCTATCGGGGGGCGAGGAGGTCTCGCTGCCCATGCAAAGGATACGATGTCGTTTACGTCGACGCTCCTTTGAAACCTTTCGTGGCGCGGGCTTTTCTGAATCAATGCTCTTCAACCCTTGTCTATGGGCAGGGAAGGGAGGGTCAGTGTGGACATGCAGGCTATCCTGCCTCATCCGTACCCTAGCGGACTGAAAGCTGGGACGACACCCCGTCTGCGTAGCCATCCCCATTTCACTGACGTTCCCATCAAATTCTGACATTCGTAGCTGCTGCGATTGGGTCGATTGAGTGTTCGTACTCCGAGAGCGCGGTGTGGTGTGTCTTATATCCGATGAAGCCGGGTACCTCGACCACCCCTCTCGCAGTGCAACCCATATACCGGTCACGATGATCAGAGTGCGAAGCCAGTCTTCTGTTTCAGTCACATTGCGATCGGAGACTGGGGTAGAGAGCTTGGCATTGGAACTAGGCGCCGAGATACTCGCTGATCGACTGCGAGTCGACCCTGACGTGAGTGAATATCGATCGAGCACGTCGATACCGTTCCTGGTCATCCATGCTATCACTGGATGTCGACGGCTGGTCGGATCGATCATGCTAAAGATGTAGCGTTTGCCGTCTTGTTCACCTCCAGCGCCCAAGCCCATGGAGTTGCGGTTTTCTTTCCCACGCAGTACCCAGCGCACGCACTTGCGGAGCCCGTTTTCGCCTGTGTGGGTAAACTCGTATACATTGTTCGAAATCGGCGTTGCTTCCCACAGACCTCCTTGGTCAATGCATATATCCACCAGCCCCTTCGACTTGGAGCCCTCCTTGCGGGACTGGCCTAACACAGCAACGAGCTCCCCGTGTACATCGAACGAGTTCCTCTGCTCGTTATCCAACGGGCTGTAGGAATCGCTGGGGATGATCAGGAGATCGTTGGGCCCAATACGATCCCTTCCTCGATGCGGGTTGGACACTCTTCTCGTGGATCGGGTCCCAAAAAGTGAAGAAGGGATCACATCTAGCGCTGAAATAGGACGGGAAGTCTGCGATACATGCTGTAGCTGAAGCAGCAGTCGGGGTCGAATTCTTAATCGTCTATGGCCTGAGGGTGGGGGGTGGGCGAAGCGAAATGATGTTTTGGATCGATTGGTATGTTTTCTCCTGGGGCTTGTCGGGACGCTCTGGTCTGCTTCACTACAATTACCTAAATCGTCTCCAGTCCGGCCACAATCCTCTTCAACTGAGTCCCTGGGGCTGGACAGAGGGCTTGACAGAGGAGACGAGGGGCTCGCTCGGCCTGAAGGCGCTGGTCTGGAAGCCCCGTTGCCCGGTACCAAGTTGCGCACGCCAGACGGCATAAATCCAAGAGAGAGGATCGAGTTAGAAACTTGCGAAATGGTTGGGGTGGTGGACCTCCCACTCTGATGCGCGGAGAACTCGTGTCGATGGATTGCAGCAGCGTCAGCAGTCAGGCCTAGATTGACTAGCATGGCGCAAAGGTCAAGTCAAGCTCTGTTATATGTTCAAGGAACCACCCGGCCCGCGAGTCCTTTTTCCAGTAATTGTTCCGCGCTTTGCCGCTGAGTGAGGCAGCGTTCTCATCGTAACCAGAAGCGAAGTTTCTGTCTTATGGCCCCAACTGTAATACCTAACACAGCAGGCCACGCCCCTACACCTCCTTCGAAAAAGTTCAGCAGTGCCGAATGCGCAGTTGGGCTGGATCCATGAAGCTAAGGCTGTGCCTTTTAGCTTCACGGTCACATGCGTGCCAAAGGGAAGTTATGTCTGTAATTGAAGATTGGAGTCGGCTCAGGGCCTCGTGGTGGACAGACAGGAACCAGGCGAGAGAGAGAGAGAGGGGGTTTTTATTATAGCGAGAAGCAATATGGAATGGAAGTACGTTGGGATGCCAACCTACGATAGCGCCGGGGTTTGGAAGGGGGGGTTATGGGGGGGATAAAATAAACACAGCACGGGTCGGGGAGCAGAACGGGGAACTAGGGCAATCTTCACCGAAGACTCTTGAAGAAGAGCAGAAAGGCGGGCGGGCGATCCTTCTCGTGTTTCGCACTCTTGACAGGTTTGTGGAGTTTTGGCTGACAAGAGCCAGTGTGCACCCTGGATGTAGATGGCGCGGGCTTCGTTACACGGCAAGTAGCCTGTGGAACGAGGGATCACCAAACGAGGGACAGCGCGCAGACGAGGAAAAAAGCAGAGAGGGTAGTTTTTCCAGTTTTTAAGAATAGTAATGTGAGAATGGCCTTGTCGTGACAGATGACAGAGGAAGAGAAGCAAACGGCAAACCAGACAGAAGAAAAGGTGAGCGAACGGACGATGTCAAGTCAGTCATCAAGGCGACAAGAAGGTTGGTTGAGCTTGAATTGTGGAAACCGAAAACGGGCCCTCAAAAACCCCGGCAGTCGGCGGATGAAGGAAAGAGACAAGCAATCAAGCAGGCAAGCGAAGCAACGCGCGAAACGAGGAAGCGCCAAACTCTCATATCCACCGGTGGGTTCCACAGAGCGATCGGACGGACGCAGGCCATCACGTCCTCGAGTTCCCCCTTGCTTGGGTTCTGGTCCTACGAGGTATCTCGGCGGGAGAGGGCGGAGGGATTACGTCGCGGGCGAGTTTCATCGACGAGGATGGATGTTCCGCGGGCTCATCAGCGCAACATACACACGAATTGTGTTGCCCGCTTAACAAATCAGAGCGAGCCTCCGATCCGGTGTTGGTTAGTGCGAAAAAAGCCCATCTGCATGGATTTGTCTGCAGGCCTACATACGTGCTCAATGCTGGAATTTACATCCTCTTACGGAGGAACAAGCCCTCTTACGGCGGACTTTAAGCTTGTCCGGGTGAGTTTTTCATGTCGTATTCGGGTGAGCGTTCCTTCAAGGAATACATAAGTAGTTTATGTACGGAGTACTCCGTACCGAGTACTCCGTATATGGCTTTGTTCTCGTACTCGGTGCTGGGTACCCGGGACTCCGTACCCCATATACGGAGTACCTTCGATCACAACGAGGCCGTGCAAGGTGAATACGCTAAACTACCTGTATTTCATTCAAATTCCAACTCTTCTGTACTCCCGTAAGGCTGACTTGTTGCGGCTGACTCTTTAGGGTTGAGTTGGGGCGGCCTGGCTGCCCAGCACACACCGTTTCCCCTTCGCAATGAGGAATGAAAATATTCATATGTACTCCGTATCCCAATGTCCCTATCTCTCTTTCTTTCTTTCTTTCTTTCTTTCTCTTTCTTTTTCTTTTTCTTTTTTTTTGTAACAAGCCAACACGCCGATTCACAGGCCTGGCTTGGTTTTGAATTCGGCAACTTAAAAAAACTACGTATTATTCAAAAAGTCCATTTTTTCTGGACCGGTGAAAGGCTGACGATGGGCGCCGAGGATGCAGCTCCTCGTGACGCTCGGAGAACAAGATGCCGACTTCCCAGCCCGCAGCGGTCCCGCCCAAGTCGCCTCCCGCCCTGGAATTACTGCTCTTCCAGGTCCCGAGCTTGATCTGGATCTCCAAGCTGTAAACCCCGACCCCCCGATGACAGCGGCGACTGCTCTGTACCAAGGTTCGGAACTTGGGAGGTCAGATGCCATGCGGGAAGTCTTTTTCATATTTTTGACACCAAAAAATGCGTCGATCTGATTTGACTTGGCTGTGGGGATCTTGACAGGAAAGCCAGGCATCAATATTTTTTTTTTTTTTTTCGGGCCCCACGAACGTCAAGCGAGATTGATATTGAATCTTTGATGACAGGGCCCCATATTTTAATCTCGGAGTAGAGTAGAAATAGTGCAACAGACCCACGGGAGCTTCCAGAATTCCTGTGCTATTTTTACGTGAAGCGACGGAGTACTCTGTACACGATCTGGGCGCGATTTAGCACCCCCCATTTGTTCAATGCGCCTCCGTCAGCGGCGTTTCGAGTTACTCCCGTGGATGAACTCATTTCTCCGTCCCAAACAGACACGGCGTCCTCTACAGCTCACACGGGGGCAGGATCATTCATGCAGCCTACCGATCGCACATGAGCAGCAAACGATATCTTTGGAACCCCAAAACCCAAATCTTCAGCTCACCAGACGTGCTTTAAAACTTGAAAAACTTGGCAGTTAGCTCGCTAGCCTTTGCTCCGTAGACTTCTTAGCCCTATCTCCGACCATTATGTGTATACTGTGAAGTTCCCCGATACGGGAGCCGGCTGCGTTGAGATACGAGGCGTTGCTCGGCACCGTTCGAATTTCGCTGGCTGAGAACATGAGTAAACTGTTTCATCGACCAACAGAAGGTCGCCGACATGTCCTCGGCCCCCGAAACGCAGCCCGCCCGTCGCGCACAGGATACCTGATCTGTCATGGGCCTAACTAGTTAAAGTGACGGCGCGGCTTGCGGCTTGGCATGCGCTAAGCACAGGAAGCTTTGAGGAGCGTGATTGACTTTGGTGGTGACGGAGCTGTCCGCCATGGATCCTGCAACTCCAAATCCGTCGTCGTCCCCCCGCTCGTCGTTTGTTCTCTCTCGCCGCATCGCGCCATGACGGCTCACCCCGTGCGGACATTGACGTTATGGTTCTGCCTGTGGAAGTTCCTGTTGCTTGCGGTCATGCTGGCCAGCCCCGGCCCAGGATATGATACGTCCACAACAATTCTATCACCCACTCCCTCTGCGTCCCAATCCGCCAGTTTCTTGAAATTGGCGAGATGGGATTCGATATATTTTTTGAATGTCGCCCAGCGAGGGTATCTCTATGAACAGGAGTGGGCTTGGGGCTACGGCTATACAAAGTTGTTGTCAGCCTTGTCAGCTGGTTGGATCTTTCTTCGTGGTCCCAATGAAATTCGGACGCCCTGCTGACCCCCAAGAACTCCAGGAACGCCACGTGAAGTCTTACATCTGGCTTTAGTAGGCATTGGGCTCTCGCACATATGCCACTACTTATCCGTATTGCTGCTCTATGGCTTGAGCAAAGCTATTTTTGGCGAGAGACACAAATATGGCAATTCTTTGCCTTTCCTCTCGGCGGCTTTGCACATTGTCTGCCCGGCAGGCGCCTTTCTGTCCGCACCCTATAGCGAAGCTCTTTTCTCATTCCTCAATTTCCTAGGCTTCTACGTTTATGTGCAGGCCCTGAAGGATGACCGAAGCGGCTCTCTCCTGGTGAGAGACCTCAAGTTCGTTGCTGCTGGGTGTGTCTTCGCACTCGCTACGACCGTACGAAGCAATGGCATCCTGAGCGGGATGCTTTTTGCGTACGATGCAACCCTGGCATTAGTCGAAATCATACAGGCTCGGAGCGTCAAATTAGCTGGGCTGCGCCGGCTTACGTTCGTTGTACTCGGAGGTGCTATGGTCCTGGTTGGGGCCGTTGGACCTCAGTACCTTGCGTACTCGCTTTATTGTCAGCCGTCGGCGTCACCGCGAGAGTGGTGCGTCAGATTGTTCCCGAGTATATACACTTGGGTTCAAAGCTATTACTGGTACACCTTACCCAGCTCGCCCCCCTTTTTTTTTTTTTTTTTTTTTTTTTTTTTTTTTCTCCCCCGGTAGGTGTACTTACTTTGTAACTACAGGAACGTTGGCTTTCTAAGATATTGGACTATCTCGAATATACCACTCTTCCTGATCGCAGGTCCGATGCTTTTTATCTTATTCTACTCCTCTGGTTGGGCTGTGAGCTCACGAAGCCAATCGATTGCAACGGACGTCAACGATGAACAACCCAAGGTCAATTCTGAAAATGGGCTTACTCAAGCCTGCCTCGCTCGGCTTGCTCTGCCTCAGGCAACTCTTGCACTGCTAGCGTTGACGAGCTACCATGTCCAAATAATCAACCGTATCGCGTCTGGCTATCCCTTATGGTATTGGTGGTTGGCGTCGTCTCTTCTCCGAGAGGGAAAGCCGGGGTTCCGGGGGTCTCGGTTTACAAAGCCGGGACATGTATTATGTGGGATGGTGCTGTACGGGGTTATTCAAGCCTCGCTGTTTGCTTCTTTCTTGCCACCAGCGTGATCCTGTTTCATACTTTGCTGTTTTGAGATCCTTTAGACCTGCATCATCGCTTCGGCTTGTAACAGTACATACATTGCAAAAGAATTGTGGCCAAACAGTTCACGCGATCGAGAGACGATCTCTGCTTCCCAGCATCCATAGATAGGTAGTGCTAGGACATCCGTTTGCTGCCCCTTTCAGCGCCCATTGAACCCAATTAGCGGCGTTTGCGAGCAGGCAGCAGACGGTGACGCAGTGAGAGAGCCGGCGTTACTGATGTTCCGGGGGCGCGCGTGGGTCAGCTGCTTTTTGGGCTTCCCAGTTTGTACTGCCACCTGCCAAGACGGCGCATGTCGACATCAACGGAGCTCCAATGTGAAGCTTGGACGTCGGATCCCTCGCGCGGACGTCCTGCAACGTTACAGGAAAGGTTGGCGGCTATCATGATCGCTGGGCTGTTATGATTATCAATCAGAAAGGGTTCTTCATCATAATATAAAAGAAAAAAAAAATAAATTCGCCATATCCCTCCGTTTGTTCTTACCAGCTTGTGTTTACACTGTATCACTTTCACTTTGATCCTTTTTTTCAACCCTTCAATGTGGACAAGAACACAGTCGACCTCATTGACAGCATCCTCATCACACCATTGCGGGCGATCGCAAAGGTGGTTGCATACTCAGAGTAAGCACTTCCCGCTCATATAGTGCACCTTCTGGCAGCTCGGTTCTGGCATCCCGCCTTGAGCTGCCATGAAATTAAAAAGGCGAAGCCCCGTCGCGTGCTAATCCCCGCCCATCGTTGACATAGAAGTCCGTTTACCTAACCGACCTCTCTTCCCTCCTCCTCCCTCCTCTTTTATATAAAGTTTGAAAATGGACCATTCAAACCAGCGCTTGCCAGTTCTCCTGACGACCGCTACCGCACCCCACACTCACGAGCTCTCTCGCGCTACCTCGCCCGGCGGCGGACCGCCCGAGTCCAACATGAATGGTCTCGAAGATCCAACCAAAAAAGCTCGGAGCCGGCCGCGGACGTACCCCTATTTCAAATACCTTCCCTACAAGGTTGAAGATGAGGCCCAGCGACAACAGAATCTGGATGAGATCCTCAAATATCTGTACACTGCCGTTCAGTCTGGCGATTTCAACCCTGGCGCTGTCCACTGGACTCGAGAACTGCGAGCCTGGCTTTCTCTGAAATTCGACCCAACCCGGGAGCAGCGAGCGAAGCTTGTTAAGCTTTACTACGAGCTTACCCTAGCGCCTGGCGTCGAGGCTGCCGTTTCGGAGCGCTTTGCTAGCATGTTCATGGTTCTCACAAAGTACGTCACCCATGGACGTAAAGTCGTAATATGTCGTGGATACTAATGCGCAGTAGGAGAAAGCACTATTTGCGTCCGGTCAAGGATGTTATGCTGGACTGGAAACCCCTCTATCGAGAAATAAAAGTGTTCGTTCTTCCTTCTGAATCAGAACTGGTGCATTCGACGAGTTCAAAACGTAATATAAAAACGTTGACGAAACTGTGTGCCTTTGCACAACTTTATTTTGACCCCCTTGAGATCCCGGCAATGTTAGAAGAATTTCTTCCTCACTTCACCACCTCGTTCACGGAGGGAGCATTCGTTGTGGTTGGCTTGATGAACCTGTTTTTACCCACTTCACCCGGCCCAGAAGACAGAACGGATCTGTACCCGCAGCACTATCTCCCCACTTACTTCCACCTTTGGTCCACAGTAAACCGATCCAGGACCTTTGACGTCAATTTCCTAGACCTGTTGTCGCGATTAGCTCGGGATTGGCTACCCGCCAATTATGTTTCATTCTCAGAATTTGGTATTCTTACCTCTGAGCAGACCTCCCTGATATTCACAGCAATCTTGAGACTCCTTGAGATCCCTGTGGGTCAAGCAACCTCTTCATACAGTGCTGTAGTTGATCTGTCCGCGGGACTTGGTATTATGCTTGATAGAGACTCGAGAGGCCACCCAGTTGCCCATCACATCGCGAGGTTAATTGTCATGTCCCTTTCACCTGCTTGTGTGGATGCAAGTGAATCAATTCTTAGCCTGCTTGAAGGTCTGATACAAGCAGTGGAGACGTTCTTCCACCCGTCAAATGCGGGAGCGTGGTCGAAAGGTCTTTCGCAACTAATCAACTACCTTGCGGATTTCTTTGTGATGCGCTGGAACCGGGAAAGGAACGGTGAAATACAGGTCCCCGCTGAGAGGAAGTTGAATGATGCCATTAAACACCGTTTTGTCTTGTGTCTGCGAGAAGTCACGTTTATGGGAATATACTCGAAGAGCGGAACCGCCATGAATTTCTCACTGGCTACGCTCCAGAGCTTGGCATATTTGGAGCCTGGTTTGATACTTCCAGGAGCTTTGCAGCGGATATATCCCTCTATGCAAGGCTTGGTTGAAGTCCACCGGACTACGTCTTCTCTTCGATCTCTTCAAGTCCTATCAAAGATTATGATTCGAACAAAGGGATTCCGTTGCCACATTACAACTTTACTCGGCCTGGCATTGCCTGGCATCGATGCAAACGACCTTGAGAAGTCTCTCCATTCCTTGGCTTTCATTCAGTCTGTATGCTACAACATCCCGTTTGAAGACCTTACCCAAGGACGGGAGGATGTCAACGGGAATATGTTAGCAATGCAATGGATCACCGGAGAACTTGAACGAATGGAAGAAGAAGGTGCCGCTGTCGAGATGAACTATGACACCGATCTTAGTGACGAAGTGGAAGAGAGGATATTGCGATCATCGACCACAGGTTTCGGAGAGTTCTTAATATCCTTCCTTGGTAGAGTTTTCACTCTCCTGGAAAACCTTCCCGATGCAGCGCGAGTCCGCAGTGGCTCCCCCGAGGAGAATGTCCTGAATACTTTACCCGCAACTTTTACACCGCTCCTTGCTTCCTTATCTCCAGAATTATATGACGTTGCCCTGCATAAAATTGTTGACTTTGTGGCTGAGCATGTTATTCACCAAGCTCGAGACGCTGTGGCATTTATTTGCAATGCACTTTGCAAGGTGAACCCTGAAAAGGCTCTGAAGCGATTTATACCACTGTTGATTCGATCGATCCGTACTGAAATTGATGAGAACGGAGCGGCGTCTACGAGAACGACTGGTTCTGACGTCCTTCCCCGTGACCGTGGTCTCGTTTGGAATGTCAGCATGCTTAGCATGTGCGTCGTACATGTCGGCAGTGAAGTTTTGAAATACAAGCAAGAACTCATCGGCATTGCCCTGTACATGCAAAAGAAATGCAAAGGTATCCCAACGATCCATATCTCGAATTTCATTCATCACCTTCTCTTGAACCTTACTGTGACATGTACCGTCGATCATGCGCTGTACGAGCCGTCAATTATTGACCGAGGGATTCAAGTAGAGCAATGGGGCCAGAGACAGGATCCCAAAGAGCTCACTATTAAATGGCATGTTCCACAACGGGGAGAAATTGAATTTGCCGTGGAACTATTCACGTCTCAGAGCGAGAACGCGTTGGAACAACTCACGAACTTGACTAGTGAAAACTCAAGAATCAAACGAGATGGGAGTGGCAAGGATTGGTCCGATGAGGTAACGAGGAATATCATACTTCTTCGATTGATCATCTCAGGCATCTCCGCACTGTTCAATAACCGCATTGCCTCCAGTAACAAGTCGGCAGATTCCGATGTCGATATGGCTGATGCGGACGACTCCGGTGAGCTTCTTCAACAGAGCGATCCGGATTCAGTCCTTGATACCTCGGATGAAGCGACGATTAGACGTACCTTCACTTATCCAACCGGGTATAGTCTGACGGATGATGATCCACTCTGTATTAAGCTACACGATATTAGGGAGCGAATTGGGCAAGTGCTGCATAATGTGCATAGGTTTTTGGTTGAAAAGCAGGAAGACGACGTTTCATGCTTTTCGCCCCTATATACCGCCTATCGCTCATGGTTTGTGGATGTCGGGATCGAAAGATCTGCACACGTACTTGACCGGGTCACCAAGTTGTTATCTGCTGACGCTTATCCTTACAAGATGAGTGGCGTCAGGAAAGACTACCCACGTCCCCTCCTTGTTCGCCGCGCCAATGTATACCATTGGCAAAGACTTCGACACAATGCAGCTCCTCGGCCACGATCTAAGCTAGATGAGACGCTATTGCTGGACCTAGCAGAGTCGAGCGTCTCCTTGTATACCGACATTAGGAGAAATGCACAGGCCGCTGGTGAATCGGCTCTCAAAGCAGTTTGGGGCTCACGTCTTCTTATCATCCCGCCACTTATTCAAGCCTTGCAGACTGCCATAAAACAAAACGACCACCCTCGCATAAAAGGGGCTCTGTACTCACTGCTTTATAGCAGCTTGGCCAAAACATTAGGTCGTCACTGGAAATATACGCCATCACTGATCAGGCTGTTTATTGAGGCGAGCGCGGTCGATAAGCCATCGGTACAGAAGGTTTGCAACAGTGCACTGTACCAAATTATTGAATATGGGCGCGATACGGACAGGATGGCTATTCTTGATAAGGATATTATCGGTTCCATTGCTCCCGCAGAAAGCGTTGACGACCTTATTGCGAAGAAGAAAGAAAGCCTCCAAAAGAAGCGCATTTTAATTGAGAGCAAAAAGGCCGATTTGGCAGATGAACTTGTGAATCTGGCAAGGGAGTCTCACTGGAAAAAAGCCAGCCGCACGGCTGCCATCGTTATTGGCATGGGCTTACGCTTCGACAACGTGGCAAGTGAGAATCTTATCAATCTCATAGTGTCTGGCGCAATCGATTCCCACCCCGGTTTAAGAGGGATGTATTCACAAACAATGGTTGCCATCTTCACAATGATTGATGTCAGAGCAGCATGCAGCCATAAGTATGAAGATTATATCCTGGGAAAGCAGTATTATCCTTCGAAGATCCAGGTTGCCACAAAACGAGAGGACCCACATTGGACTGAAGATTTCCTTGCTAGCTTTGCCAAACCGGATGCTGAATATTACGTGGACCATGAAAACCCTGGTTGGCTGGTTTGGGATAAGACGATGCCGGCGTACAAGCCAAATATGACGCGCGATCTCCAATATGACGACCTTGAGTGGGATGTTCGGAAATGTATGGGCAGTCTATTTGACCGCCGGTGGTTTTCTGCCTTCTTTGGCTATTTGAAGCAAGAGCCAAGGGATGTTTCGGCGGATAAGTTCCGCATGTCCAGCGCGATGACTCTGCTCTATGTTTTTCAACTTATGACTCGCGATGATCTCACAAAAGCGACATTTGAAGAGATAAAGGAAGAAATCGCTGCTGTTTTCGAAGATGGTAGCGACAAACATCAACATCGCGCAACCGCAGAAATCCTGGCGGCGTTGATAGGGTCAGTTGCAGACAGCAGTGTGGAGCGACGTACAAAAGTATGGGAATATGCTTTTCCAATCATTCAGAAGATATTCTCGGACGGACTAACTCCGGAAAACTCATCATACTGGACTCAATTTGTCCATATGATCTTCCAATGTCGAGATCCACGAAGAGCCTGGCCCTTGATAGATTGGCTCGCCAGTTTCCGACTTGATATGAGCTCCAACGCAGCGTTTAAAGAAAGTTCTAAGATCAATTTGCTTCACCAATGTATCTTGGATGCTGGCTGGCACTTCCAGCTCGAAAAGCCGATAGTGGAAGACTTCCTTTCGCATCTTGACCATCCATATAAAGGAGTACGTGATGCGGTTGGCCGGACATTAGCGTCTATCTTCCGCACAAGATACCATGAATCTTATCCTGATATCGATAAGCTGATCATGTCTCAAAAAGAGGCATCTTCTATTGGTAGCCGTGCCTATCAACCCACCAAAGAGTTTTCAAATATGGTCTATGGCGTCTTCAATCGCCTTGAAAAGTGGCGTCATGAAAGGACTCCTGGCCAACAAACCCCTTCATCTTACACTTCTGGTTGCAAGACTGTTCTCCTCTGGCTTGATGGCACACTTTCGTCTTATGAATGCACTCAACTGCTTCCCTTCTTCCCCCAGCTTTTCATTGAACAGCTTCTGCATATGATGGATGTGAAAGAGGACCCTGAACTTCAGTCACTGGCATACCATGTATTCAGACATCTGCCGAACGTTCCACACCCCGCTGGAGAAGACTCGGAGTTCGTTGATACTCTTATTCGAATTGGTCGTACATCCCAGTCGTGGCATCAGCGGTTGCGTGTCATGATCAATATGCAAATTATTTACTTCCGGCGTTTGTTCCTCCTTTCCAAGGTTGACCGTGAAAAGCTTTTTGATTGCGTTGCAAACATGCTTGAGGACCCGCAGCATGAGGTGCGAGCGGGTGCTTCTGCGACATTGTCTGGGATGATTCGCTGTTCCCCCGTTGCTCTTCGAAATGAGATGGTTTTGAAACTTCGTGATCGATTCACTAAATCTCTGATTCAACATCCTTTGCCCAAAAAGCCGCGCATTTATACATCTGGATTCTCATCCGCGACTTCAACTGGCACCAGCACGCCGACCCCTGAACATACTCGTTTAGTTATCACAAGACATGCTGCAGTTCTCGGACTTGGTGCACTGATCCAGGCATTCCCCTATACTAGTCCACCTCCGCCATGGATGCCCGGTGTATTGATTACATTAAGCACCAAAGCGGCTGGTGACCCGGGTATTGTCGGCCAGAGCGTAAAGTCTATCATCAGTGAATTCAAGAAGACGAGACAAGATACATGGCATATCGATGTGAAGGTGAGTATCGTCAGCTCCCACTGAACTGTATGTTTTCACCTTGCTCACAAGTTATCCCAATCTAGGCTTTTGAACCTGATCAAGTTGAAGACTTGGCCGGTGTTTTGTGGAAGAGTTATTTTGCATGAATGTATCAATCCGGCTGATTTGAGATTTAAAAATCCATATTACACACGATGCTTTTACGACAGGTTTATGGTTTCAACATTGAAAAGGACTATATGTGCATTTTGCGACTTTCTAGGTATTTTTTTTAATGCTTTTAGGGCGAATCCGGTCACCAACATCTGGACCGTTAGTTACTCCCAGCCAGTTGCAAGGTCTCGAGTTCATCTATATGAAGTTTCTTGGGGTCGAATAGTATAATCAATAAAATCCCGCTCATCAATGAAAACATGTACTCAGCGGATCAAGAGTTCACGGCAAAAAGTTGCCTTTTACTTCGTTCCCCGAATTTGCTATATACCAGTAAGGTACGCTGGAGGCATCAGGGTTATGTATTGATCCACCTTCTATACGTACTGGTACCATGTCATCAGTAGATAACTGAAAAATGTCCCCCGGGTATCTCGTTTCGCAACTGCCTATACGCGCTTCAAACATCGATATTACATCACCACTCAAACACACTCCAACGGTTCATGAACCGCAGGCTTCTCCACCACGATTCTCATACCCGGTTTCACCTCACCACCGACTTCCACGACCCCCATAATCCCCGCTTTGCGCTGAACAATCTTCCGCTGCGCATCGCGCACCACGAACTTCTCCTTCAGGCCCGCCTGAAACTTATCAATTTGCGGACATGGATTGCGCAGCCCAGTCACCATCACCACAGGGGCATCATCATGGTCATCCGGTTTCTCTTCGCCCACGAAACGGAGCTTTGTCCCCTTACCGAGGGACAACAGGTTTATTCCCGTGGTGGTGATGTTTTCGCCTAGTTGCCCCGGCTTGAGCGGGATGTCCGTGGAAGCAGAAGCTTGGGAGAGGACTTCCGCGTGGATGAGATGAACTTGGCGGAGGTTGAGTGGAGGGGGCTGGATGTGTTTTCGGGAGAGGTGTTGCACGGTGGTGCCAGCGTGGGCGTCGCCCTGGACACCGAGGTTGGGGAGAAGGGTGATGGAGGGAACTGGGGGTTTAGAGAAGGAGTGGGTAGAGGAGAGGGAGACGCTGAGGACAGACATTGTTTTGGATGTACCCTGTATGTAACGATGTATGTACTTTGTTTGAGAGAAGATGGGATATCGCTGTGACTTGAATACTTCCTCGGGGGATTGAAGTGATAGGCATTGACTATGGATGTATGAGTGAGAGGAGCGACTATAATATGGTGGGCGGAACTAAATATGAGTAACTAGTGAGACCAGGATGCAGGGTGTATACAGGAAGCCCCGCGGTTCCGCATCTCACTCTGAAGCGACCCGAGCTCTCGATAATACCGCTCCCGGCGGAATATTAGAGCATTAGCATCATCTATGAGTGAAGGTATGAAAAGAGTCTCACTCATAGCACAATCTTTGATTGATACAAAAATCTGGTGAGTGGTTTCTCTGGGAGCAGGTTAAATGACTAGATTCCTTAGTGATGCTGAAAATGGGGCATTAGATATATGGAAGAGATTATGAACCGGGGGGTCACCACCAGTGATCAATTACAAAACATTTCATACAGATAGTGGTGAGTTTCCGTTCACAATAAATTGGGATCACATCCTATTTGGACCTAAGTTGGTGCCAACTGGTTTCTCATGTAAAAAGCAACAAGATGTGTGCTCAGGGGCTTCCGAACAGACTTTGTATGTAAATACTATGACCCTTGAAATCTATCTGGGTGTCTGTAAGGTTCCAATCATTCATTAATAGCAATCTCAAATTTTGGTTTTCTTGACCGCACGCTGTTTGAAGTCGCAGAATCTCAAGCCCGTGCTGATGGATCCATTTGCGCCTTTGGTTTCACGTGACCAGTCCAAACGACCACCGAAGTCGACGAAGCATCGAGATACCCGCCAGCATTCCGTATGAGCATCACGGACATCGTCCCTCAGCAACAGCAAAGGGATTATCGCCCTATAGTACCCTAGCTACACTTGTCTTCATTCTCTTGTTACCTTGCTTTGTTGTCACCCCTTTCACATCCTCCTATGCCCTGCCGTTGAGCTGGTGACGTCTTCTAGCGAGGATGGGTCCCCCTCAAGATACGCTCCTCCGCTCTGCGGATATGAGCCTGACCCAACTGTACATTGCGAATGAAATCGGGAGAGAGGTCGTCAGTGCTCTCGGCGAAGTAGGATTGGTTCAGTTCAGAGATGTGAGTGTTCCTCTCAGCGATGTATGAGCTAATTACATTGCTTACAAGTTGATGCCTTCCATAGCTTAACGCCGACACTACAGCTTTCCAAAGGACGTTCACCAGCGAAATACGGCGTCTGGACAATGTCGAGCGGCAACTCCGTATGTTCTTCGACTTGGATTGATGGGTTAAACGGCACTTGAAGCTTACAGCGGTCATATCTAGGATACTTCCACGCCCAAATGGAAAAGGAGGGCATTGAAATGAGGCCATCCTCAGAATTTGCGAATACTCTGGCTGCCCCGATGGCATCTGAAATCGACGAACTCGCGCAACGAAGCGAAAGCCTGGAACAAAGGATTTTTTCTCTGAACGAGAGTTATGAGGTGCTGAAAAAGCGAGAAGTCGAACTGATAGAGTGGCGGTGGGTTTTGAGAGAAGCTGGCAGTTTCTTTGATAGGGTACGCTCTCCCGATATGTTGATTGAGCGTCCGAAACTGACCCCAAGTGATAGGCGCATGGACACACCGACGAGATTCGACAGTCACTAGACAATGACGAAGCTCCGCTCCTGCGAGATGTTGAACATCAGCATCCACCAAGACGGCAAGGTGATGATATGCACCATCAGCCCTCGTTCTCTGTCATGGATATCGGTTTTGTCTCTGGTGTTATCCCCCGCGATCGAATCGGTGCCTTCGAACGGATCTTGTGGCGGGCCCTGCGTGGAAATTTGTACATGAACCAATCGGAAATCCCACAACCGATCATCGATCCATCGAGTAACGAGGAGATCCAGAAGAATGTCTTCGTGATTTTTGCTCACGGAAAGGAAATCATTGCAAAAATCAGGAAAATTGCTGAATCACTCGGGGCAAGTCTTTACTCTGTCGATGAGAACAGTGAGCTTCGAAGAGATCAAATTCATGAAGTTAATACTCGTCTGGGCGACGTCGAGAGTGTTTTGCGTAACACGAAAGTTACACTAGATGCCGAACTATCCCAAATCGCTCGTTCGCTAGCTGCCTGGATGATCATTGTTAAAAAGGAGAAAGGAGTTTACCACACTCTGAACAAGTTTTCCTACGACCAGGCTAGGAAAACCCTGATTGCAGAGGCATGGTGCCCGACAAACTCCCTCCCACTTATCAAAGCTACCTTGCAGGATGTGAACGATCGGGCGGGGCTCTCTGTTCCAACAATCGTCAATCAGATCCGCACAAATAAGACCCCTCCAACCTACATCAAGACAAATAAATTCACAGAGGGATTCCAAACCATCATTGATGCCTATGGAATATCTAAGTATCGAGAAGTCAATCCTGGCCTGCCAACTATTATCACCTTTCCATTTTTGTTCGCGGTCATGTTTGGTGACTGTGGCCATGGACTGCTTATGACAATGGCGGCAGTCACCCTGATTCTGTTCGAGAAAAAATTGGCAAAAACAAAACTGGACGAAATCTCAAGTATGGCTTTCTATGGTCGATATATTATGCTTTTGATGGGTGTCTTTTCCATTTATACCGGATTGATATACAATGATATGTTTTCGAGATCATTGGAGATTCTCCCCAGCGCTTGGGAATGGCCAGAGGTTACTCGAGAGGGTCAATCTGTGACCGCAACACTTAAGGGGAGCTACAGATATCCGTTTGGGCTTGATTGGGGTTGGCATGCTGCTGACAACAACTTGCTTTTCTCTAACAGCTTCAAGATGAAGCTGGCTATTTTACTTGGTTGGAGTCACGTAAGTACACTACTTTTTCATATCTTGCTTGATTTTAACTAACTCGCACAGATGACTTATTCGTTGTGTTTGTCATTTTTAAATGGCCGACACTTCAAAAAGCCGATCGAGATTTGGGGAAACTTTGTCCCGGGGATGATCTTTTTCCAATCGATCTTTGGCTATTTGGCTTTCACGATTATTTTTAAATGGGTGGTTGACTGGCCGGCGCGAGGACAACAACCCCCTAGCTTGCTAAATATGCTTATTTTCATGTTTCTCCGCCCCGGCTCGGTGGAAGAACAACTTTATAAGGGCCAGGGAGCGGTCCAAGTAATCCTCCTACTCCTGGCAGTAATTCAAGTTCCGATACTCTTGTTTCTGAAACCGTTTTATCTCCGCTGGGAGCACAATCGCGCTCGTGCCCTTGGCTATCGAGGTCTCGGTGAAATCTCGAGAGTTAGTGCCTTGGATGAAAACGAAGAGGACGGTCGAGGCTCTGCTCGCCATAGCATGACCAGTGATGCAGACGGGATCGGAATGATTACCCAGGATATGGGCGAGGAGGAGCATGAAGAATTCGACTTTGGGGATGAAATGATTCATCAGATCATTCACACCATTGGTAAGCAATTCATCCCACCTTTTAAAACGGTTGGTTCTCTTCTAATGCATAATATTATAGAATTTTGTCTTAACTGCGTTTCTCATACCGCATCCTATCTCCGATTATGGGCATTATCCCTTGCCCATCAGCAGCTGTCCATCGTGCTTTGGACGATGACTCTCAACAACGCATTCACTTCTGAGTCCAGTACCGTTCGAGTGATTCTTACTATTGTTACGTTTTATATGTGGTTCACCCTAACTGTTGCTGTGCTTTGTGTCATGGAAGGAACTAGTGCGATGTTGCATTCCCTCAGGTTGCATTGGGTCGAAGCGATGAGCAAACATTTCATGGGTGATGGAATTCCTTTCACTCCCTTTAGTTTCAAGATATTGCTAGAAGAGGACCCTGTCGACTGATTTGATATGTACTCTGTTTATCTCTATGGGACTGATCCTTATACCATAGAGTTTCTTTTGGGACGCTCTCTTTTTATTCTAGACTTCTCTTTCGAGTATTCTCAAGTTGTACTCTGGACTGTACAATATAATTTCCAAGCTAATTGCTTAAAGGGCCTGTCCCTCACCCTCACGCTGCAGTATAGCCGTCGATGTGATATTGGTGGCAACAAACAATCCGGCAATTAAATGCCGATGCTCAATATGTCTCGGCCCGAAATCATCTCACAAGCTTACGCTTATCCAACTAGTTCACCCGGTGGGCCTCATGCTACCCCGCGGCCATTGTTGACTACGAAGTCCGGAGTACAATATAACGCATTACAATCGAATTGTTTGCTCGATCCTTTGTCTAACCAATCAACCTGACACAATGGCATCAGCATTTGATCTAACGGGAAAGACAGCTGTGGTGACCGGGGCCACCAGGGGAATCGGACAGGCAATGGCAATTGCCCTGGCCGAAGCGGGAGCAGATATCGTCGTTGTCAAAGTGCGCCACGGTACGTGCAATCAGCTTGTTGTCCAAGACCACCTAACGGAGTACTTTTCTATCAGGGTTCCTCTCCCGACATCCCTACCATTGAAGCCGTCCGAAAACTTGGAAGAAAGTGCACAAGCTACACGTGCAATCTCGGGGACAAATCATCAGTGGCGCAGCTCATCCCGCGTGTTACCACTGACCATAAGATCGATATCCTTGTTAACGCGGCTGGTATTTTGAAACGCCATGACTCTGATACGTTCCCGCAAGACGTATTTGATGAGATTATACAAGTTAATTTGAGTGCCACGTTTGCGCTCTGTAGGGATATTGGCAAATATTGGATCGAGAATGGAATAAAGGGAAAGATAATCAACGTCGCAAGTCTTATGACATTCTTTGGAAGTGTGAGGATTCCTGCGTATTCGGCAAGTAAGGGGGGTGTAGGACAGTTGACAAAGGCCCTGAGCAACGAGTGGGCGAGCAAGGGGATTTGTGTTAATGCGATTGCGCCGGGGTGAGCACGTTCTTTTCCACATTTATGGCAATCGCTCTGGAATATCTGGAGTTCATCGGGAAGCAAATGCTGACAGATTTGGTAAGATACATTGCCACGGATCTGAACCGGGATTTGCATGGGAACCCGGATTCCCCGATGTATAAGAGTATCATTGAACGGATTCCCGCTAAACGGTGGGGAGATCCAGAGGACTTGAAAGGACCAGTGATGTTTCTGGCGAGTAAAGCAAGCGATTATGTTACCGGAGAGGTTTTAACGGTATGCTGCATTCCTTAAGGTATATATTCTGATTCAGTCCGCTGACAATTCTGCAGGTTGATGGTGGATTTTGCGGCCGGTAGCGATTGGCTTTTCCGCATTTTGAAGTTCCATCATTGTTTTCTTTATAGTACGAGATTTTATAGAACCGCTTTTCTAATCCAAAGATTCGAAGCACGTATCCGAAACCCTGCACAATCGGCATCGGAAGGCTCTGCGTTTGAGCGGAATCAATAAACGGGGTCCGGGTCAATCAAGCAGTGGAATATGTATAAAGATACAGTTAACCACCCTCATGGAGACACCAGGGCCAGATTGGCAACATGTTCAGCGCCTGCAATCGTGCTGTGTTATGCAAAGACATATAAATGTGTGGCACGTACTGTACCAACAGTTCTAGTAGAGGCCTATAGCCAAGAGACATGTTAGCAAACAAGCTGCACATTTCCATTCAAGTATGGGCCAGGTGCCGCTCTGCGGAGTCACGGCTGAACCCTATGCAGTGAGTGTAGATCACAGCAACCTTGTAACTCCCTCTCCCTCCCTCTCTCTCTCTTACAGTTTGGGTGTTCAAAACCAGGATCACGTGGTTGCGATTTCTGCACAAGCAACATCCAGAGGTTGTTAAACCCAGACTGAATTATCTAGGCAAAGGAATTTGATGCTCTTTTTACCCTCTGGCACCACTGGGGACCTTTTTGCGATCTTCCTTGCTCTTCTGCGAGCTGCAGCACCTACCCATTAAACTCCTGGACATTGCCCACATCCGCCACACTTTGACGGGGTTAACGTGATGTTGCGACATTTTCCTTCTCTTCCTTACTGGCTAAGCAATTTGAATATGTCGTGAGATCTCCGTTTGCTCTGGAGAACTGCATATGTTCAAACCTTTAAACGGTCAGTTTTAAATGCCGCAGTGGGACACATACAATCCATCTATACAAAGGACAATATAGAGCAGAAAGTTCCCGGAGAGATGAGTTCCTGATGAAAGCTTTGCGACTTGTCTTATCCCACCCGCACTTTTGGATTTCTGCCACATTTCAACACCCAGTCATGAGACTAGATATAAAGCCAGGGATGATCACCTGCTTCAGAGCGCTATTCACCTCACTTGCAAATTAACGCACTCAAATTAACGCGCTCTCACTCGTCTCTTTCATCATTCTGAACATCAAGTTCAACCAGGAATCAGAGCATTTTTTGGGTCTTCAGCATGAAACTCTCCATCCTCATTGCCTCATTGGCTTCTCTCTCCGGCGCCCTAGCGGATCGCGTCGATCTCTGGGAACGACCGAACTTCCGTGGGCAGCATGCAACTTATGTCAGTACCTCCATGCCCTTATTGTCCTCCGAGGCTGGAAAAAGAGGGAATTTGTGGGGTGTGATCCTCAAAGCTAACATAAAAATCATCCAAACTCTAGGCGGAAGAGTATGCCTCCAGATAGTTCAACCACTGCCCTCATCGCTATCATGTTATTTCTTTTCTCACTCTAGAATAGGGGAGTCATGGCCGTTCCCTTTGTCTTCCGATCCTATTCCTGGTACCGAACCGAAGGCAGCACTTGCTGTGCTGGGTTCTGCAAGGGGAACATGGTGCGTATTTCTCTCTCCACCTCCATTCCCACGGTCCCGCCCACCTATCAGTTATCTTTTCAGGGAGAATTGCGGAGACCACTTGGACTAATCTTGAGGCGTGACGGGGTGGTGTTCCTCCCCGTTTGTCCTCTTTCTGTTTGGGGAAGACCGTAAGCATTTACTGCACTCCTAATAGCCGCTCAGATTTCGCACTTGGTGCGGATCGGATTATCATCCGTTGTGATGAGTCGAGGATTGATTGTAAAAATGGATGAGATGGGTGACTTGGCAGTATACCAATAAGGGATGGTTGAGGGTGAACCTCGAAGGGATGGTCTTAAGGAGCTTGATTCATGTCTGCAAATGGGAACTGAGGAGGACTAATGACTGCTGTGCGGCATATGGGGAGGTGAGCCAAATAAGCAAAAAGAAAAAAAATAAATAAATAGATAAAATTATTATTAGAGAGTTTGATGTTTGAGTTTGGATATGGTTAAGAAGTAATTTAAGACAGCACAAGGAGTTCTTCAAACGATTGAAAACAAAACCGAGGGTAGCTACCTCGAGCCTGGAGTTTAATCATATATTCTGTTTCATTCATATTTTAGGTCCAATCTTTTCATTCATCATATATACACATATATCCAATTGCTGGCCATTAATTTGACAGGTAAGTTGTCGGGGTTGGGTATGAGCAGCCTTCATCCTATTGTTAAAAGAGTCCCAGGATCCAATGCACGTGAGTATGGTTATGTGCGGTGTTGCTATCATGTGTGGTCTGAAAAGGAGAAGCTGGCTATCAGCAAGGAAATGATCCACATTAAGAGGATAAAGGCGCCGAGGTATTTATATCGCGGTTTAGTTGACAAATTTCTTGTGAGTATCAATAACCTTCTGAACTTCGTCGAAGCTGCCCAGGAAGATACCGCTTCGATCGTGGATAGATTCAGGAACGACCTCGAGGAGTCGTTGCATGCTTGAGTTGACAGCCTGGCCTCCAGCGTTCTCGAAAACCATAGCCATCGGGGCGCACTCGTACAAAATGCGAAGTTTTCCCTTGGGACTCTTGGAGTCCGCGGGATAGGCAAAGATACCTCCGTAGAGAAGGGTTCTGTAGGCATCAGCGACCATGCTGCCGATGTAACGGGAGCTGTATGGCTTGCCGCCGTTCGCTGGGAATTTGAGCTCGTGGAAGTACGCCTTGACCCACTCTTCCCAGTACATTGAGTTTCCTTCGTTGACACTGTAGATGGCACGCTTCGCAGGAAGGCGCATGTTAGGGTGTGTCAGGATGAATTCGCCAAGGGAGTTTTCGAGGGTGAAGCCGTTGACCGTGCCACCCTTCATGGTGATGACGAGCTGCGCGGAGGCACCGTACATGGTAAATCCGGAGGCGACAAGCTCAGTTCCGGGGAGTAGAATATCCTTTGCAGAGACGGTGTAGTTCTCACTGAGGACTTCCTCTGGTAGCTGGAAGATGCCAAAGATTGTACCGACGGAAACACCAGCGTCAAGATTTGAAGATCCGTCGATAGGGTCGCAAACGACGGCGTATCGAGCGCCCTTGCATTCATTAAATAAAATAGCCTCGTCCTCTTCCTCAGAGACCAGGATACGGCATTTACCAGACCCCCGCATGGAGGCAACGAAAAGGTCGTTTCCGATGACATCGAGCTTCTTCTGGTCGTCACCGGTGGTGTTGGAGGAGCCAGCGAGACCGGTGAGGTTGATCAAGCTAGCACGTCGGATATAGTATGCGATGGATTTGAAAGAGAATTGGAGGGCATGGCAGAGGAGGCTACACGGTGAGAGTTACGGGGTTAGACTAACGTTTCCTGTCGGGGAGAACAATGCACGAGAGAGGGCCACATACGTGAAATCCCCGGTGGCTTCCGGGTGTTTCGTCTGTTCTTCAGTCAAGAACCTTGTGAGGGTGATGATATCAGTATTGATGGACTCGTGACCAACTGCCGAAGCCCCGTTTCCGTTTGACTCTGCCATATTGGATGAAAGGGCTGGAAGAAGAACGTAGGTGGAAAGGGAAGAGTATGCCGAGGCCGTTCGTGCTAGGACGTTGCCCTCAGGTGGTTTGGAGATGGAAGCAGAGCAGATGTTAGACGGGCAGAGGTGAATCTGGAGGCGGCTTAGCAAGTCAATTGACGTCGGAGAAATGAAAATGAGGGGAGAGGAGAGCGGTGCCGGGAGGATAAATTTGGCTCGAAGCTTAACAAGCCGAGGGCACAAAACGTCACTCCAGGCCTAACGAACCCAAATCGCGGAAATAAAAGGAACAATCTGGTGCACCCGCAACTCGGCGTCCCGCAGCAATCATGAGTTCTCCCGTGGACAGCCGCCGCCCACAGCGCTGTCTTCTGTTTGGCCGGGAGAAAGAATAATCCGCATTGTTCGCGATGTCGTGATGCTCCACTCAAGGCTGCAGGCCGCTGAGCACGCTCTCTCACACCGTCATCGAATGCGAGTCAGCTATGCCGGCTAACAGCTAACTAATAAGCTATATAACAGCCGGCTCAAGAAAATAACGGTGCTCTCAGACCAAGTATCGAAGTGCCCGGCAAAGCGCTGTCTTCTTGCAGCCCCTCGTCGCCGCCGCGATGCCCCGCGCTAACAGCCACCTGATCTGCAGCGCTGGGATCAGTGACCCGCATGTCCGGATCGTTTTCGCGCGTCTTCCGGCTATGCCCGATGCATGCTCAGCGAAGGATTGCCAGAGACTTGAGTCTCAAGCAGGAGAATGCGCATTGTACTCGCATTCGTGATTGGCTGCTCCTATATAATACCCGGCGGGGGAAAACTCTGGAGCGCACAAGGTACAGGGACGCAGGTACCGGGTGGAGTTTAGTTACCGGCCATGCCTACAGTACCATTCGTTGCAACCAGACAGTGAGATATGTATATGAATGTACGTCCAGCAAAGGCGAGCGCTTTTTACAAAGATGGAACGTCAGTAGGATGCATCACTTTATGGCCTGGAGACGATGGTCGCATTTCCTTTTCCCTGAGTCCTTGGCAAGACGTTCGCTACCTACCGGAGACCGATGATGATCGCACGTTTTGTCCCAACAATCTCTAGAAGTGGCAAACAGAAAATTTGCATACCATCCAACTTTAGGATTTGAGCTGTTCGAAGAATCACCCAAGAGCGAGAGCAAGCCTGATCCCATACACTTCAAATATCAAGGCACCGAATCATCCCTAATTCATTCGTAAATCATCAATGGTTTCTTCCGCCCGGGACACCTCGTCTAGGATAAGTCTTGTAGCCACCGCATTGCTAATAACATGGTCCCAAGAGTAGTTTTGCACAGATGCATTCCATCAATAATCTAGTATCGCGATATACGCACACTCATCCGAAGCGGGAAATGTGGAATTAACCCCTACCATCCATTCTTGCTTAGCAGAAGGAATGTATGTATACCCGTTAAGGCACCCTTATATAGAACGGGCTCGACCACCTCTTAACTCTGGGGCTGACCACGGCACGGAGGACGGCTGATCATCGGAGCCGGGGACTAGGAGAATGAAGCTCATGATAGAGAATGTTGGCTGGGGAGAACTGCCCGTGTAACTATCAATTGACACGATGATTGTGATCCACCGTGGGGGAGACCGCCCGAGCATATATACGGCTGCCACAGGCCATCCTTTTTGCCTGCTCGTCGATAACCAGCTGAACTGCCCTCGTCTGCATGCATCTCGATTCTCCAGCAAAACGAAGGGGGAGCGAAGCAAACAGTGCAAACATGGTCAAATTAGCGACACGGCACGCGCTAACCCGCTTCGGGCATGGCTTGGCAAAGGCACAAGGCTCAAAAAGCTCAAATCTCGTTTGCGAATTTTCTTTTCCTTCTCTCGACTTCTCGCTTGGCTGCGCCCAACATCCCAACAGCAATGGAAATATGCCAGGAATGGGATCTCGGGCCGTGCGACTAATGTATGGTGAGTGATGCCCCTTTATCATTTTTCCTAGCAATATCTTCTATCCTTAACTTTGTGATGATTTGTAAAACCGCTTAAACTAGAGTCTTTGACCTTGTGGTATGAAAATTGCATTTGCACACGTCAGTCTGATCTCGAAGAAGACCCTGGAGGAATTGATTTCTTTCCTTTGAATTCCTTTCTCCATGAAACATAGCTAACCTACTCGAAGACAACAGGGCCCAAGACAAATCACACGGAAGTAACATCCGTACTGACCAAAGCAAAGGTATGTCGTCAACATATTAAACGGGGCCAAGCTCCGACCCATAACATGATGATTCTTTCTTTGTAACTATACGCTGGAAATTACCGACCGAGACCTTCGGGTCTCTGACGATACAAAATGGCTGATATCTGATTTCACACCTTCACCGTTTTTCCTGCTCAGTATCGCATGTTTTGAACTGTTGACTGACAGGTATATACACAGATGTCGTTTCAACTTCCTTTCGCTTCTGTAAGATGCAAGCCTTTTCCTACTCGTCAACGGAACCTTCCATATGATGAATGGCACTGGGCTCCGACGGTTTCGTACAAACGAGCCGGCTCTTGATGGACATGCCCCATTGTGGCAGGCCTAGAAAACCTCGCCCACTGATTTTCGACTCAAGATAGCTTTCTTGGTGGCCATTGTTTTGCGCCTTTGGGAGAGTTGCTGACATTGTCGCCATTCAGATCTTGAAGTGAAATGAAATATGGAATATGAAGTGCTCTGTTTAGAGTAGGTGCTCCTTATTTATTATTACATCTCCGCTCCTCATGATGATCTCTTAGATGACGAGTCCTATTCGAGTACTCGATGCGGACAACCTTTCTTTTTACCATTCATGCATTTCTGAACCCCCTATGTTGATTTTCCATTTTGATAACTTTCGGCCTCGGGGTTACTGACGTGAAGACAGCACTTAGGTCTTCAGTTTCTTTATAACCTCAGCACACGTATAATCCATGTACGTGCCTCTATTGCTGTTGACAACTCGACACTCTTTCATGATGAGCCAAGACTATAAAATAAGACAAGCATATGTCCAAGCTGGCAATTGTCGGCAACGACGACAGCGTCATTCCCTGATACTGTTGGACCATTTGACATGGTGTTCCATCCTGTCGCATACAATGTTTAGCTGATTTTGCGGTAGTTTAGATCCCAGAGCTTGTGGTATCAACACTGGCTTGAATCTTTGGTAAGATATTCTTGGCCTTGATATTTTGCGTTCTTCTCCTATGATGATTTTATTTTTTTTTATCACGACGGTCAACATAGCTTTTGCATTGATGACCACAGCCTGTGACAGGGCATCTATCTGATAATGTCCACAATTCGTTCATTGTTCCGGGTTACACTTGTCATACAAATTACTGACTTGGGCTCGGCGCAGAATCTTGGTACTTCCAATCCAACCCGTCAATTTGCTGGCTTGGAATGCAATGATGCATTTCACTTGGGCTAGGTAAGGTAGATGTGCCCCGTTCGATAACATCATTTGAACTATCTTATCCCAAACTGCTCAAAAGATCAACGGCGACCGTGACATTCATACGACCTATGAATGAACTGCTATGCAGTTTAACAATGTCTGACTCTCTGGATCTTCGTCAAACCACGGTTGTATGGTTGAGCACTGCTGAGGATGTAGAGGCAACTAACTAGTTTTCCACGAAAACGTGCAAAATGTTCGAATCAGTATCTCTCGATAGCTAAGTAGGATAGTTGAAACAATGGAAATTTTTACCTCCGATCTCAGGTGCGCGTAACCATCTGCTCCAGAAACTCTGTAGGCTTCTGTGCACCGCAAGTCCCGTAAGTCTTATCAGCCTACGTACATCCATACATTGGTGTTCAGCGGAGCATTAATAATGCTGCGTATGATGTGGGTTTCCGAAGACTCAAGAGTGCCTCTCGACCGGCGGTCCGTCTGAACGACAGTATTCCTATTGATCTATCTGAATCAATATGGAAGTCCAATCAACGCAGCAACGGTGAAGTGGAGCTGACCATTCACATAAGCCCGCGTCGTTGCTTTTTTTCTCTTCACCCAGTAAATCATTTTCCTTATCCCTTTTTTTATTTGTGGATTTGAAATATCAGAGTTACATCAGATACGCTGGGACTTGAGCCTCTTATTGCAGGACAATGCGACAGCGACCCAGGTGGTAATCTATGGTAGTATGAGATCTCTCCTCCTGAATATGCACATTTTAATTGTCATCAAGCTTTAGAAATTGTCGAGAACTTGGGGGTTCAGGATGGTCACAACTTAATCTGGTCCAGGGGGATGTATATGGCGGTTCAATCACCATGTCCGAGTTATAGCTATCTACCTTTGATGCTCTTTTGCTGCAGGGCCAATATTCCTTCTACTGATATCTTTTTTTTTGTAAAAAAGAAAGAAAAAACGTTTGGCGCGTATTTAATTCCTTTTCGTCCGTTTATTCAAATATCATGAAATCTTGTAAGGTTAACACATACTCTGTAAAGTTTTCCGCCTGTGAAGGTTTCTCAGGAGTTCGATGTCATCATAGCAATCTCATGTCTTGAATTCCACTTCGATGCGCAAGGGAGATACAGCAGCAGCCACAGACAGATAGCGAGTCGCAAAAAGAAATTTCCTGTTCGTCTGGAAAGTATGTGAAAGATGGCTTAACCTGGCTGAGAAAAGCAACGCCGCGATGTTCGCGTACGCCCACGTAACTGACCTGGTCCCGCTCATGGCTTCCACGGGGGCCATGGAGGGTTTGTGGTTCTCCGTTTCTTCGATAGTGATAGATGGCGAGATCTGTGCCTGGATGCAGCAGAGGCACTTGCATCCCAACTTGAGGTTGTACTGTTCTCGGCGGGAATACGTCGAAGAGAAAAGATATACCTGGTCAACTAGGTATATTGATGAAATTGATCCTTACGACAAGATGCCCATCAAAGATTTTTATGCTGATTTGTATATTTATGGTGGTCATGGCGACGGGGTATGATCAGCTGAGTTGGCCTGGAGTTTTTGTGCAGGAGGAATACACAGAGACGACGGGTTGATCCTCAAGCGACCGGGGTTTCTCTCCAGCCTAGCTACAGGCTAGCTAGTACTTAACACCATGAAATCCAGGGTCGGAGGATGCCCAAGTTCGCTCAAGTTTGACCACCTGTTCAGCTCTGCTGGTAGCAGAGAAGGCCGTCTCCCTTCGTTCCGGAGGGGTGTCAGGGATAGTTACTTATAGGGCAACGCTGAATCCCCTGCTAATAATAGCAGCGTCATTATTATCCCGGCTCCGCGTGCATCACGGACAAGTCTCGCTACTCCGTCAGGCCGCGTTATATAAATAGATCCTACGCTGGTTAACCCGCATCGGGCTAGGAGGGCGTGTTCTCTTCCCGGTCCCTAAAAATAAAACATGCCACTGAACGGAGCCATTCCGATTCAACGTCTCCCGCGCCAATAAGTGCTCAATCGCTGATGCGCTCCGGTCCCCCCCCCCATGCGCTGCGAGGAAAGCTAGCCCTGGTTGATGCTGTCCCTCTGTTATTGCATGGCTGCGCACTATCCTGACCGCTCCTCAACCCTGTTCGCGTGCTGGCGGCTATGAATAAGTATTACTTCCTTTCTCTCCGCTTCTTTCACGCTTCTCTCACATTCTTCCTTCACCTCTCCGTGTCGGGGAAGAGAGACAGTTACTGATTAACCTGCCTCGCCAGCCCGTTGTCTCCCGGGACTGGCACCTTAGAACAGTCGGGCGTCCCTGATTTTCAAGGGCGTCGAGGCGCTTTGCTGGGTGCGAGCTCGCCGCTGCGTCGAGGCAATGTCGCCCAGCCTCCCGCTCTTGTCACGTCCTTGAGTGGACTGCAGTTTCAGAGTCTTGCTGTGCCCGCGAGCGGCGGCGGCTATCTTCCAACGCCGACGACGATGAATTCTCCGTTCTTCTCCTCTACTCCCCTCAGCGGGTTGAATACGCCGATGAGTGCGAGGCCGACGCCTTACACCACTGCTTACAACCCCCAGGAATGGGGTCCAATAGCCCCAGTCCCGTCGCCAACCGTTGGGATAGGAGTCATTACGCCGGGGAATACTGGAACACATCGTGGCCATGTTAATAGGACTGGTTGGTTGGCTCTTCTCCCAAAAAGGAGAAAAAGTTTCCATCAACCCTTTATGCTAATATGCCCCCTAGATGCTGCATCACCGCCTCCTCCTTACTCCCCTCCACGGTCGCAAAATCTCGCCAGCTCCCAGTCTCCCCACCTGGCGATGTCACCACAAAATAATGCGCTTTCTCCTCCGATGGCCCACCAGCAGGAATTCTCGCCGATGGCTCGCGCGTCGGGGTCAAGCTCAATCAACCAGTATTCTTCTCCACGTCCAAGACCTGCTTCCATGGTCAACACCGGCGGTTTAGACGGACAAAACGCACCGCATTCTCTCTACCAATCTTCTATTCAAGGAGGTGGTAATGTCCAGTCGCAACTGCGTCCTGATACCTCCACATCGAACGCTTTCGCAGGCCCTTCTACTCACACCAACGCGCATTCTTCTGTCATTTCGCCGGGTAGAATATCCCCAGACGCATACCCCGAGTCGCAGGCCCCGAGACTAGTGCCGCCTGCGGCCAGAAGGGCAGCGTCAACCGGCGATATTAATCCGTCCTCTCGATTGACGCTCAATCACGATGGCCTGGCAGCGTCTAGGTCAGGAAGATGGGAGCCGGGAATGCCGTTACCTCCCCCGCCTCCAGGTCCCCCGCCTGGAGCATCTCCCAGAGTCCGACAGTCTTCTCTCGAACCTCCAGGACCAACTATGGGCGCCGCCCCTCGCAACAGACCACGACCTCCATCTACGGGGACCGCTCTTGGCTCTGTTCCCCCTACTCCTGCCGGATGGTCGGCTGATAGCTCAAGGTCAGATTCGAGAATTACAAGCCCCCACAATGCCAATCAGCAACCCACGCTCGCTACGAGCCCTGAAAACGAACAACAATCGTCATCTCACGTGTCATTAGAAGCGCCTGGACCAGCGAGACCGACCTCTGGTGGAAATGGTCGGATGGCATCTCCTAGAATTGCGACTTCTAAAGAGTTAAGAGAGAGGCGCATTGAGAGTAGGAACGGCAGGGAAGCGGATAATCAAGGTGACACCGCTGGAACCGAAGAGTCCCACACCTCCTGGCCGTCAGACCTTGTTTTAGGAAACTCGAGAGGCCTAGGTCTCGTTCGTCGTCGAACAGTAACCAGAGCAACACCCCGCAGCGCACGTAGCCTTCCGTCTAGTGGACAGGATAGTGGCGGATTCCCCAACAGTCCATTCAGTAAAAGGAGTTCTCCAAGCTCTTCGTTCTCCACTCCCAGGGCCTTGCAGGCGTCTGAACCGTCTCATACCCCTACATTCACACCTGCGATAGCACCGCGTTCTTCAACCCCACTAACTGAGGGCGGGCGCAAAGTGCCACCAAATGCTCTACACACCCCTCCTACGCAAGAAGCAAAAGATCCAGAACCCATGACTGGGTTGACTCCTCTAGTAAATGACCGGGGAAGACCGGTTTCCCATCTTCTTCACCTACCTGTGGATGAGTCTCCATCAGACAGGCCGCTGGTTCCAATTAGAGCAGTCAACCCAATTTTCACGCCTCCGTTATCCGGTCGCCGGGACGAGACGTTTCTTCGCAACGCAGAGAGCCGCTATCGTGAATTTATTGAAAAGGAAATCGACGCACACAACGACTCGGAAGCTCTGGATATCTTTTGTGATTTCATTATTTCAGAGTCACGCATCAGACGGCAACGCTACGCATCGGTGTGGAAGAATGGGTCTTTTAATGTCAAGAACATCGAAGAGCAGTTATTTACACCGCAAACTCACAGTGACGATGAGACCACCGTTCCCCAGTTACCACCTTTGAGCACTGGCCGCCGTGAACCCGGACTTTGGAACAATTATAAACCGGCATTATCAACGATAGCGAGCATGAGCATCAGCAATGACGAACAGGGTTCCCGAGGCAGGCCAGCAAGTCGATGGTGGGAATCCCAGACAGGTTCCGATAGCGGTGGAAATGGCCAAGGCGTGCGTCGTTCAAAAAGAGAGAGTAAATACATGGGTCTCCCGTTGCGCGAAGTTATGGAGCAGAACTATTGCACATCGCCAATTGTGGACAATTCAACAGGGTACACGAACAATCCATTCTTAAGCTACGGGCCGAATGAATATCCCCCCGAGAAGGTTGGGTGGCATGAGGACTCAGCCGGTGCCCAAGGTCCGATCCGCCAGCTATCTCTAAGTCGCGAGGCGCAAAAATTGGATATATCTAGGCTTATTACCTTGCCGCCACCCTACCCACGGCATTATCCCGGTGTGAACAATAACCACCCGGACCTTGGATTTTATCGAACGACGGTCAGGTCCGTGACCGAACTTTCTGAATTACGCGAAGCTTATCAAAACCATGAAACGAAGTTCCAAAAGCTCCGAGAGGATCATCAGAGGAAGGTGAAAGAAGAGCGCCAAGACTTCAGGTTCCGGGTTAACCAAGCGATTGAAGAGGGCACTATCTCCTATGCCGACGCTGCCGACGCAGAGGCCGGACGGAAGGCAAAAGAGAATGAAGCAGAGAAAAAGTTAGCCCAGAAGGAATTCGATTCGTACCAAGAGGAGGTTCTTCGGCCGATGCAGAGCGTCCTTAAAGACCGGATAGGCGCAGTTAGTGCCTGTCTGAACGAGCTTCAAGAGAAGCTATTCGATTCTACCAACGATGAAAGTCCAAATCAGACACAGGAGGAAGGCGATGAGCGACCTGAGTTACTCGAAAAACTGACACAGCTGAAGTGGCTGTTTGAAGCACGCGAGCAGCTGCATCGTGAGGAGTACGATCTACTCAGCAAATGCAATGAGAAATTCAGGGCTGTTGTCTCCCTGCCGTATAAGCAGTCGAATAACCGGGAGAAGCTCAAGGAAACCGATAATTTCTTCATTCAGGACGGGCAGAACCGAGAGGCCACGTTCGCGTCAGAGACGCTACAGCGGTTCGAAAACTTCATGAGCGTGATCGAAGCGAACGTGAGCAGGGGAGTTGAAACGCAGCTTGGTGCATTTTGGGACATCGCCCCGTCCCTCCTCGCTTTGGTCCAGAAGATCCCAGATGACCTTGGGGGCTTCTCTGTGAAAATCCCACAGAAGGAATACAAGGAGAATCCGAGCTATTACCAATACCCGCTGCAATACCTCTACACCCTCGTTTCGCACGCTGAGAAGGCGACTTATCAGTTCATCGAATCCCAAACTAATCTCCTCTGCCTTCTACACGAGGTTAAATCCGGTCTCGTGAGTTCGAACTGCAAGTCCATGGAGATCCAACGGATTAATTCCGGGGAGCCAGCAGAGATAGTGACGTCCGAGATGCAGGAATCGTTGGCGGAGGAAGAGAGGATCCTTACCGCTGATCTGAAGGAGAAAGTGGGAATGGTCGAGGGCCAGTGGCAAGAAGCCTTAGGATCGCAGTTGGAGAACGTGAAGGGGAGGGTACAGAAGTGGCTTGAAGAGGAGGGTGGTTGGGAGGGTATTTTGCAGATGGAAGAGGCATAGGTGATGTGTTGCTTGGTTTTGGTGGGTTTCTCTTTTGTTGCTTTTTTCCCTTCATTGTAGCCTATCGGAGCGGCATCCTGTTCATGATTGCTGTTGACTGCTGTCTGTCTGCGAGAGATACCCCATATTCGTTCGTTTTTTGCATACATTCATTTTTATTTTTATTATTTTTATTATTTTCGTTTTTCATTTTCCCTTTTTTTTTTTTTTTTTCGATGTTGAAGTGATGATGATTACGATAAATAATGAGCCACAGATCAAATTCAAGAAAATAATACTGCGTAAACGCCGCAGAGAAACTTGGTGCCAATGTCATCAAATGTCAGCGCGAGACTCCATCACGAGCCAGCCTTGCCTGAAGCTGCAACTGACAGGCTAAGTGAAATCATCAGCATAGGCTTGAGTTTTCTGCTACAGCAGAGAGTGCTACCGGTCCTCTTGAGGTAGCCGACGTTGAAGGATCAAAGAGAGCAGTATTGACAGATCGCCAACTAGGGTACCTGCCTATGTGTTTGGCTGGTTTACATGGAATCTTCCAGCAGCCCTATATCACCAATATCAGCGCTGTTAAGTAAACTCTAAAGAAATGTAAAAGTTGCAATTTGGTCTCCTCGAGGTCTGCGCCCGAGAAGCTCGCTGCAAAGCCGAAGAGCCATACTGGAAAAATGAGCTTTTCGGGCAACTGTTGGAAAATGTTTATCCGACACAACCTGTTGAACCACAGGTCACAAGCTTGAAACTGTAGATCAACCATATATTTACAATGCATGTATAAAGGGTCTGAAATGTAGAGAATTTGGAATGTATGATGCATCAATTAAGGATTTTGAATCTGATTTGGAAGCTTTTTAATTACTAGAAACTAAGTAAGTATTACACAACCACCTGCATAATCTGAATTGTAATAAAGTTTTTTTTTTTTTTTAAATTTTGAAAGCCTCCTCACTGATTGGAGTCTCTGGTTCAGAAACAGAGTGTAAGATCAGTACAGAAGAATTGTCAGAATAAGTTTATTTAGACTATCTGATTATACTTTCAAGCAAATTGGCTCCACTGCCTTCAGTTGGAGACAGGCCTGACACAGATATATTTGGCTGTGACTGAATGAAGAAAGAAGATGTGATTAGAGTGGGGAAGAGAGAGAAAGAAGTAAATGTAGCAGAGAGCAAAGTAGCAGCAAATTAGTCTATCTTGATTACTGATTTATAGATAGTTTCTTCTGCCTTTCACTTTTTCTGTCATTAAATATTAAAGTCAGTTCAATTTATTCTGATATTGCATCAAGTATACTGACTGCAGAAGATAAATAATTAGACTTTAAGTTCTGGCAGATGTTGGTCAAGATCCTTTCAATATTCTATATATATAACTACATTAGCATGAGTTGAATATATAATCTTTAATCAGTTTAATTTATCTTGATAGAGTGAAATGTATGCTCTGCAAGCTCTTTTTATTTAGCTTGAATGAACACAAGCTTTTTTAATACTGTTAAAGTAACAGCACCAACTTTAGTATTAAAGAGAGAAGAAAAGAAGAATTTGTCAGTTTAGATCAACAAAAGTGCTATTTTGACAAGTAATTTACTGAGATCAGTAGTCTGTTTCATTATACTGGCTTTCAATTTCTCTCAGAGTATTATGTTCTTAAGTCTGAGAAAATTATTATAATTAAACAGTAATGCTGCCACTTTCTTCTGTAGCTCTGAAGAGACAGAAGTACAGACTTTTTTATCTTTTGTACAATTGATGCAGGTCTTTGTGATTTCTTGCTTGCAGAAATAAGACTTTTTAATGTATGCTGTATATATAAATATCAAACAGCAGTTACAGAGTGTATCACTTATTATAGCAGGCTTTTTTTTAACAGCTGAAAGCTTTTACTCTGGCTTCTTCTTTATAAATATCAGAAAGTGCTTGTTCTAAGCTGCTGTTAATTTATATATTTGCAGAGTCATTTTTTGTTATTTCTGCATATATTATTTCTCAGTTTGCTGCAGTTCCTTATTTCATTCTGAAATTCACCACTTATCTTGATATTGAAATAGAGAAAGAGGGACAACAAGAAATATAATGAGCTCAAGAGAAGAAAAGAAAGAAAAGAAGAGAAGAAAAGAGAGATTTTGTGTAAAAAGAGATTATTATATCTAGAGTGTTGTGAGGATCGTACATGTGGATCAGCGTGACAATGAATCTCTAGGAGGAATATACATGGAAAAGAGTACGCGAGGTAAAAGGTCTGTATTCTGGCAACTATGTACAACTTGTAAACAAGATTGCCACTGGCTCCCAGCAAGGGGTTCACACAGTGACGGCCTTTTATGTGTGCTCGCGAGCACGTGACTTAGTGCCTCGCGAGGACACATGCAACTCCCAGCAGCTCGCGAGCTGAGGCCTCTGGCCTTCATGGGTGCTGTTCGTCCGTGTAAGGGGTTCGCGGCGAATCCTTACAAGTGTCTGCTTGATTGTTTTGGATTTTCTAATCAGAATGTGTCTATTTATACATTACTAAGTGCTAACTCATTTTGCTTAGAGCTTCTATAGCTAATTACAGTAAATAATAAAGAGATATATATTAAATATAGCAAAATTCAGCTCTTGCAAGCATTGATATAACAGAGCATTGCATTGAAGTCTAGATATTAAATTCTGAAATCTATTTTAAAGCACAAACTAACAGCTAATTTTGACTCAAGAAGACATCTTTTTATGTATTCAACTAGAATCTGTATCTCTTTTAAGGCATGCAATCAGTTGTGGCTGATGTAGATCTCTTTGAACAGGTAAGCTAATTTATTACAGTCTCAAAATAATTCTCTGTAATGTTCTGCAAAGAATTTCAATTCTTCTTGTCTGAATTATTATTCTCTGGCTTCTGTGGAGCTTGTACTGCCTGAGCCAGATGTAAATTAAGTTTTCTGGACAGTATACTAGATATCAACTGAACTGTATTCAGAATTTCTAGCAAAGTCTTAATATAAACAGTCTTTAACTTTCTTGATTAGATCTTCTGTCAGATAAAGTTGTTCAAATTAACATCTTTCAGTTCTAGTTTCTGTGTCAAGCAGTTCCAGAGCTTGAGTACAGAATTTCAGATGTAAATTAACAGAGTAAATGTGTTCTGTTTTAAACTGTTGTCATCAAGATACAGCTTTATATATGCTGCTAAATTTGCATACACTTCTATTACCATAACTATCAGAGCAGAAATCATAACAATTAAGATTTACTATTAACTTACATTCAAAATATCATTTCTCTTGTGAAGCTGACTTCTCAAAATTAACACATGGCTTGACCCAGTAAAAGACTTTACAGAATTGATCTCACTTGAACAATTGGACAAAATAGCTAATCAGCTTTTATTAATTGATTATTTCATGAAGTCTGAAATCAGAATTCTCAGTCAAGCTGAGTTTAATATATTCTCTGACATGATTCTACAAATGAGATCAGTTTATATCATAACTAGAAGTTTAGAGATGTTGTTCCAATCTTCAAGCTACTTAAGATCTTATATTTTCAATCTTTACAGAGATCTGACATGCATCTGAAAAGTTCACAAAAATATAAGTTATTTCTGACTTTCCAGTTCTCAAGACTCAGTACCTTCTGAATGATATTGGAAATCAGGTCAGTATTTAATATTGATATATAGGCTCATTACACCCAATTTTATATCTTGTGCTCCATTACTTGAACCTGCTTTTCAATCTCTGTATAATCAGAGAATGCTTCAGTTTGGGTACTTATATTCAAACTGAATAATGTCTCTTGAGTCTTTGGCATGTTATGCAATTAAGTCTATAGAAAGATGCAAGCTGTTCTTTTTGGTGCTGGTGTACTCTGTATCTCTAACATTTTGGCTATTGGATTGCTGTTGAGAATGAACAAGAGTGAATACTTGAATTTCAGAGAAGTTCACTATTTATTATATAGTTGACTTGAAGTGCATTTGACTGCTCAAGTTACTATTCAGATCTGTATTTATATTCCTCTACATTCTAAAATTTAATGCTGCTAAGTGATTGATTTCTTTGAAATAGGCCAATTATTCAGGAGAATATAGATCATTACTGATCTTGCATTTCTTAGAGCTAATTACAGATCTAGATGATCAGAATATTACAGTTAGTCTGTGGTACAGTTGGCACATTTTGTGGCTGCTCTAACATTCAACTTTGCTATAATATATCTGATTCTCCAATTAAACAGTAATTTTCTTTGTAATTTCTACATACTTTATTTCAAAGAAATTCTGCAGCAACTCTTACTGTTTCTGCAACTTGAAACTCAACTACTGCAGAAACTGGTGTATAAATCTCAAGCAAACATGCAAGATCTGAGATGCTTGAGATATATAGAGAACTATATGTTTTGAAGAAGATAACTTCATTTGTTATTTCTAGTCTTGCAGTTTTAAAAATGCAGACAGCCTGCTTATTTGTTGCAGAAATTGCAAGATTATAATTATGTTTTATCTTCAGTAGAATCTGATATTTAGCTGAACAATCAAACTGAGAAGTCAGAATTGAATGTAAGATCTTGAATTCTCTGTCAGCCTGCATCATTCTAATTACTGTATACAGGATGCAGCAAGTCTTTCAGATGCTTCTGATGCTCTATCTGATACTCTATTTAACACTTATTCTGAACCAGAAGATATCAGAATGCAGAAGATTATACAAGAAGTAGTAGCAGCTCTATCTATAAAATCAGTTAATAACAATGAATCACAACAGTATAAAGAGTCTGAATCTGAACTCTGATTACAGACTATATTACATCCAGTGCATCCAGTTGACAATAAAGATTCTGATTTTCATTCATAACTAGAGAATTTATTGGGCAACTAGCCAGCTGAGACCTACATTCTGACTATAATAAATGACTCATCAGAGATTCTAGTCCATGTATATGCAGAGCCTGATGAAATGCTGAATCACTTCATGCTTGCTTTAGAATTATGGTATGAAAAATTGAAAATATCTTGCCAACACTATAAGATACTGCAGGAAGTCTTACAGATTTCTGAAGACATTAATGCACTGAGATCTCTATTTAAGCACATTGAAGAAGAAATGCAGAGCTTAATTCTCTATACTTTTCATCTGACAGGCATTCATACTGGCTGTTTTATTGAAAATGCTAACTCTTTCACCTGTCAAGAAGCAACTAATACAGATATCTCTCACATCTAATTTATTCTTTCAGGATTCTGTAGCTCTTTTGTCATTACTGGCAAGATCTTCTGTATTTTGCAAGAAGATACATATTGGTATGGCTG